GATTTGTGATACAACAGAATCTTTTTAGTGTGGCTAATTAAGAGCTTAACCATCCATGACAGCTATTTTTCGTCTTATTATTTTCCTTAATTCTCTGTATATATCCGAGTGTTGGGACGTTAGGATACATTAATCGTAATTGATCATAACTGTTGTCATTAAATTAATTATCCACTGAAACTGAATGGATTTTAAAAAGATAGTCCATGTGATCTCCTCATAATAGAATCAAACTATCATATTAAGCTTGCATAATGCCAAATCCTTTTTTTTTTCCTTGCGATCCTAAAAGTGAGTTTTAGTGTCCGATCTATATTAAAGATATGCATGCATGGAACAAGCTTTAGAGTGTGACGTTAGATTTAACCAAACTACAAACAGAAAACTAATTAGCAGTGGATACAAACGAACATCGTCGATAAAACAAGTACTGGTATGTCTCCACATGAAACCTATAATTATAATAAAAAGATTTTCAAGAATCATGAACTAATAAAATAAAACCTATCGGCTTGGTAATTGGTGCGATCTAAGAAAAAAACAAAAACACCAATTGACTAATAATTTTATAATCATGTATTGGTATAGAAGTATAAGACGTCCGAGAGAGTGGTTGTGTCCGGTTAATATCAGGTATGACAAATATTCGTGTGGGCGGATCAAGGAAAAAAATTAAATGGGTGCAAAAAGTAGCAGATGAGGCTTGAATCTATGACCTCAAACACTATATGGGGCACTTTAAACATTTTGACATTTATAACTTTAATTTTAATGTAAAATTTGTAGTTTTTAATAGGTTGGTGGGTGCAACTGCCCCCACTATCTTCTATGTGGGTCCGCCCATCGTAATGTTAACTGTTAAGCAATAGAATTGTAAAAGCTGGACTTATTGGACTGGAACATAAACTAAACTGAGGTAGGGCTATAAACAAAAGATAGAGAAAAAACTAGTTTTCATGCGAGTTTGTTTTTAAGATGAGAATCCAAAGCGGAACTAGGCCCAACATGATAAGTGAGCCTTGAAATTAAACAAGCCCAAGAGACGAAAATCAGAAAAACATTGGGCGTGAAGGGAGAGAGAATCGAAAGAGCCCAAACAAAGCGCAAAGAGTTGTTATCGATTGAATTTAACTATTAGAGTATCTAAGCTTGACCATCTCTAAATACTTATTAGTAGTTAATACCAAATACTTATTTCGAGTGACAGCTAATAAACTGAGTTGTGTGACTTGTGAGACACTAACTTATGAAAAGACCGACTACTATTCATCTTTTTGATATATGAAAATAGAAAAGAATATTCTAATTGAATACCGTTTTAAAATTTATAATATGGAACGTTGAAAACGTAGATGACTAGTACATGTAATGTAATGATGTAACTAGTATAAAAGTAACTTTGTATAGTTATAACTTTAGCAAATTTTCAAATATAGCAATTTTTATTTAAGAACGTAATAAAAATATTGATTGTGTATGTTAGGTAAAAAAGTGGAATGGATGACCTTCATACGAAAACAATATAAATCGTCCATGCATTTGGTGATTATATTTATATAAGTAGTTTTGCTTTATCATAATATCATTTATGTTATCTAATAAAGAAAAGACTGGGGAAAAAAAGGTAATCCGGATGTTTAATACTATAGGTAATTTTATAAATAAGAATCCGGTGTGCGCAAAACATAGATGTTATCTAAAAAGATTGCAAGTGGTTCCTCTCGATCGACATAAACAATTATTGTAGTCTAAAACCCAACTCAGCATTAGATTTAAAAAAATATATAAGGTGTGGTCAGAGAGATCAATCTCATTAAATATTCATAAGTATTGGCAGTAGAAAAGGACAGACAAATAGAGTTCTTTATAAGAAGAAAAAACACTCGCATGTGTTGTGTTGTGAACTCTGTGACCCACGAGCTCACTACGACTCAGTCACTTTGTTCTTTTTTTCTTTTCTAAATATATGAAGTTAAAAAAAAAAGGCCGAGTTACTTTGTTTTATCCGTCTAAGGCACACGATTCGTAGTTTCGTACGCTAGCTGCAAAGCTCACAAGTCCCACATGCAACATATTGTGTTGTTTTGAAGTGTGGATCGAATCCGTAACTGATGCCAACTTATGAAACATTTGGTTTTGTTTGAAGTGGATCGAATCCGTAACTGATGCCACCTTATGCAACATCTGTATTGTTTTGAAGTGGATCGAATCCGTAACTGATGCCAAGTTAATTCTACCATGCATGGGATGGGACTCCAAATTCTCAAATCATCCATAAGTTCACCACCACCCGCACACACAGATTTAACGTTTTTACTTGGTCCAAAATAGTTCTCCAGCTCATATTGTTTAATATATGACACACAGACTTCTTAATAATATGGTACAATTTAATGTGTGAGTGTGAGTGTAATCATGAATGTGTTTCTTACAGTTTCTAAAGTAAATTTTATACGACCATAATTTTTCAGTTTTTAACTTCTTCTTTTTTTTTTTCATATTAATTAACGCCGTTGGTTTTACTTTTCTCTAATACCATCCAATCACATTATTAATTAAAAAAAAAAAAAATCTAGAAATAAAAGAGAGAGTAAAAAGAGTAAAATCTGGTAAGAGAAAGATTCAACCTTGACAGATTGGGAAGCGACACTTTCTTCAGAGAGCAAATCCCCCAGAGTGCCGTTTTGTGTTCTCCTTCCTCCTCGCTCCCTCGTTGGCTCTTCCCCCACGCGCCATCTCTCATCTCATCCATCCCATCGACTCCTCAACCCAAGAGTAAGCTTCTTCTCTTCAAAAACCATTCAGACTCTGCTTTGTCGTTTTACGCATTCATCCCCCTCACTGTGGTTTCTCTATGCTGATCTGTTCTCATTCTATATATTAAAGAAACCCTTTTTTACCCAGCTTAGATCGGAACCAATCTGGATCTGAATCTAATTATGCATCTTGTAACACTCACTCTCTCTTTTTAATGGATTTGATTTCACAGTTTTATAGATAAGAAGCAACAACAAAAAAAAAATGGAATTGGATTCGGATAACAAACTGTTGAAGACGGGTTTGGTAATAGTGGCAACACTTGTTATAGCCAAACTCGTCTTCTCCTTGTTCACTTCTGATGCCAAGAAGAAGCGTCTTCCTCCTACTCTTAAAGCTTGGCCTCCATTGATCGGAAGTCTTATCAAATTCTTGAAAGGACCTATTATTATGCTTAGAGAGGAATACCCTAAGCTTGGAAGTGTCTTCACTGTCAATCTTCTTCATAAAAAGATTACCTTTCTCATTGGTCCTGAAGTCTCTGCTCATTTTTTCAAAGCTTCTGAGTCTGATCTCAGCCAGCAGGAGGTTTATCAGTTCAATGTCCCTACTTTTGGTCCTGGAGTTGTCTTTGATGTCGATTATTCCGTTCGTCAGGAGCAGTTTCGGTTCTTCACTGAGGCTCTTAGAGTCAACAAGTTGAAGGGTTATGTGGATATGATGGTTACTGAAGCTGAGGTATAACCAATTTTTGCTTCTTTTTTTTTGTTTTCTTGCACTTATGTCTTATGAGGGAGTATATGAATTAGGTTCACCTTTCATGCTTCTACTTACTTAATACCTTATATAAAACCATGTACTTGGACCTGATACTCTGCTATAATCTTCCACTGAGTAGGTGTTGTGTGCTTTTTTTGGTAGTTGCATAGATAAAGACTTGTCCTTGTCCTTGGCAGGATTACTTTTCGAAATGGGGAGATAGTGGTGAAGTTGATCTGAAGGTTGAGCTAGAGCGTCTTATCATCTTGACTGCAAGTAGATGTTTACTGGGTCGAGAAGTTCGTGACCAGCTTTTCGATGATGTCTCTGCTTTGTTCCATGACCTTGACAATGGAATGCTTCCCATCAGTGTTCTCTTCCCGTACCTCCCACTTCCAGCTCACAGACGTCGTGACCGTGCCCGAGAAAAGCTTGCTGATATTTTTGCAAAAATCATAGGGTCGAGAAAACGCTCTGGCAAATCAGAGAACGACATGTTGCAGTGTTTCATTGAATCAAAGTACAAAGACGGTAGACAGACAACCGAATCTGAAGTTACCGGTTTGCTCATCGCTGCTCTGTTTGCAGGACAACACACTAGCTCTATCACTTCCACGTGGACCGGTGCTTATCTGATGCGATACAAAGAATACTTCTCAGCTGCTCTTGATGAGCAGAAGAACCTGATTGCCAAACATGGAGACAAGATCGATCATGATATCTTATCTGAGATGGATGTTCTCTACCGCTGCATAAAGGAAGCGTTGAGGCTTCACCCTCCATTGATCATGCTCATGAGAGCCTCACACAGTGATTTCAGCGTGACAGCCCGGGATGGAAAAACATATGATATCCCAAAGGGACACATTGTTGCAACCTCGCCTGCATTTGCCAACCGCTTACCGCATATCTTCAAAGACCCGGACACCTATGACCCAGAAAGATACTCCCCGGGAAGAGAAGAGGACAAAGCTGCAGGAGCGTTTTCATACATTTCCTTCGGTGGAGGCAGGCACGGATGTCTTGGAGAGCCATTTGCTTACCTGCAGATCAAAGCTATATGGAGTCATTTGTTGAGGAACTTTGAGCTTGAGTTGGTTTCACCGTTCCCTGAGATAGACTGGAACGCAATGGTGGTTGGTGTGAAAGGCAGTGTGATGGTGCGTTACAAGAGGCGCCAGCTTTCTTGAAGACATGTTTAAGGTTATTGCAACTTTGGTTATTCCTCTGCCTCGTGCTTTGCTTTTGTCTGTCTTTGCTTTTAGTTTTGTTGTTTGGATGATTCTTCTGCTTCTTTAGCTGTTTCTGCTCTTTAATTGACTCTATTTTCAATCTTTCTAAGTTTATTAGATCTGGGGAATGTGGTAATTCAAATGGAGAGTTTATGCGTAACTTCTTTTGTTTAGTCTTAACTTCTTTTAAATCAGTGAACTATACAAAGGTCTTCAAACTCAAATCTGTTAAATTGCAGAACGTCGAAGATTAGTGAGCATACTACTACAAAACAATTTTGTAATTGGTTAAGTTCTATTTTAGGAAGATAATATTTGATTGTAGCGAAATATCTTGGACTAATAATAGTGAACTCTCTTATAACATAGTATAAAATATAATCACCTTCATTGAAAAATAAAGGAAAAGAACTTGTGACAAACCAACTACTAAAAGTTACTTTAATTTTATATAGGAAGATATCTATATAAATCCTCGTTTTGTTCAATATAATTAAGATGATCAGATTTATTGAATGGGAAAAGGTTCATAACTTATTGTGCTTTAAACTAAACCGTAAGCATTTAGTTCAATATATACAGTAGATGTATATGGGGGTAAAGAGACCAAATCTGGTACCAAATCATTGTCTTAATACTCTGCATTATATGGTTCAATGTGAATAACTAAATACCGATGTATGTATGTACGTATAAAGTGTAATGATCTATATCTAGCTCCATAAATTTTAATTGTCATCTTGTCTCTTACGAACGTCTTCTGAGTGTCTCTTCATCGCCGGAAAGAACACCGGAGACAACAACAAGGGCTGCTGTGTTGTTCCGTCGTAATCTCTCTCGACAACCTCGATCAAAAGGATCCAAAGTCTCGGCGAGAAACGTTTTATTTATCAGGTTTGTTTGTGATCATTTCGTTTGGTTTCTGAGATTTCTCTTGGTTGATTCGCATATGTAATCACGATACTGCAGATGGAGAGCATAACCAAGTGGGAATTGGGATCAGTCCGAACGTATTACTCCATTAAATCTCGTGAGAACTTTCAAGAAGACGAGTTTCTAGACATTAGCCTCGTTCCTCGACTTCAAGAGGAGTTATGGAAGGCTCAATCGAGAATCAAAGAGCTCGAGGCCGAAAAGTTTGGATCAGGGGACAATGTTAGATGTTTCATCAGAAACCAAAGAAATGAGAGAGAAGAAACTAACGATGCATTAGTTGACTGCTTGAAGGAGAAGTTACGCAAAGAGAGGGAAGAAACGAAAAGAGCTAAAGCTGAGAATTCTAGGTTAAAGAAGAAGATTTTGGGTATGGAATCATCAGTGAATCGGTTGAGAAGAGAAAGAGACACAATGGAGAAAGTGTGCGAGGAACTGGTTACAAGGATAGATGAACTGAAAGCGAATACAAAGAAGATGTGGGACGAGACTGAGGAGGAGAGAAAGATGTTGCAGATGGCTGAGATGTGGAGGGAGGAAAGGGTTAGGGTTAAGTTCACGGAAGCCACACTTGCCTTGCAAGAAAAGTACGAGGAAATGAACTTGTATGTGGTTGAGTTAGAGAAGTGTTTGCAGATGGTGAGAGAAGTAGGAGGAAGTGAGGAGATGGGGTTGAGAAGAGGTGAAGGTTTGGTAAAGATTGCGAGATCTATGGAACCTATAGACAGTAACAATGATTTTAAGTTTGTGTCTGATTGAGATAAATGTTCAACAACACTAATGTAATGTGTTACAACATACGCGAGTTTTTATTGATTTTTTTCAAAAATACTATCCACATTCACATATAACCCAATCGAGTTACATCAAATCCATTAGATTCTAATCATTGTAATAAAAAATAGTTTATCAATTCGCAATGACTATAAATAATACGTAATACATTTAATTGATTTGATAGAATCATAGAAGTATTAACGGGAAAAATAAGCAATTTGATTTGGTCTAGTGTGGGGAACCTACGAAGAAGACCATTTGCGACAACTTTCTCACGGTTTGGAATTTGAACCTTCCAATGTAAAGTAAAGAAACATTTAACCAATCATTAGGTCAAAGTGTTCCCATGATTCTTTGGGACATTGTTACATGTATAAATTTTACCTGACCCTTTTTAATCATTGCATCTTCCGATCCTTTTTTATATATATATATATATATATAATAAAATCATTTCATTTTAAATTTTAGGAAACTAGTGCAACATGAATCAAACATTGTGACTTCTCTTGGATGTCTATTTGGTTTTTGGTGGCATGTAATTTGTTTTTTTCTCTTTAAAACCCCATATTTTTAGTTTTCTTTTTCCTTCGTCACTTGTTTTGTTTGTTTCTTTATAAATGTATTTAATAATTATCATATAATTTGTCTATTTTAATATTTTGGTTGTTAAATGATCCAGTGGAATCTAGAGATCCAATCTTTGGCCAGCGTTGTGGCTCCGCACATGGCCAATCATGTTATTCTCTTTATATTTTCCAACTCCAAAATTTTTATTTCACAAAACTAGAAGGAATGTATCTAGCTTCTGCCGGTTCAGAAGATTTGTAGTCTCTTTACATCTCTAAATCCCGCATGAGAAAATTTCATCAATTGCCATTTTAATAAAACTCGAAAACTATATCTATGACAGGCTAATCCATGGTATTCTCTCTAATATGGAGTTATGATATACTAGCTTCCTTGAGTTTACTCACAGAACCTGATCAGAAAAGACTATCATGGATTCAATAGCTTGATGCATTTCACATAGAACAAATAGATGTTTATCTTTTATTCTATAGGATAGGATCATTCATTCATTTGTAACCATATCATGACAAAAATATATATAAATAAATAGCGTAATTATATGTATAGATGATTGCAGTTGCCCTAGCTAGAGGTGGTGATAAGGGTCTACTGTGGGGTAGTGAGTGAGAACAAACATAGCGACTTGTTTCGTTTCGTCTCTCAAAAAAGACAACTAGTACATGACTTTTATTATTATTACCAATAATCATCTCGTCAAAATTATTGGACAAGAGAAAGTTCGTCAAATTGAAACTGTATCCCTACATTGATTTAGACGTATAATATAGTGATTTTTATTTTTATCGTATCATCTTTTTCACTATTTTTGTGTGATCTCTACTTATATGTTTATATTTTTAGCTAGGTTATTCATTATATTTGTTCTCTTCGTAATTAAGCATTATTGAGTGGAATATTTTGTGGAACCACTCGTGACTCATCTATAATTATATCATATATGTGACTGTGATGGATTTACAAACGCATAAGAATATTCTTTCAGTGACTAACATAATATTATCTGAATATATATGTGAAAACATTCAAACCTTGTCCTCATATGTTAATCTTACTATATACGTGGATAAAACCAAACACTTAGATGTTATCTCATCTGTTATTCCTATGATCTACATTAAGAAAAGTAGCCAAAAAGAGTTTCGTGTATATCTAATTATCGATTTGGTTCGTGAATTGAAAGAGTATAGTATTTGCTTACGGAATAACAATTAGCATGAAGAACTTTGATACTTCTGTCTCGTCATTATATTAAACTGACAAAAATACATGAAGAAAATTTACGTGAGATAGAAAAAAGCATCAAAACTCATCTAGAGATCACAAATTAATTAAAGAAAATTATAGAATTTTTTTTTCTTTCAAATATATACAAAAATGTTTTATGATAAACAAAGATGTGTAAAATTATAGGCACAACGTTAACGTACGTACGTACGTAGCTGCTAAGTTTACGAAGTATGTATCATGTATGTATGATACTCTTTTGTCTTCTGTCTCTCATTCTCAGCCGTTCAATGTGGTCGCTGTGGGATCTTTTTCTCTCTTTGTACTAAGTTCGTCATCACAAAGTGGAGCTAGACCTTCTTTTAATTATATATATATATCACTACTGATAAAAGTTGAATTTATTTTTGCGACACCATTAATTTGATTAACAATCAAAAACAGATGATTTAATTAATGGTTTTAGTGTGCATTATGCTTGAGTTATGATGGGTTTCCACTACTGAGTTCTCTTGATAAAAAATATACATATGTGTGATATATATTATCTTTAACTTGCCCAAAGTTCATACTCTTTACAACAAAATAAATGAGAATTGTAATCTTCATCTAATCAAAATAAATTTATAACGACATTTAGTCAAATTTACGAAAACTTAGTTGCACACAAACAATTTGGCTATAAACTTTTGATCTTGCTACAAAAAAACTATTGTGGACATAGAAAAACTTCTCGTGAAATCTTTTTTTTTTGTAAACCCAAACTAGCAACTTTTTTTCTCCTCAATTTGGCAAGTTGACAATAAAAAGGCTTCGATGTCGAGTGAATAACACGCGCCTCTGGTAAGCGCGTCACGTGGCATGTCTCAGCTTATTACAGCGTATCCAAATTGTTCATCTGTTAACTGTTACGTGTGGCAATGCAAATGTAGCGCTTTTATTTATCCACATTTAATCAGACATAAAACATTTCTCGAATTTTACATTTTTACTCCTCCTTAGTTTCACTTTTTCTAATAAAACCCCCTTAACTATGCAGATTCTAGATATGAGATCACAAAGATTCTTTATTTCTGATATGACCAAAAGACACACACAACAAAAAAGAGATGGTCTAAATTTAAAATTCGTTTTCCGATTATTAGATGGCAGAATATTAAACACATTCACGAAATTGCATTCACTACCTTTCGTGAAAACTTTCTCCATCCGGAAAAAAGGTTGGTTATTAAATAAATTAAATCCAACGGTGGGAAAGAAACTTTATTAAACAAGGACCACTAGTTTCTTACAAATTTTAAAAAAAACTAGGGGTTATTATAAATATAATCTAATGTTATGGGGTGCTATCGTAAGAAAATTATAATACAGTGGTATGTTTTGAGATTTTATATCTCATCTCATTTCACATTCTCTTGGACTCGTCTGCTTACGAAAATGCTATATATACTCGTTCATTTCGCTCCGTTTATAACTTATAGCAAAATCTCTAATTACTTAATCTCTGAATGTTTTAAAAGATAATTAATCATATTAACAATCTTAAAGATTGATTTAATTATAACAATATTAGTGTAATAGTAATTTGTGTAGAGAAGAAAGCTTTCAAACAATGGCAAGAGGTCGAAAGCTGACGATGAGCCAGAGCGAGAGGTATCTCGGAAGCGGCTACAGTTACGGCGACGGTAACGTTAACTCCGTCACAGACGAACCAGAGCTCACGGAGGAGGACATCTGGTCACACGCCGTCGATCACAACCCGGAGATGCTGGAATCTCATGGAGCGTGGAACACACGCGATTCTGTGGTGAGGAATGGGCGCGTGGGTGGTGGTTTGTCGCTTGCTTTTGAGGACGCGTCGTCGTCGCCGAGGATCGTGCACCAGATACGTTGCGGAGGAGGAGACGGAGGAGGTGGAGGAGGAGGAGAGAAGGTTCAGAGGCAGTTGGCGTCGTCGGCGCCGGTGAACGTGCCTGATTGGAGTAAGATATATAGGGTCAACTCGGTTGAGTCAATACACGAGTCAGAGGAAGAGGACGAGGAAGATTCCGGGATGATGATGCCGCCGCATGAGTACCTAGCGAAGAGCCAAAAGCGACGGAGCAGGAAATCTGGCGGCGGACTAGGCGGCGGCGCGTCGGTGTTTGAAGGAGTAGGAAGGACTCTCAAAGGACGTGAACTAAGGCGCGTTCGAGACGCGATTTGGAGCCAAACAGGGTTCTACGGCTAATGAGTTAGTATTATTATATTATTTGATAAAGGTTAAAAAAAAACATTTGCTTATTTTGTCAGTTTAGATTAAATTTTGCAACTTTCTTGAATCCCAAGCTTGAGAATGTATAAGATTTATATTGTCTTCCCATGCAAATGTTTTTTTATATTATAAATTAATTAGTTGTGGGAAAATTTTCAAGATCGAACCTCATGTGCTATGTACATAATTTTCTTTCCATTTTTGTATTGATTAATTTCAAGATCGTTCAATATTTTAATGTCTTTATTGATTTATAAATGGAGGTTTATTTATAAAGTATAATATAAATCAGTATATCATAAAAAGCAGATAGCTTACGATCGCTAAGCAATAATAATTCCTGAGAGGGAACTTGATTGTATCCTTGCTTTCGAGTCTGAGTATATATTGTATTATCGAGTATTAAAAAACAAAATGGGTTAACTAAAACAAAAGTTAAGCTATGAAAATTAGTTATATAATGTTAATCCTCGTAGTGTTCATTTTTAGTTGTATATGATTCATATGTCATGTACTACGTAACAAGGATATTAATGATTGAGCAACGACAATGATTTACAATAGTAAATTATGAACAATATAATTAATTAGGTCTAGTAATTTAATAGTATTAGTTAAGTGATAATTTGATGATATGATATAATGAAAGGGAAGTTTTGTATGTAATTAAAATAAATTAATGAGAAGAACAGATGTGTCCTTGCAACATTATTGTGTCCACAGGTAAACTGTCCAAAGAATCCACTTCAAAGTGGGGGCACTCACGAGCAAGAAAAAGACATTATTTTTCTATTCATTTTCCCAAATAAAATCATGATTGCTCGTCAAAATGGCATCTTCTTCTAATATATTACTACTATATATAAACAGACGTCGTCACTCAAAGTTATAACATCGAAATAAAAGATTAGTGATATATAACTAATTCTCTCTATTAATCATAGGTTTCTGGACAAACTTAGCTACAAGGATCGATGTATCTAGAGCTAGGTAGTGCTACAAACACGTATTTGTTCACTCGATCGAAAGCCATCTTATTATATTTCCTAAAGACATAAAAGTGTATATAGCTAGGTATCCTTGGGATCTTATCAGTTCAAGCCAATTCATCAGCTAGAAGTCTTATATGGTCTGCTTCGGGGTTGAATATATAGTTTTACATTGGCCAAATTAATGAGCGGTAAGAACAAATAACATGCATATATAAATAAGTATAAAAAATTCACGATCAAACAATAAGAATATATAACGCGATTATGATATATGGTTTGATCAAATTAACAATCGCAACTACATCATATTCTTATGTGTATGTATGTGTATACACTAAATAGAGAGAGAGAGAGAGATATTATATATATATATGGTCATGAGGTTATGGAGAGGGGTAGTGTATGGTAGGGGTCAAAAGAAAGTGACACGAGTTAGAGAGTGTTTTGTGTTAAAGCACAAGAGAGGTAAGTTTGTCAAAAATGTGTTTGATCACTTTGTGAGTTTATGCCTTTGCCTTTTTCAAGAAAGGACCTTTGAAAGTGAATAACGATCGACAAGTCTCCTAATAATATATCATCATGGCCTAATTCATTCATTATTTTGTGGGCTCAACCATATACATCTCTTTCCACTCTTATCTCAAACTCTCTCTTCCACCATTCACCTCTCTCTCTCTCTCTCAATTATTTGATTCTTTTCATTTGATTCCTAGCATTTATACATACCAATCCAAAACCATAATTGTTTGATATAGAAAAAACAATAAGAATGCTCTAAATTTATATATTTGCTCGCCAAAATTACATATATTGTAAAATTGTCTTCTTATGCAATAAAAGGACAAAATAAAGCATGCAAGTCTAAGTTCCCAAGTTTGTGGTTGTTCAATATGGGTACGTGATGAGAGACTATATTACATTAAATACATATTTGATGATTAAAGTATGCCTTAATCTAAAACTCTCAATACTAAACGTAATCGCTCGTGAGTAGTCGTGACGATGAATGAATTGAAAGATACCAATTGCTTTAGTGGCCTTGTAATGGAGGCCCAAATCGGAACTTAGACCCAACTTCATAATCATAGGCTCATTGCGTATTCCTTCTTTTAATGAACCACCAAACCATTTCGGTTACCCCTAAACCGTTAATCTGGTTTAAGTATTTTTAACTCATATGTCTTTTGTTTGTACCGTTTCTTGTAAAGTACTCACCTTCCTCTCTGCAACTAAAAGCTTACGCAGCCGCCGTTTCCGTCGCCGGAGTAACTCATCGCGGGGTTTTGAAGCGACCAGTATCGGAAGATCATGCCTTATAATTCTACGTTTAAAGACCTCTGCCTAGATTTAGGGCTTTTTCTGATAATAGGGTTTAGAGTGATTATCGTAATCTGATACTTTTTTGTTCTTCTGGTAACGTATGTTAGCTCAAGTTTTCTCCAGAAGAACGAGCTTCCTTGTACGTTGCTTCCACGTTGCTAAAAATTTCTCGAATCCTGAGCCTGAAGACATTCTCTTTAGTGCTCTCTGTTTGAATTTGAGACAGAGAAGATGGAACACTCTTCATCAATTCTCATCAAGTCTCACAAATCCGTTGATAAGTCGAGTTCTTCGCGAGTTTCGAAGCTCACCGAAGCTAGCTCTAGAGTTTTACAACTGGGTTAATAATGATACTGTGGCTAAGTCTGAGAATCGGTTCGAAGCTTCTTGTGTGATGGTTCATTTACTGGTGGAATCCAGAAGATTTGATGATGCTTTATCGATAATGGTGAATTTGATGTCTGTGGAAGGTGAAAAGTTGAGTCCTTTACATGTTTTGTCGGGTTTGATTCGAAGTTACCAAGCCTGTGGTTCGAGTGTTGATGTGTTTGATTCATTGGTTAGAGCTTGTACACAGAATGTTGATGCTGAAGGAGCTTATGAAGTGATTGAGCATACGAGAGCAGAGGGTTTTTGGGTTTCTGTTCATGCGTTGAATAATTTTATGGGTTGTTTATTGAATTGGAATGAGATTGATTGGTTTTGGAAGGTTTACAAGGAAATGGATTCGTTGGGGTATGTTGAGAATGTCAATACCTTTAATCTGGTCATTTATTCGTTTTGTAAAGAGAATAAGTTGCTTGAAGCGTTATCAGTGTTTTACCGGATGCTGAAGTGTGGGGTTTGGCCTAATGTTGTTAGCTTTAATATGATGATTGATGGAGCTTGTAAGGCGGGCAATATGGGATTCGCTTTGCAGCTCTTAGGGAAGATGGGAGTGATGTCTGGAAACTTTGTTTCGCCTAATGCTGTGACATATAATTCGCTTATCAACGGGTTTTGCAAGGCGGGGAGATTGGATTTGGCGGAAAGAATCCGCGGTGACATGGTTAATTCAGGTGTTGGCTGCAATGAAAGAACGTATGGAGCATTGGTGGATGCGTATGGTAGAGCTGGAAGTTCAGATGAAGCTTTAAGGTTGTGTGATGAGATGACAAGTAAAGGACTTGTGGCGAATACCGTTATCTGTAACTCTATTGTTTATTGGCTGTTTATGGAAGGTGACACTGAAGGAGCAATGATGGTGTTGCGTGATATGATCTGTAAAAAAATGCAAATGGACTCATTTACTCATGCCATTGTTGTGAGAGGTTTATGCAAAAACGGATATGTAGTGGAAGCTGTTGAGTTTCAGAGACAGATTTCAGAGAAGAAACTTGTGGAAGATGTAGTTTGCCACAATACGCTTATGCACCATTTCCTTAAGGATAAAAAGCTGGCTTGTGCTGATCAGATTCTGGGAAATATGTTGGTTCGTGGTATGAGTCTTGATGCGATTTCGTTTGGTACTTTGATTGATGGTTACCTAAAGGAAGGAAAGTTGGAAAGAGCTATGGATATTTATGATGGTATGGTCAAAATGAAGAAAACGCCGAATCTAGTGATTTACAATTCAATTGTTAATGGATTAAGCAAAAGAGGATTGGCAGGTGCAGCTGAAGCGGTTGTGAACTCTATGGAAAGAAAAGACGCTGTAACTTACAACACGCTGTTGGACGAGTCTCTCAAAACTGGGAATGTCGAAGAAGCTGACAGTATCATATCTAAAATGCAGACACAGGATGGTGAGATATTGGTCAGTAGGGTGACTTACAACATCTTGATCAATCACTTATGCAAGTTTGGTTGTTACGAGAAAGCGAAAGAGGTCTTGAAGATTATGGTTCAAAGAGGTGTTGTTCCGGATCCCATAACATATGCAACTTTGGTTACATCGTTTAGTAAGGATCGTGGTCAAGACGAAGTCGTTGAGCTTCATGATTACTTGATTCTTCAAGGAGTTACACCTCATGAACATATATACCGATCTATAGTTCGTCCACTTCTTAATGGAGAAAATGCAAGGCCTTAGCCGAAGCCAATGAAAGCTTCTGTGGGATATCAGAGGCCGAGAAACAATACTAATTCAGTCAGAGGGTTCTCTTGTAAAGGCTGCTGTGGATTGTACCAGCAGATTCGTATCATCTTCGTACACGTGGACCCTTGGAGGATTCTCTTAAATCAACGGTCAGTGTTGGAAGTAGGATCGAGCCTAGTCCTGACGTGGACATGTAAATAGGGGGACTGTCTGACACGTGGCGGTTAGCACCGGCCAAACGATTTCGTTGTCACGAGCTAGAAAGAAAGAAGAAGACATTTACGTTACTAAAACCACGTGATTGCTTATGAATTAACCGTCCAGATTATGCGATGTTGCTAAGGCACCGTAAGGAATATAACCTGAGAAGCAGACGAATATATATCCCCATGAACGATACAAGTTAAAAATGAATGGCTGCGTGTGAGACTGCGATTTGTATGAAATCTTCTGTTGTAATTTGCTACATGTCAACTTGTCAAGTTGTCAACACATCAGAGCACCCTTTTAATTTCATTAATAAATCATGTTATTATTGATATAATAATGTTAATCAACGCATGGATTTTCATCTCACTATATTAATTTACAGAATATTTAAATTAAGAATAAAATAATGAAGGAGATCAGTTTCAGACTTCAGTGATTGAGAAGTGTGGTGTGGTGAGGCAGTGGGAGTGGGGGGCTGCTTCAACAACAAACATTCTCTTTCTCTCTTTCTCTCTTTCTCTAGTCTAAGCAAGCATATACACCTGAAGTACACGACCACTTTCTTTAGTCTATTTCTCTCTGGCTCTCTATATTCTTCTACGGCAGCTATGGAAGTGTGTTGGCAGATTCAGAGACCGGCTAGGCTCGGAAAGGTTTTGCAGGAAAAGGGTCGGCTCAAGATCAGTACTTGTTCTATTGGGTTTCTTCCTCGCTCCATTTCTAGTGTAAATTTCTTTGCTTTTTCTTTCAATCTTCTTCCCGACTCCATCTTTTTTCGTTCATATGTTTTGTGTATCACTTTGGATTCTACTTTTTCGGGAATTGGAGTGCACACTGTTCTCTACTTTATTTTTTCTCCGTAAGATCGTCTTTTAGAATAGGATATCCTTAATTGAATCAATGTACTACTTTTTTATAGCGGATTCAACACTGGTAGGGTCTCTGGATTGGGATTCTCATGTTAGAACCTCGTTTCGAATTGGTGTGTTGTAGGACCTGAGCTAATTTTTTCAGTAATTTCCAATTTCTTCTGACACCATCATCAGCTCATTGAGAGCCTTAACGTTTAAAACCAAGTTCAGGGGAGAAAGACAAGATTTTGGGGACTATGAGTTTTATGTTAAGAGTCCGACCTTAAGATTCACGGTTTAGGGAAATGCAAATGTCTCATTTCTTTTTTCTTTTTCTTTTATATTGGCTTTGACTTTAATATATAGCTTGTTTGTTTACCTCTGGTGTGATTAATACATGTATTCTTGCTTGGTTGTGGAATTCTTTTGTGGCTTAGAGCTTGTGAGTAGGTGATTGAGCAGTTGTCTAATCAATTTCTAACCATGGACGTGTTTGATTTTGCAGCTTGCTTCATTGGAAAGTCAATACAATTCAAATGGGTTTCTGCATCAGATCACGGCAAGTGCAGGTTAAGAATCAAGAAATCGGTTCACAGGGTTTATAACTTTTCATTGTGATTACTGATTCAATCCTTTTGATGCATTTCTTGTTTTCTTAAACCAAGATTTTTCAAGGAAGAAGCAAGGCAGAATGGCTGCTTCAGGACCAAAAAGCTCAGGTCCCAGGGGTTTTGGGCGGCGAACAACAGTAGGAAGTGCTCAGAAAAGAACTCAGAAGAAAAATGGTGAAAAAGATAGTAATGCCACTTCCACAGTAACAAATGAGGTTTCAGGGGTTAGTAAGCTGCCTGAAACTAAAGCAGATGTACAGAAACAAGGCTCTGTTGTTTTTGGTGAGAGGAATGTGTCAGATAGCTCGGATGCTAAAGATGGAAGTGACCGTTTGGATAAGAAAACAACCGAGGATGATGATTTGTTAAAACAAAAGTTGAAAATTGAAAGAGAGAATCTTCGTAGGAAGGAAATAGAAGCGCTTGCAAAGGAAAACTTGGCGAGGGGTAATAGGATGTTTGTGTATCCTGTGATTGTGAAACCTGATGAAGACATAGAAGTGTTTCTCAACAGGAATCTATCGACTCTGAAGAACGAACCCGATGTTTTGATCATGGGGGCGTTCAACAGTTGGAAATGGAAGTCTTTTACGAGGAGATTGGAAAAGACATGGATTCTTGGAGATTGGTGGTCATGTCTCCTTCATATCCCCAAAGAAGCGTACAAAATAGATTTTGTGTTTTTCAATGGTCAAAGTGTATATGACAACAATGACTCAAAAGATTTCTGTGTAGAGATAAAAGGTGGGATGGATAAAGTGGACTTTGAGAATTTTCTTTTGGAAGAGAAATTGCGAGAGCAAGAGAAGTTAGCCAAGGAAGAAGCCGAAAGGGAAAAGCAAAAAGAAGAGAAGAGAAGAATTGAAGCTCGAAAGGCTGCAATTGAAGCTGATAGAGCACAAGCAAAGGTGGAGACTCAGAAAAGACGTGAGCTGCTTCAACCGGCTATTAAGAAAGCTGTAGTCTCGGCTGAGAATGTTTGGTACATTGAGCCAAGTAATTTCAAGGCTGAAGATAACGTAAAATTATATTACAATAAAAGCTCAGGTCCTCTGGCTAATTCCAAGGAACTCTGGGTACATGGAGGGTTTAATAATTGGGTTGATGGATTATCTATTGTTGAAAAGCTTGTGGATGCAGAGTTAAAGGCTGATCCAAAGAGGGGAGATTGGTGGTTCGCTGAAGGTATGTATGTGAAGCCTTCATATCATGTTGTAACAAACTTGCATTTTAATATGTTTTTGTTGTCATATATCTTCTTGCTGCCATTTGATTTATTGATATTTTTCATTTCAATATGCAGTTGTAGTGCCCGGTGGTGCTCTAGTGATTGACTGGGTCTTTGCTGATGGACCCCCTAAAGAAGCGTTTCTGTATGACAATAATAGTCACCAAGATTTTCATGCACTTGTTCCTCAAAGAATTCCTGAAGAGATTTACTGGTTAGAGGAAGAAAGTTTGATGTTTAGGAAACTTCAGGAGGAAAGGCAGTTAAAAGAGGAAGCTATGCGTGAGAAGGTCAGTGATCAGTACATTTAAAAGAAAGAACAGCTTATCCTTTTTACGATATTATTGGCACTTTTCTCAAGTCTTCTTGACTACGTTGGATAATATTTCTTCATCCTCCTTTTGTTTTCATTGGCAGATGGAAAAGACAGCTCGCTTGAAAGCCGAAACAAAGGAAAGAACACTTAAAAAGTTTCTACTATCCCAGAAAGACGTGGTTTATACTGAGCCTCTAGAGATTCAAGCGGGAAACGCTGTGACTGTTTTCTACAATCCTTCATACACGGTTTTGAACGGAAAGCCTGAAATTTGGTTTAGAGGCTCTTTTAATCGTTGGACTCATCGCTTGGGTCCTTTGCCACCTCAGAAAATGGAAGCAGCAGATGATGAAAGCTCACATGTGAAGACTACGGGTATAATTACAGTTTTAACAGGTTTCCATTGTAGATACTTTTACATAATATGTGACTATTTTTTCTCTTCTTTTTTTTTCCAGCTAAGGTGCCATTGGATGCTTACATGATGGACTTTGTGTTCTCTGAGAAAGAGGATGGCGGAATATTTGATAACAAAAATGGTCTGGATTACCATTTACCAGTCATGGGAGGCATATCAAAGGAACCACCATTGCACATTGTTCATATTGCTGTTGAAATGGCACCCATTGCAAAGGTAACCGTAAGATGTAGGATTTATAGCCTTTAAAAGGATTGAATGTGTATTTAGGTTTATGTGTATTTAATTCCTGCAGGTTGGAGGCCTAGGTGATGTTGTCACTAGTTTATCTCGCGCTGTTCAAGAATTAAACCATAATGTGGATATCATTTTTCCAAAGTATGATTGCTTAAAGCACAACTTTGTAAGATCCATGTCTTCTCATATTCGCTGCTTTTACTTCCTCTTTTTTTGCTGCATCGCTCTTCGTCCTGAAATTTTGTGAAAGTAGGTGAAGGACTTGCAATTCAACAGAAGTTATCACTGGGGAGGAACCGAAATAAAAGTTTGGCATGGAAAAGTAGAAGGCCTTTCGGTTTACTTTTTAGACCCACAAAATGGGTTAGCCTTATGCATATTTCTGTTTAAGCTATTTTCACATTTCATTCATTATCTCTTGAGGGCATGAAGAAGTTGTTGTCGTTGTTGTTTGACTATTGCAGATTGTTTCAGCGAGGGTGTGTTTACGGTTGTAAAGATGATGCAGAAAGATTTGGTTTCTTTTGTCACGCAGCTCTTGAATTTCTTCTCCAAGGAGGTTTTCATCCAGTAAGTCTACACGTCCTCTTTTACAGTTATGGAAAATTCTCAATAGAAATCCTTACTACTTTGTTCTAACTAGCGGCTCTAACCCGTGGTCTCACCATCTACACAGGACATTCTTCACTGCCATGACTGGTCCAGTGCTCCTGTTTCATGGTTATTCAAGGATCATTACACGCATTACGGTTTAATTAAAACCCGTGTTGTCTTCACAATTCATAATTTGGAATTTGGAGCAAATGCCATTGGTAAAGCAATGACATCCGCAGACAAAGCTACAACGGTAAATCCTGAAAGCATTCTCCCTTTGTGCTTTTTCTCTGAAGAAGCTGACAACAAGCATGACTAGGTCTACTCTTAACATTATATTAGGTTTCACCAACGTATGCCAAGGAAGTTGCTGGAAACTCTGTAATCTCTCCACATTTATACAAGTTTCACGGAATAATAAACGGGATCGACCCAGAAATATGGGATCCATACAATGATAGCTTCCTTCCTGTAAGCTTCATTGCATCTTCGCCTTTCCCGCCTTTAAATTTCATGTTATATCTTGTGATGTTTGAACACTTTGTGTGTTTCTTAGGTACCTTATACTTCAGAGAATGTAGTAGAAGGCAAAAAAGCAGCCAAGGAAGAATTGCAAAACAGGCTTGGACTAAAGAATGCCGATCTTCCGGTAGTAGGAATTATTACACGCTTAACTCACCAGAAAGGAATACATTTGATCAAGCACGCTATTTGGCGTACCTTGGAACGGAATGGACAGGTCCCTTTCTAGCCTTCTTTGACCTTTAGAAATTCTTGGCACGAACTCTTTTCGAAATTCTTACCAGTTTTCTTGAAAGCAGGTTGTGTTGTTAGGTTCAGCTCCAGATCCTCGGATCCAAAATGATTTCGTAAATTTGGCAAACCAATTGCATTCTTCTCATGGTGACCGGGCTAGGCTTGTTCTCACCTATGATGAGCCTCTTTCCCATTTGGTAGAATAAAATAACAAACCTTAAATCCTTTTTTCGTTCCTTAATTTGCTCTCAGCATTGGTCTAATTTTTAATGTTGTGTTTTACTCTCCAGATTTATGCCGGGGCTGACTTTATTCTTGTACCGTCGATATTTGAGCCGTGTGGCCTGACACAGCTCATAGCTATGAGATACGGTGCTGTTCCTGTCGTTAGAAAAACTGGAGGTAGTGGTTTCTGGCTGTGACTGGATATCTTAAAGCTTTACCTGTTTCTCTAACGACAAAGTTGACTATATAGTATATGGTTTATCTTTGTCCCGATAGGACTTTTCGACACAGTTTTTGATGTCGACCACGATAAAGAAAGGGCACAAGCTCAAGTTCTAGAACCTAATGGCTTCAGCTTTGACGGGGCTGATGCTCCTGGTGTTGATTATGCTCTTAATAGGTAACCAATCAAAATCTAAACTAACTCTCTCTATAATTCTTTACAGATTGACCATTATAAATCAATTGGTTTCACAGGGCGATATCGGCATGGTACGATGGTAGAGAGTGGTTCAACTCGCTGTGCAAGACAGTGATGGAACAAGACTGGTCATGGAACCGTCCTGCACTTGAGTATCTTGAGCTCTATCACTCCGCACGTAAGTGAGACCAAAAAACAAAAGTAAATTTTATGATCAAATTCTCTTTGTATGTACAGAAAGTTAGCTTATGAGACACCTATTACCGAGTTTGATCCTTTCTTTTTTTACATTCCCAATGTCATTTAAAGAATAAAATAAGGTTTAGGTGTCTATGGATTCTTGCATCCTGCTTTGTAATTCCGAATAAGTGAAAGTTTATACACACTGACTATATTTCTCATAATTCCAAACCCGACCCGGTTCAAACTGCAATGCAACCCGGTACTTGATCTGCAGCTGCGGTTATCATTACATTAGTAGCAAAAAAAATTCATCAGTTTTGGTATTTTAATAACTGCAAAATCTATAATCAGAAACGTCATTATTGTATATTCCGAAACGTTACTCTTTTCTTAAGTTATAAAATAAAGTGAAACAATTGGGTGATGAGTTTGTTCTCTTTCTTCATGCGGAGAGAGAAGTGAGTGAGTGAGAGCGAGAGAGTGCATAAAAGAACTGTAAATAGACCCACCAAAGAAAAACAAAAAAGGTTGATTCTTTTGACTCCAAATTAAACAAATTCTTTGATTTTGCATTGACCATTTCTTGCTTTTCTCGGATTTGAATCCGCAAGAAGCCAAATCCTAATGTCTTTCAAGAACAGAGGAGATTACTATTTTATTCCAAGAAATGTCATTTCTAGAAACTCTGTATTTTTCCTGTGCCTCGCAAGTTTCTGCCTTGGAATGTTCTTCACTAACAGGTAAATCTATTACAAAAACCCCATTTTGTTTATGTGTAAAGTTTGGGTATCTCACACTGTTCATGTCTGATTCTAGCTTTCCTCTTCTTCTTCTTCTTCTTCTTCTTCTTCTTCTTCTTCTTGATTTTTAACCTCTTGGGTGTTTTACAATGTGTTGTTACTAATTTCATCTTCTTGGGACTAAAATCTACCTTGTGTTTCTCAAAATTTAAGTAGATTTAGTAAGCTTAGAGTTTTGTCGGTGAAGACATGCTTTTTAATCTTAGAGTTTTGTCGGTCTATTGGTATCCCTTGTAGCTTTTGTGAAGCTTTAAGAAAGACAATACAAATAAACTATATCTTATATTGATTTGATCAAATGGTAGCATGTTGTAACTGTATCTCTTTGTTACAAAACTATGTGACCTGATCTGCATTTTGGTTTGGTTTTGTGCTTGTTTTGATCTTTGTGGAGTTAAATATTTGTGTTTGAATTATGTTAATGATCATATCATTATATCAGGTTGTGGAATGTATCTGGAGCTAGAGGCGTATCAAGACTCTCCAAACTAAGCTTAAGTTCCAGTGATTGCGATAAAAAGAATGTAAGATTTCTGCGGTTTTGCATCACTAATTCACCTGGAAAATTGAATGGTACATGGTTTGATCTGGTGTTCTTGACAGGTTTTGGACTACAGTAACAAAACTATCGGGTAAAACCATTTAAACAACTGTTATAGTATATGATGTTTAGATTAGTAATGATGATGTTATCTACTTATATAGCTAAAAATATTCAGGATCTTAGATAAATCCATTTCAAATTTAGAGATGAAATTAGTAGCTGCTAGAGCAGAACGCGAGACATTGTCAGGGAAACTAAATGTTTCCAGTGAAGCCAAGAAAAGAAAGTACTTCATGGTTATCGGTATTAACACGGCCTTTAGTAGTCGTAAGAGACGTGACTCGATCCGGTCAACATGGATGCCACAAGGTAAGGCTGTTTCAGGTTTCTTGATTTCTCTAGTGTAAATTAACCAGAAATTGTAACTTGTTCTGGTTTTTAAACAATCATTCAGGAGAGAAGCTTAAGAAACTTGAAGATGAGAAAGGCATCATTGTTCGCTTTGTTATAGGACACAGGTACAATAAAGAAGTCATGTTCTGTAGTGAAAAGCTAAGCCTTTACACCAATACTTCACATTTTTATGTTCTTGGAAATTTTCTTATTGCAGTGTGTTGTCTCGCGGAATTCTTGATAAAGCTATTGAAGCAGAAGAGAAAATACATGGAGATTTCTTGAGACTGGTATAACTCTACGATGATAACAAACTTTTGTGTGTTTGGTATCTTCTTGCTACTTTTATTAAAATCTTTAGATAACAAAACAGGAACATATTGAGGGTTACATGGAGTTATCAGCCAAGACAAAGACGTTTTTCGCTACCGCTGTTTCCTTGTGGGACTCAGAATTCTACATCAAAGTTGATGATGACGTTCATGTGAATCTTGGTAAAGAAATAAAGAGAAAAGGTTTCATTTTCATCTTATATGTTATTCATCCATTATGTTGTGATGCCTTGATCTGTTTTCTTGCAGCCACTCTCAAGACGACTTTATCCACACACAGAAACAAGCCTCGGGTTTACGTTGGTTGCATGAAGTCTGGTCCCGTCCTAGCCAGAAAGTAAGTAAAAATAAACTACCTACCTTCTAAGGTAAGCATTTTTAGGTACTTAAACAGCGTAAAAGCAGAGACCTTTCCGGACATTTAATATATTTCTGACTACAAAACAGGAGTGTAAAGTACCATGAACCAGAGTATTGGAAGTTTGGAGAGGTCGGGAACAAGTACTTCCGCCATGCCACGGGACAGTTTTACGCTATATCTAAAGATCTAGCTACTTACATATTAATAAACCAGTAAGTTTGTTTTCCTAACATGGTTTAATGCAAACCAAAAAGCTCGTGTAAAAAAACCCTTCAATGATCTCATTTATATGGTTGGAATAAGGGATATACTGCATAAGTATGCGAATGAGGATGTTTCGTTGGGATCATGGTTCATCGGACTGAATGTAGAACATGTTGATGAGAAAAAACTCTGTTGCAGTACTTCTACTCATGGTAAAACGTTTAACAATCCTGGTTTGGTTTGGTTTAGTCCATTTATGTTAGTGCTTTTACTATAAGTTGATTTGAAAATGCGCAGATTGTGAACTAAAAGCAGTGATGGGAAATGTTTGTGCTGCGTCGTTCGACTGGAAATGCAGCGGGATCTGTCGGTCGGCTGAGAGGATGGCCGATGTTCACGAACGTTGTGGGGAACCTCAAAATGAGTTGTGGACGTTAACTTCCTGAGAAATCAAAATATACGATACTTCTTACTTATTATATAATGGGTAACTTGCTAATATTATTAGTTGGAAAAAGGAAAAGAGAGCGAAAAGAATTCAAAACATTTTTTGTTTTTTTTTGGGTGGAGTGGGGTTTAGAGTTAGTAGGGTTTTGGTGAGAAAAATAAATAAATGTGATGAGGTTTACAAAAAAATAAAAAAAAAAATAAATAAATAAATGTGATGCAAGAAAAAAAAAAAAAAAAGAGTTAGTGAAGTAGTTTTAAATGAGAGACAAAGAAATAATGTTTTGGTCACATTTGGTTTGTCCTATGAGAGACAGAGAGTCCTTATTGTTGTGCTTTTCTATTAATTTCCACATGTCCTTTTTTTTATTTTGCATCCTCTCATCAATTCTTGTTGGACTACTTCTTCTTAACTTTTTTCATGGAACCATAATATATTTTGAGTTTGATATATAAAGACTTGTTGGTATTTTATCATGTAATATCAGATTTCAATTGCGACTCTTTTGCATATAGTTTTGTAATACTCCTACTCTGAAACGACAAGAAATGACATGTTTAGTTTTTCACTGAGCCAGAAATATTATATAAAGTGTTGTTGTCTCACAAACATACTTCCGGAAATGTGGAACGATATGATTCTTGAGAGCATAAGTCCAGAAAACAGACTTCCTTGTTTTCGTATGATTTTTTAACAGACAAGAAGCATACACGTTTTATTTAAATAACAAATAAGATAAACTCATTCATTCCACAGTTACATTATAGACACAAATGCAAAGATAATTACAAATTGATACTTAATTATATATGTTTCGTAATATCATCAGGATACTAGAAAAACGAAAACAAACAATTACGTTCTAGCTAGTACTTTTACTCTCTTATTAGCATGTTACTATACTTGTAATTCCTTAAATACTTCCTAAAAATAGAAGTGTTAATCGCAGTTGTACTTGGATTTTTGGGTTGTGTGTTGCTCGTTCCTTCGAAGCCTGTAGAGTAAACACACACATATATATATGTATATTTTCAAGAAGCTACTCAAAGGAATATTATTATTCAGAACTGATGATAAACAATAAAAAAGTAATGATACCTTCAATTAGGGTTAGGGATATGATAACCATTCTGGCTAACCGCGTGATATTGGCACGGCTCAATCGAACAACACCGACCTCCATACGCTAAGAGGACAGACTATTTGATTGAGCCGCACTAATATCTCGCGTTATACCTTCCATATATAAAACCATTCTCCTTCGACTATTATTAACTTCAAGATAGCTCAAGAAGAACCAAGAAACGAAAACAAAAAAAAAGTAACATCAACTATGAAACTAAAAACATAATACGAGTATCGACACTAGAAAAGTGTTAATTCACCGTAGAGAAGCATCGGATCCTTGAGAAACTCTTACCCGTATAATAATAATTTCAGACCGACGTCCAAAACCAAAGTGATATATAGTTAGAAGAAGAATCAAAAGAAGAGAAAAAGAAAAATATAGAATTGCGGCTAGTAGCAAAGGTTTAAGGGTATGTGCATAGTGAAGAAGAAGATATAAATACGAAGATGGTTGAAAAGAGAGGCAAGCCAAAGACACCACCAGCATTAAATTAGACCAACAACCCCATACCAAAAAGGAGGTTGGTTTATTAAATTTGAAATTTGTTTCTATGACCCAAAAAAAAACTTATTTTCAAAAAGATAACAATAATAATATGAACTAAGATGAATCAATGATGCCAATAGTTATCGAATATAATCTAATAAAGATGAATTCTGAAGAACAAGTTTTTTGTGTTGTTATTGTCGTATAGAACAATTTTGGAAGAACTTCGATTATATAGTAGTAAAGTAGTTTACACTTTCTTTGTCTATAGGGTAACTTGGTGTGTGTTATATAGTAGTTAGTAGTATAAAAGATAACGACGATAAATCAAAGAGGAGGAACAAGCGAACAAGGTTCCCACGAGCTTTCAATATAGTATTTATGAGGTTTGTAAGGCATGTTGGTGGGGTTGTGCCACTCCCAATATAAACATTTGAAATTTCGAAATTAATATTTGGTGTGGCTCAACTTTCCAAATATTCTCCCTCCCTATTTATTTCGTTTTCTTTGTTAAGTTCCTATCATTTATTTAATACTATTTCCTTAAAAAAAAATGTAAAAAAGATAGTATGTTTCATGTACCTATGGAAACAAAAAAAAACCAATATGCATCGTCTTCAAAAACTTAAATATTCGATTTGCCGACTTATACATCTCAGAAGTTTTTGCAAATGTGGTTTTTGTGTACCTATTGAGAAAGAAATGTATGCATCATTCAAAGTAAATGCATATATTACATAGAATTGTCATGATTTTTGGATGCTTTCATATCAATAGTAGGGTCAAACTTTTTTATATTTAGGAGTTCATATAAATTTTCAATTGTTCATTTAATATATATATATATAGATCTTGCAACAAAATATATTCGGTCGAAAGATTTGCTTAATATATAAATTTAGCTTTGCTGTAAAGATATCATATACAGTATATATGATACAACTACTCTTTCACCCATCTGAACTACTTTTTTTTTTTTTTTTGGGTTCAATTAATCCATCTGAACTACTTTAAATCTTGAAAAAAAGTGGCTCCAAGAAGGAAGTGTTGAATCCTGCAAAGGTTTGTAATTTGATTTTTCTCGTCATCGTACGTGTCTCATTTGTAAGAGTTTATGTCAATTAGCAACATAACCATGAAAGAATAATCGAAACAAGAAAAAAAAAAACACAATAATGTAGTAACCAACTTTATATTAATTTTCTTCTTATGGATATATGAATTTTTGTGATTTTATCAGACAATTAAATTTTCTGAAGGTTAATTAAACCTCAATTTATTCGTGGGATGCACCATTGAAACTCCATAATACTATTTAAAAGAATTGAAAAAATAGTACTATAGAAAGATTGAGATATTGCGAAGGAAAAAAAAAAACAAGAAAAAGAAAAGAAGAAGAATCAGAATCACGTTTTTATATTTTTATTGAGAAGAATCAGAGTCTTTCTTCTTCCTCTGCACAAGATTCTTCATCCAGTTAACACCAATAAATACAACAATCTTAGCTTTGTTAATCCCTGCTTTGGTCTTACCGGACTTCTTCCCGGCGACTTCTTTTTTGCTGTTAGCTGTCTCTTCCGGCGCCATCACCCCAATTCCTCCGGTGCCCCATTGATCAGCCCAACTCGGTGCTTCACTCGCCATTTTGTTTAGTTATTCCCCAATATCTTATGTGCCTATATATCAAAACATATTAAATGTGATCAAACCATCTATGAGTATATATATATAACTCATAAGTTATGTTGCATATAAACCAAACTTATACCTCTCTCTCTCTCTCTGATTCTTGGAGCTCTTCTTGGTAAAGAGAGAAGAACACAATTTTGGATGAGCAGATTAAGTGGAAATGTGGAGAATGACGACTAATAGTGGATGGGTTGTCAATTTTTTTGGCTTTTAATGTAAATGTAAACTATACTTTATATTTTTGGTTGTTATCTAAATGTTTAAATATGATTATTTGGGTTGTCCTGGAATGGACTTGCCAACTCAAGTTAGTTCGTTTCCAACTTGCAAAGCAAACGTTGTTTTGGAATCTTTCAACTTCAGTTTTTTGTATGTATATATACCTTTTAGTTTAATGGGTAGGAACAATAACTTTCTTCTACGTAACATCGACATGGTGAAATATGTTTTTTACACTCCAGTCTATGGAAACAGAGATTATAAGAATTAAGAAAACAAAATGGTGTTGAGGAACAAAATCTATCTTGTCATTAAATTTGGGGATTATAGTTGGAAAAACAGAACGTTCATCCCAACTAATCAATCTTAGAACCATTGATCAGCGCATAAACTGTCGAACTATTGCCATTGTCTAAATAAGATAATCACGAATGAAAGACTTGTATCCCCTAGAATTGGGTATATATGGACATCGAAATCATCTTTTCTTGAATGTCTAGATTGATTATTTTTGAGTGAGGAGTTTATCTTTACACAAAAAAACAACAACAACAAAATTCATAGGATTTGTAAATGATCTAAAGTCTAAAATATATATCGTCACTTTTTTTCTTCAAAAATATGTAGGTGGCCAATTAATCCAAATCCGAATAATGACATAATGATAATGTTATTACAAAACCACTAGATATAGTACATATCATGGTCCCAAGATATTTATTTATTTGGAAAAATTACTTTAGCACATCCACAAGATAGTGTTAATTTTTTACCTACAAAACAAATAAATAATATAAGTTTAGTGAAATATTAGGTAGAAAAGATTTTTTTTTTTTTTTCTCTTCGATTTCTTAATAGAAATATATCAAAGTGCGAATACTGAAGAGCGTTATGAAATAAGATCAAATATGCATGATGCAACTGTCATAGCTTTTGATTTTGTCTGAATATCACTCTATCTATATATATTGAAAACTATCAACATCTAGATGACTTTGTATAGAATCACCTGATTTATCAGAGTTGCTAGTCCACTTATATCCCGTTGGTATAATGAATGGATCCACCATTTGTTCCTCTACCTCCAAACGCCGCCGTGAGCTCTTGCCGCCGGTACTGATGTTAAGTCTCAACCAAGAAGGCGTTGAAAACGATGGCTGTGAAGTTGAGATTTTTCTCTCGGATTTGTCGTCACCTTCCACGTCGTGTTGATGGTCTTCCATTGCAGCTGAAAGATGTTTTGGACTTGAGAGTGGTGTGTAGAACTCATCCAGCGGCTGAAGAGGCACGAACTTGGTGAATGTCATGACTACCTTCACTGTTGGGATCACCGGTATGGACAACTAAAAACAAAAACAAATACATGTTGACGTGAAAAGCAAAAATCTAATTTAACATATCCAACCAATGAAACTATGACACGTCTGATATGTTAGTCCATGCTACTATTAATTTCTCATGCAAAATAATAATAATAATGTCCAAGATTAATGCTCTTAAGTCACCTTGACCGGAAAAGTTCCCGGCGGGAACTTGGCAGTAAGCAGCTCTCGCATTCTCCTGACAGCTTTGACATGGTTTGCTAAAATATCAAGCAACGGAAGCAGCTCCTCTGTTTTCAAAGGAAACTGATCCGTTAACCAAACCGATGGACTCAGACTCTTGACAAACTCTTTCTCTTTGATCCTTGCCACAGAAGAAGCCACCGGAATAGCCACTTCCGGTAAAGAAACTGACCTTCTCCTCGGTGACCGCGGCTGAAACTCTTTACCCTCAGCGTTAATACACCGCCTCTGCTCTGTTTCCACTTTCCTCGATTTGAAACTGAAACTAACGTTTTCGACATCGTAAGCTTTCGCTTTCCATTCTCCAACGGTTTCAATCTTCTCTTGCCTTCGCCAATTCGTGATCTTGACGAGCTCAGCTTTAGTAACATCCATCCCAGGACGGTACAAGCTAGACTGAGCGCAAAAGCCAGCGATGTCCTTGTCGCTAATAGGATCTTTAGCGTTTTCGAAAGCGTTCAAGATCGTCTTGTCGTCTCTGTTCAACACAAGCAACGTACCAGGAGCGACATCAAGAAACTCGTCTCCATCACTGAGAAAGAGAAAGCTCTGGTTCGCGCGTCGGATCTTGAAACCGTCGAATCCGGCTAAAGAAGTATCGGCTCGTAAGTCTCCGCCGCGTTTCCAGATCTTGTAGGTGTCGGAAGGAGCGATTTTTCCGACGAATGGGATCACGGAGCTCTCGAAGTGAAACGATATCTCCATGTAGAAATCTCTCATGCGGCGAAGCACGGAGATCAGATGAGGAAGCCTCCGTCTCCATTTGCACCACGCCGAGCGGTGGTGGTTCCGGAGAATCTCTTCTGTGATCTCTGAGTTCCGACGACACAATGCCTCGTGCAGAGCATTCCACCCGGCGGCGTTTTGGAGCGTGATATCAGCTCCGGCGGAAGCAATCGTCTTCACCGCGAAAACGTCTCCGAGACGCACCGCTAAATGGAGAGGCGTCTCTCGTAAGGGAACGTCACGGCGGTCGAGGACGGCGGAGATTTGCTCCGCGACTCGCTCTTGGCTTGCTGAGTCGGACTCAGTGTGGATTTGTTCCGGTTCGGTTAGTTTAGGCAACGACGAGACTAGACGAGTCAAACTAACATGATCTCCTACAACGACGGCGTAGTGGACGGGACTGTGAGCATAATCCTCTAACGTAGTGGCCGGAGTATTTGCAGGCGACGACTTTGCCATGATTTTCCGGTGACCGTTATAGTGACACTAATGAGAGAGTTGAATAACAAGTCAGTTTCGAATTTATCTTATCTTTTGGACAACAGTCAACGTATATACAATAATTTCTTGGGCAGGTGACTATTTCATAGATTAATTATCCCGTAATCTTTTTTTTTTAATACATTTTAGGCCATTTTGGTTTACATTCCTTTTTTTTTTTAATTGAAATGTATTCTAAATCTTTGTTTTGGCAACAAATGACTGAATCTTTGAATTCGTTTATTCAAACTCTACTTGACCTCTACACCGTTCAACAAAACATGGTGCATGCATTTATATTCAACACAATGGGATTCATATGAGAATATAAGATATACTTGTATAAAAAAATATCAGTCAATGAAGCTAATTAAATTCTGAGTTTGTGTGTTTTCTATAAGTGTTGTGGTCAAGCAATAACTAATGGATCATAATGGTACATAAAAGTTAGAACAACGTTCACAAGTTCAGTTTCTCACAAACCACTCTTTATTAACAATTTTTTTCGCTCAAAATGTACCAATTATTTAACTATTTCTACGAATATACATCAACTATTAGCACTTTTGAAATATATACAAGTTAACAATTTTGCTCTTATTATTTCACATTGACCAGTGACCATCATACACTTCTATATGAAATAAATTTTTAAATAATTTTTGAATTTGTATGATGAATTTTGTTTCTTCCTTTGAAAAGAAAAAAAGATTTGTGGGTGAAATTCTTTATAATATGTTTCATGAAAATACAGTAATTACAATTATTTTGGGAGTTTTAAAATCAAAACCTTCTGGCTCAGTCTGAGTCTCTTGGACCTGTCTCTATTGATATTACCTTGGTTGGGGTCAGTTAAAAGTCCGTGGCCAAACAGTAACCTTGAGTCTTTGCCGTCCTCTGTCCATCTATCCACGCCTGAACCCGGAAAACAAAAATCGTTATTTTGATTCTTTGAACAAGAAATAACTCAGAAACCTGAGCTCCGGTAATGGCGGGTTTGGCAATTTCACCTCCTCTTGGTCTTTCCTTCTCTTCACGAACTCGAAACCCTAAGCCCACTTCGTATCTATCTCCCAGTCAAAGGTACTACCTTAATGAAAACGTAATCACACTTTTATGATTATATGCTTTACCTTCAATCACCAATTCGGTCCATGACCCAAACTTGATTCGTGTAGGAATCCTATAAGACGTATAGTTTCAGCTCTGCCGAGCCCATATGGAGATTCATTGAAAGCTGGTAATTTTAAAAGCATTTGGGGGTTTAGGTTTTTTCTATATGTTGGAACTGAGTTACTTGCTGCTGGAGAGTATTGTTTCAGCTTCCGGATTTAGTTATTTTGTGTCTAAGATTGGGTTGTGTTTGATTCAGGTCTTTCGAGTAATGTTTCTGGGTCGCCAATAAAGCTTGACAACAAGGATCCAAGGTCTCTATTTCTGTTCTCCCTCTAGTTTTGAATTCACCATTCTCTCACAGTTTATGTTTTCACCATTGAAGTTGCAATAGCTCACTGCCTTTCGTGTTTCTATGACATTCTTAAGTCTTTAGCTCTTTCAGTATACAGTTCTGTGTCTTTCTCTAAGGTAGATTGATTGTTAGAGTTCTTGGTACTAATGTCAACTTTGAACCTGCAAGTTATATCATGTTTGACACTCTCTCTTATGATATTATATCATCGACTATATGGTGGCATGTAAATTAGTTGATAGATAGCTCACTCTTTCTCTTTTCAGTGTACTCAGCTGATTTTGTTTCTGTTTTGCATTGTTTAGATTTGGAGTGATTGAGGCAAAAAAAGGAAACCCGCCTGTAATGCCTTCGGTGATGACCCCTGGAGGGCCTTTAGACCTTTCTTCTGTGTTATTCCGCAACCGCATAATCTTCATTGGACAACCAATTAATGCACAGGTGGCTCAGAGAGTCATATCTCAGCTTGTAACTCTCGCATCTATTGATGATAAATCCGACATCTTGGTTAGTTCAAAGCTCTTTGTTCCCAGTCACTTTTCAATAAAGTAAAATATCATCTGTGACTTACAAGTAATCTTGTTTCAGATGTACTTGAATTGTCCTGGTGGCAGCACCTACTCCGTCTTAGCAATTTATGACTGTATGTCTTGGGTAAGTTTTGTTCCTAGAATAACGTTCCCATCACCCAGAAACTTTGGTATATTAACCTACTGAAGTTGCTCGAAATTTATTTTTAGATTAAGCCTAAAGTTGGAACAGTGGCGTTTGGAGTAGCTGCAAGCCAAGGAGCACTTCTTCTTGCTGGGGGTGAAAAAGGAATGCGCTATGCAATGCCAAATACTCGGGTCATGATACATCAACCACAAACTGGATGTGGAGTATGGCTCTTCAATCATCTTGTTAATACCATTTTAGTTGGAGTCATATATGCGTATGAACTTAGTTGATTTCTTGCTAACATAATTTTGCAGGGACATGTGGAAGACGTGAGGAGACAAGTGAATGAAGCCATTGAAGCACGACAAGTAAGTCTCTCTCTTTTATCCTCATGCTTCTTTCTGTAAGAATATGACAGATTGAGCGAGTCTCTGGAGCTAAAATTTGAATAGCTGATCTGGTGGATCTCTTTGGTGTCTCTACTTGCAGAAAATTGACAGGATGTATGCAGCTTTTACTGGACAACCTCTTGAAAAAGTGCAGCAGTACACCGAAAGAGATCGTTTCTTATCCGCATCTGAGGTAATTTGCCGCTAATCTCATGGTTAAGTTAATATTACGAATCAAGTCTTATATATTAACTCGAATTCCTTCTATGAGCTATGGTTCAGTGGTAGTTAGGAATTAAGAGGCCTCGATTTCAAAACCAGTGATGAGCCATGGCTAGTGGACTTTGGCTTTTGTTTGTTTGTTATGTTCCTCCTGATGTTTCACACAATGATATTTCTTGGTTGTTTTCTTATGCAGGCTCTTGAGTTTGGGCTTATTGATGGATTACTGGAAACAGAATATTGATACAGCTCATTGCAATGTTCAAAGCTTCCAATTTCAATTGAATATGAACACTTGTAACTGACATTTGTGTATAAACCAGTTTGGTTTTCTTGGTTTACAGTCTACTAAACAGAGAACTAAGCTGCTTCTTTTTTGTTGGCGCTGAAACAGTCTGAAAGCTTATGTTCTATTTTTGTTACACTCGATAACCAAGCATACCAGAACTTTATGAAAAAACAGATTAGTTTGGTCGGCTTGTTACTATTCAGTTGAAAACTTAATCCTATACAATGCCAAGGCATATATTGTTTGGGGTACTGAGTGTATGTTACATAGAACTGTAGGAACACAATGTGAACAAATTGGCAACAACTGCAGCACTGAATCAATACTTTATGAGCTTTCAAATTCACTAACGGTAACTGTGTGGATTACAAACCAAAAATTGATCTCTGAAACTCTGCTCTCTCATCACCATTAAGTTCCTGTCAAGAAAAACCGAAAACATCCCAGTTAAACAAAACAGAATACTTTATGAGTACAGAGAAAGATTCAAAAGACAAAATGGTGACACAGTCCGCTTAAAGGTAGAAATTTTAGACTTTAGTGTCTAGAGAACTGTGAACTGATCTTCTGTTGTCAGTCACTCTGTCACTCTATATATACTTGTGCACGTGCACACATGTGAAATAGTAGGAGATGAAAGGCTTACCATAGTTTTGGTGTACACCTGTGAACTTGTGAATTGCCTTCAAAAGGGAACCATATCTCATATACTTCAAAGATCCCATATGTCTGTCAACAAACAAATACCAAGAAAGACAAACTCTATGAGACTTAGCTCTAAAGATATAAGAGAAAAGAGTAAAACGCACATACACTATCTCAGTGTATCGAAGTCTCCAAGCAGGAAAACCGAGGTGGCTCCTTATAGGTCCATAAACCAGCAACAGATCAGGTGCATGTACATTCTCACCTGCCAGATTTTAAATCATTAGATTCTTGGAAAGAAACCTACAAGGAAGACTTGAATTCCATTTGAGATAATCAACACAAACCAACAACTCTTAGTGCTTCGTTCAAATGAGTCTCTGTAAAAAAGTTTTCCCCTTTATCGTTCTCGGGATGGCTGGATGTCAGGTATCTCTGAAGAAGTATGTTGGCTGCTTTCATAACAGCTTCTTTATTGTCAGAAGATGAAATGAACTCTAATGCCAAGCGATTTTGGTCAGGCGAAAAATCCTTTTCAGCAATCTCCTGGGAAAGAAGAACAAATACATTGAGAAGGTAAAGTTAAAATCTGAAGCTCATGGAAAAAATCATTAAACTCTGAAGCTCATGGAAAAAATCAAAGTGACATCATTTGGATACTTTCGCGCGATAGTAATATCAATATGTACATTTCTTTTCCTATCTATAAAATCCTTTATATCTCAAGCTAGAGAAGCTAAAGATTGTGATTCATGAGCAAAGAAACAAACTGAATGAAGCTATAAGACTCTTATACCTCTGACAACATTGAACCTGGGATGGTTCCAAGAATCAAATCCTTGGATTTCTTTAATAAACCTAAAGAAGCAAACTTCAACAATCATATTTGTGTTAATAAACGAAAAACTAAGAAAATTAGCTAAAGCATGTACCTTGCGAGTCAAATAGACCAACTTGTTTCACCCCAATGGTTCTTAGCCATTGCAAAAGCTCAATAACCTTGGTAACATCTCGAGCTTCTTCGATATCCACTACAACAGCTAGACACCGGAGTTTCGCAATATTGATGGAACTGTACTTTTTATTCAACCCTAACGATATAGCATAGCTTTCCACAGCCTCAATGATGCCAGAGACAATGTACCATAAGCTCACAACAAGGTGTATGAAACGCCATAGCAAATCAAGACCAAAACCACCGATCTGACGAAAACAATTCAACACCCAAATAAACATACAATTACAGAATTCGTGATTAACAATCTCAACTCGCACTAATGATATAAAAGAGGCTGTAGGCATCACAAAACCGCTCTTGATCACTTAAATTTCATAAGCCTCGAAGCATTAATGAAGTAAAGCCTCGTAATGATTATATCACCAATAAGGAACTAAAAACTCACTTGACCAATCCAAGAACTCAGGAGCAGCATAGATTGATTCAAATCCATATATCTGAAAATTCAGGAAAACAAACCGAATTTACAGTAGCGCACATAATAGAAGCAGACAATTAGCAGAGACAGGATTAACAAAAGACACAAAGACAGATCGAGGAGAAGACAAAGACGCACCCGTAAATAAGGAAGGTGTTTGCTGCGTGCGTTGGGGACGTTTTGAAACCAAACTCCGAATAACCCAATCGAACTATCTTAAAAGCCAAAACTCCTTATTTGACATGAGATAAAAGAGAAACCTTTTTAGAGTCTAGCTAGACCCAGATCTCAGAATCCGATTATTGTGATATTTTGCTAAGGTTTTAGCAAAATAATCACCTAGTAGTATGCAAACTAAACGAACGCTGTATCGTGAGAGTCTGAGACGTCTGGAGTTCAAAAACTCTATCAAGTTAAGTGTTTCTAACCTTTTCTCGTCACGGTTTTGTTATGAATGAGACAACTTTATTGTTTGTTTTCGTTTTATGGTTTTGCTGTGAATTATATAGCTATCAAAATCATACATATTCCTTGGGGGTTATAAACTCCTGATAATCATGGTTAATACAAAACCCTTAATGTATCAGATCAAAATTAGCATTTTTGTTTTTATTTTTGAAACAAGAGAAACAATAACATACAATATGAAGAATCAGAACAACAACTAAAAGGTAAAAACCAGCCTCTTTACTTGAAATTCAGAACTAAATGCAGAATACGAGTAACAGTCAAAAGTCCTATAAAATCAAAACCCAATTGTTGCTTCTTGCTTGGTTCAGTCACATCTAATAACAGAAGATAACACTGATTAGGCCACTCTTCCTCAGGAGTTATGAAGCTGCTGCGGTTGTAGTGTATTTCCAAGTTCAAAAGGTTTGTGTAGGCAGACACACTATTGAGCCGAGTCTTCAGCGAATCTAGTATCAAACCCAGTAGAGGAGGACTGCAAAGATCCAGGAGCTACACCAGACCCACGTTGTAGCTCAAGAACAAGCCATCGAACAGCTCTACTCATCTGTTCAAGCCTTACTGCACTAATAGGCGGGAGACTAGTCGCAGCACCAGTAGCTGCCGCTGCTTGGCCTCCTGAGTTACCTGATGCAGTAGTTAAACCAGTAGCCTCATCAACTAAACACTCAGATCCAATCCTCTGCTTCACTGACTCCACAAACTCCTCTGCTTGATCACAAGCCACACGGAACAGTTCCCATTTCTCCTTGAAATTCTCCAACGCAGCATCAGTGAGAGAAGCTTTTTGCCCTCCTGCACTCTCTTTAGACTCAAGAACACTAGCTGAAGCAAGAACAAACTTCTCGTAAGCTTTGTTCAATGAATCCACAATGTTATCCATTTGATCAATCCCCTACAAAAAAAAAAAGCCCAAACCAAGTATCAATCAATACGAGATTATATGAGATTTCAAGTCAAACAAGTGCCCAGCAAAAGTACAGATCTTTAGAAATAAGAAACCTAAACCTCGAAATTCTGAATTCGTTAAGGCTAAAGCTAACCACAGAAGAGAGAAATCAAAATCTAAGACACAAAAAAGATGCAACGGGAGCTAAATCATAAAAAAGATTACATCTTTGAGATAGTAATTGCACGAAATTGCAAATGTACGATTTTTCTCGCGAACCCAAGTTGGAAGTGAACAATATATACCATTCACGGCATAGATAAATCACCTGTTTGAAGAAAATTTGAATATTTAGACCAATTTTAAGGCAGAAGAATCCAACAAAATCATCCCCAAAAACCGCCGGAGAGAAGAGAGAAAGATGAGAAACTTACCACCGGAGATGAACGGAGAGACTCGATTTGTATGAATTGTCTGGTTAGGTTCCTATATAGATTTAAAATTGAAATTAACACAACACTGGTTTTAATAATACAAACCGGACCAAACTAAACCGGATCTAAACCATATATGGTTCTCCACCATCCAATCCACCATGTAACGAACGTTTTCAAAAACGCTTTGATAATCAATATTCTAATAATAACTGTAAAAAGGATAGCTACGTTTTAATTATATATATATAGTAGTATAGAAAACACAAGAAGATTCATCATTCATCAAGTTAATCAGCTTAAAACAATCTAGAGAGAATTAAAAAAATGAAAAACATTACAATATTATTCTTTCTAGTTGTTTTAGCTCTTTGCATGATTGACAATGCATACTCAAAAAACCCGTTCAAAGGGAAACTGACGACGTTGTATTTCAGGAACGACCTTTCACACAACAAATGGCTAAAGGTGCGTTGTAAATCTGGAGACAAGGACGTTCATGAAAAATATATGGGTCCTGTACACGATTGGTCGTTTAGTTTCCACGATAAGTTTCTGGGGGGAACACTTTACTGGTGTACGTTGTCTAAAGGACCTGATTACAAGGTACACAGGACCTTCGATGCCTATGTTCAAGACAATAGAAAGCCTCACGGAACCTACTACAGTTACATTGCTCGAGAGGATGGGATCTATCACATTACTATGGTTTATGGTGTACGCAAGGTGCTTGATTGGTAGCTAGGGATCCATGCTATTATATCATCTTCTAATTATCTTGTTGTCCAGTATTTCATATATAAAGCTTGTTCAAATCACTGATTTGATAATAGTTGTAATTAAGAAACTTATTATTCACTTCATGTAAGAAATCACTCTTTTCTTTTCTTATAATAAAAGCAAAGAGGGAGAAATTTCATAACGATTTGAAGAAGACAGTTTGTGTTATGTTTTATCTTGACCTAATACAAATACGTTTCTTGTTGCTTGAATTTATTTTACTTAATGGTAAGAAAACACGTATCGTTGATACATGTTTTACGTTAAATCAGTGATACGTATTTTTCTCATTAATTTGTTTGCAAAATCCTTCAACAACATTTCAAATGATTTTGAGAAAGAGTATCATATATGTTGGTGCTACTCTGGCTCTCAAAATTAAAAAAAAACTTTCGGAAACATTAATTTAACTGCATGAAGAGAACATGTCGTCGTTTCGTATAATCTTCTACAAGTAGAGATTTTATTGAGAAGTTTTGGCCTTGATAAACTATGTCATGACTAATAGAATAGAGTCAGTCATTCCGGCAAACACTCTTTGCTTTGGCATATGCCACTATAGAATTTAACTACGTACAACCTCTAGATGGATGGAAGTATGGAACCAAATCATCGCCTTTATCGCAACTGCTACAAGTATGCATGCAAGCCCACCCCTCTCTCTCTCTCGTTTATGGCAAACATAAGAAGCATCAAACATGACATAATTGTAAGAGTTGGTTGGTTCTTTTTTTGGTCTTCCAAGAGTTAGTTGGTTCTTTTGTTTTGGTCAACCAAGATTTAGTTGGTTCTAGAATTCAAGTTCAGGGCTAACTCTGATTCATTTCATTTCCTTCAAATAGACCAATTTGGCTCTGTAACTTTTTTTTTTTAATTCTCAAGCTTTCAGTAGAAAATTGAACTTATAAAAAATAAATGAAGGGTGAAAGTAAAACTTGTCTCTATTCTCTTCCCAACGCTAACCTAATTAGACAATACCTCTTCTTTAATCTCTTTCTCGCAATACCTTCTAAAAGTTTTGTGCTCTTTCTATAGTTAACTTGATTATATTACAATCTTGAATAGCCAAAGAAACAAGAATAACTTTGACCAAATATAACAAATCCTAAAAATGGCCAAAGATAAGAATCACAACAGAAATTTAAAAGACGACCCTCCCATTTACTATACTATTTATACTACAGAAAAATTCAATTAGCAAAGCAAAACAAAAAAAAATGAAGATCTTTTGTTTAATTCTCTTCTTATTTGTCTCCACTTGTCTTGCCGTCGAACCTCCTCCTGAAACAATCTACCAAAACTTTCTCCAATGTTTCACAAACCAAACAAGCGCTCCTCCTAACTCATTGTCCGACGTTGTTTTACCAAAAACCGCTGCAGCTTTCACCCCCGTCCTGCGCGCTTACATCCGAAACTCGCGTTTCAACGTCACAACAACTCCAAAACCCGCCATCGTAATCGCGGCGCGTTCTGAGAGCCACGTCCAAGCTGCCGTCGTCTGCACGAAATCCCTAAACATCCAGCTGAGAACTCGAAGTGGTGGCCATGACTACGAAGGCGTTTCCTACGTCTCTAACGTTCCTTTCTTCGTCCTCGACATGTCCAATCTGCGTAACATCACCGTGGACGCTGCCAGCGCATCCGCATGGGTCGGAGCTGGTGCTACACTCGGTGAGGTTTATTACATGATTTGGGAAAAAACCAAAAGTCACGGCTTCCCTGCTGGAGTTTGTCCCACGGTCGGAGCCGGAGGTCACATTAGCGGTGGTGGTTATGGAAACATGATCAGAAAGTACGGCTTGTCAGTTGATTACGTTACCGACGCAAAAATCGTAGATGTTAATGGACGGGTTCTTGACCGGAAAGGAATGGGAGAAGATCTGTTTTGGGCGATTAACGGCGGAGGTGGTGCGAGCTTCGGTGTGATCTTAGCTTTCAGGATCAAGCTTGTCCCTGTCCCACCGACCGTAACTGTTTTCAGAGTAGAGAAAAACTTGGACGAGAATGCTGTTGACATGGTCCATAAATGGCAGTTCGTTGCTCCCAAGACTGATCCTGGTCTATTCATGAGGCTATTGTTACAGCCGGTGACTCGGAATAATATCCAAACTGTTCGAGCATCTGTTGTGGCTCTGTTCTTGGGTAACAGAGACACTGTTATGTCTACGCTGACCAAAGATTTCCCGGAGCTTGGTTTGAAGAAGGAGAATTGCACAGAGATGACGTGGATACAGTCGGTGATGTGGTGGGCAAACAATGACAACGCCACACAGATTAAACCCGAGATTCTACTGGATCGGAACCCCGATTCAGCATATTTCTTGAAACGGAAATCCGATTTTGTCGACAAGGAGATCACCAAAGAAGGGTTAGATTTCTTGTTCAAGAAAATGATTGAAGTTGGGAAGATCGGTTTAGTGTTTAATCCTTACGGAGGGATAATGACCGAGGTGGCTCCGACAAAGACTCCATTCCCGCACAGGAACAAGCTTTACAAAATCCAGCATTCGATGAACTGGAAAGATCCGGGAACAGAGGCGGAAAGCAGTTTCTTGCAGAAGGCGAGAACCTTCTATAGCTACATGGCTCCTTATGTGACCAAGAACCCTAGACACACGTATATTAATTACAGGGATCTGGATATTGGAGTTAATAGCCATGGCCCAAACAGTTACAGAGAGGCAGAGGTTTATGGGAGGATGTATTTCGGTGAGAATTTCGATCGGTTGGTGAAAGTGAAAACTGCCGTGGATCCGCAAAACTTCTTCAGAGACGAACAGAGTATACCTACCTCGTCTATCAAACCACCTAGGCGTTAGTTTGTAGCCACCTAAGTGAGTTTCCTTGGATTTCCAAAACTACAATATACGAATATGTATGCTATCTGAAAAATGATGTTCCCTTTTTGTAATTAATTATACAATTGTTCTCAATAAGACAATAACAGTCTATAACCTCAAAATTTCAGCAGAAACTAATCTGCTTGTGTATGAACCGTACCCCAGTTTCGGTCATATCTTACATAATCAAGAGATTCTATGATCCTAAGGACATAAGTAACCAAAATAGTGCAACATAACAAGGGGATGCTTCTAGAATCTTCTCGCTCCATGCTAATACAGATGCTTATATAGACACCAGGAGCATTCAGGGAACTCAAAAAACTTGCCTGATGTTTATATTGATCCTCGAAGTTTTAATGTATTCAGCGAAAAAATTTCCACTTTCACGGGACAACTCTGATTCAAGCACGCCAATTTCTGCATTCTCTTCGTCCGTAAAGATACGGGGTACGCCTGCATAATCAACAGATCTATCTCAAACCAAGCTGTATATTAACAATTTCAAAGTCAAAGATAGTATATGAGCAACCTGGGTTCTTTCTGCGATCGAGTATATCTCGAATTCCGAGTGTCAAAAAGACTATATAAAGTGAAGCAGGTTACCGTGATAGCATTCTCTGGCATCTCCAGCCATTAGTACAACATCTCCACTTCTGAGATACATAGCATGAGGAGGATCCTCTTTCGATTTTCCGCCTAAGAGGAAAATAGCTTTACATCCCAGGCTGCGTAAGGAAAAGAACTCACTATCGTGCTTCAAAATATGTATGATATTTACGTTTTTCTGAGACAGGAGGCAAAGAGATACCTCATGCTTACTATGGGTTTACTCCAGTCAGCTTCCATGTCATCAAGGTGGCCTCCAAGGGTATCACCTAAAGAATGAGTTACAAGATATTCAAAGTTCAACATCTATTAAAGATTTACCATTTCCAAAGCAAGAAATACACAGGTTAAGGTAACTCTACCTAAGCCAAAATAGTTTACAATTGCACCCTCTGGACGAAATTCCTCCCCGGCAGGCATCGCAATGGCGGCGTGTTTCTTAGCTAATTGACAGAGTGCATCAGGGATGTCGTTATGAGGGAGAGCAACATCATAGTTACGCTGGAAAAAAAGGAAGAGAAAAGTCTCAGCATTCATTCAGACTGCACACTAGGTTGCCAAAACTCATCAAAACAAGTTCAAGTTTTAGACCTTGGACCAATCAAACTGTAGACCAAGGGTGCTCCAACGAAGCTTCCTCAAAAGAACTGAAGCAGAAACTGATTTGCAACTTCCTTGTTTTGCTTTTGCAATACCTTCTTCTTCATAAAACTTCCATCTGTTGTCGGTAAGATCCTCTTGAACCAATACCTTGTTTTGTTTAGCTGAATCAAACAAATCAGCAATAGGACCATAGATAGCATTGTGGTTTGTTCTATTAGGAGGCTGCGGAAAATTCGTCAAGCTCTCTTTGATCCATTTGCATTGCTCCTCCAAGCTCAATGCACCAGGGATAAAGTAAAAACCTGTATAATGATAATATTTCTCACTTTCATAAGTTTAGGCTAATTTGTTCAAAAAAACTGAGTCTCTGGATCCTAATTTGACACAGGAGATATGAAAAGAGGGGATTTTTACTTACCGGGTCGATTCTCGATGCAGAACACAGGGGAAGAATCAACTTCGACAACCCTAATTCCGTCAGGCAAAACACTAGTTTTGTTGAAATCTTTTAGAATCAAATCGAAATCAAGCAATTCAGACAAATCAATCGGCTTTGGGAGCTTCTTCCTGAGAGTTCAAGAGTGGAATATATAAGTGGAATGGTGATACAAACAAACGCAAGTGAAGTCGAAGATTAGGATTTAGAAGTTTGGCTTACTTTCTAGAGAATTTAGAATCCTGTTCATAGTAAAGTTTGTATTTTTTCTCAGCTCGCCGGAATGCCGTACGATCTGCATCGTCAGAGACGTTCGCCGCTTCGTACATCTTTCAAACTTCACCGTTCGACGACTAGTCTAATCTCTGGCTCGCGAATTAACGAAGCCGAGTTTATTTTATTAGAGTGTTCCCTCTTTCTGATAGGGTAATATATTCATATAAAATTCACAAACCAATAACACCCTTTTAGTTTTAGTGAAAAACTGAAAATAATATTAGAGCTAATTCTTTTTCAATCTTTACTATTGATTCCCATTCATCAAACAATTAATCTAGAGAATATTTTAATTAAATATTTAAATACCATACTCTAAAATAAATTCTAATTATACCACAAAACTTTTCTTATTAAACTTACCCAAAAAAAAGAAGAACTTTTCTTATTAAGGTTTGAAAAAGTTTAGCAACTCTTTTTGCACAAATCCTTTTAATTAAGTCACATTAAAGTGCTCCATTTACTTTTCAACCAATTGTCAATGTGTCATCAAAACTATTTATTGTTGACAGAAAGAAAAGAAAAGAAAAAAATCTATTTCCTTTTTGTCGGCGAATTATTTAATTTAATTTAAAAAACAAAATGAAAAACGTATGTGTATGTGTGTGTAAGTAAACGTCTTGCAAGTGTGGACCTTTCCGTCTGAGAGGAGTATTCAGAGTTTGCTCTTCTTTTGAAAGACCTTCCAGAAAACAAAATCCAGACTTTTTTCTTTTTTGTTGTGACTTGACGTTATCTCCATGACTCTCCATTCTTTCCTACCAAACCCATTTGCCCATTGCGACTTCTGTTGACCTAATTCCTCTATATCTCTCTTTCACATTGCTCTCGATTTAGTCCTCTGTCGAAAAAAAATCTCTCCTTTTGCCTATGGCTCTGAGGTGTTTTCCCATTTGGGTTTCTCCCCAAACGTCTCATCGTTCTCCTCTTGTGGGTCTCTCCGAATTCGAAGCTAGACGCCGTCGTTTCTGCCTCTGGGAGTGCTCTTCTTCAGCTTCTCAGAGAGCTGTCACTGCCATTGAAAGCGATATTCCGTATGGCCGTGAGCTCAAAAAGTCCTCTGATGAAATGGGTCTGACTCGGGAGGCTGAATCGGTTACTTTTCATCGAGACTTGAGTATGCTTCCTAGTGAGTCGTCTCCTTCACCCTCCCAGTTTCATCCCGAACATGTTGTTTTGTGGAAATGCTGATTGGGTTGTTATGTGTGATGCGATCATCGAAAATTCGAAATTGTAAATCTTTAGGGGATGTTTTTAGCTGAATTTGATTTTGTAGGATCCTTTGTTGAAGTAGGATGAGAAAGCATGCTCAGAAATGTTGTTTCGCATTCTTACCAATAGCCTAGACTACGTCTCAAGAGATAACAATGATCATGTCCTTGCATCGTTACTTGTTTCTGTTATATGTGCAATTATGCATACAATTCCATTAAAGTACTCTGTACGTTTGGTCTATAGATTGCTGGATTTAAGAGTTGTTTAGGCTGTTGCAGCTACCCTGAAATTATGTCTTGACATTACTAATGTTTGTCGCCTATGTCCCGTTCTTGATTCCAATGATGGTAAATGTCTTTGACATTTGATTCCTTCTGTTAAGTATCCATATTCGTAGCTGCACTTGATGTTAAGATTCGATCTTTCTTGTCGTGTAATGGATCAATATCATTGCAACACAGGGCTTTGCTATATATGAACTGATCTAAGATACTTGAGTTATAACACTGTTATTGAAAGTGGAGTACTAGATATGTTTTGTTAATACTAGATTCTTGATTCCTACAAGTGTATCAATCTGCATTGAATGTGAAGTACACGATATGTTTGTTATTACTGGTTTCTTTTTCCATATTAGTATCTGCATTTGATGTTTCAAATTCGACCTTTCTTGTTATGTAGTCTCATAGGTAGATAGATCAATCATTGTCCTTTGCATCGCAGCATAGGGTTTGCTACACGTATTGCAGTCTGTTTTGGAAATGAAATTACTGGAAATATTTTGTTAATACTAATATTTTTCCATATTCGTAGCTGCATTGATGTTTGAAATTCGATCTTTCTTGTTGTGTTGTCTCATAGGTTGATCAATTATTGTCATTTGCATCATAATATAGGGCTACGTATAGTTTTTGGAAATAGACGTACTCGATATGTTTCGTTAATACTAAGTACTTTTTCCATATTAGTACCTGCATTTGACGTTTCAGATTTGTCCATTCTTGTCATGTAATCTCATAAATGGACCAATCATTTTCATTTGCATCACAACATAGGGCTTACTACACGTGTATCGATCTGCACGATATGTTTTGTTAATACTGGTTTCCTTTTTCCATAATAGTAGCTGCATTTGATGTTTTGAGATTCAGTCTTGCTTGTCATGTAGTCTCACTCATAAAGGGATCAATCACTTTCATTTGTATCATGCCATAGAGACACGTGTTCTCGATCTATTTGAGTGAGAAGAAGCTTGCTTTTTATAATGTTGTTAATGAACAGTAATGTACCACATCCAATGCATTGTCTGTCATATCTTTGTTATTATCGATCTCATTACTTTTTAATATCTTCCCATTGCAAGCCCTAACATCCAAAATTTGAATACAGAACCGCTCACTGCAAACAGTCTTTACTCTTCTGCCGGCAATGATTCAAAAGTGCGGATTTCATTTCAGGTGAAGTATTAATTCCTTTCCTAATTGCAAATTTGTGTTTCTCGTTCTTTAAGTTGCTTGTGTTCACATACACTCTACAATTGCAGGGCATACCAGGTGCATATAGTGAGACAGCAGCACTAAAAGCATATCCAAATTGTGAAACCGTGCCATGTGAACAGTTTGAAGCTGCGTTCCAGGTTTTAATTTATCTGTAACTTCTAATATATTCATACCCACAGAAAAGTATGGTGCTTGACTATGTTTGCGTATGATTGATTCTTAGGCTGTTGAGCTGTGGCTGGTGGACAAAGCAGTATTACCAATCGAGAATTCTGTAGGTGGTAGCATCCACCGTAATTATGATTTGCTTCTTCGTCATAGGCTTCACATTGTCCAAGAAGTCCAATTGCCTGTGAATCATTGTCTCTTAGGAGTGCCTGGTGTCAAAAAAGAAGATGTTAAATGTGTTCTAAGCCATCCTCAGGTTCTTCTGCACCCATTGCCTTCAGACTCGCTTCTAAGTTTACTGATTTCGAGTATGATTTATCATTTTTTCTTTTTTCTCCAGGCGCTTGATCAATGTGTGAATTCACTTAACAGTTTAGGCATCCAGAGAATTTCAGCAAAAGACACTGCCACTGCTGCTCAGGTGACATCTCTGAGATAACGAGTATTCACTTAGTTTTTACCACGGTGAAAAATTAACCATCAAGCGTTTCTTCAGACTGTTTCTTCAAGCGGTAAAAGCGATGTGGGAGCAATCGCAAGTGTACGGGCTGCAAATATATATGGTCTGGATATTCTTGCCGAGAACATACAAGTAACTTGTCTCCCTCTATTTTATTGATAAATTTGTTTCCTATGGATATATATAAACATATTGAGCTGCTCATCATTGGGTAAAAAATGGAATGATTTATGACATAGAAGGAATGTGATCAAACATATTGATTATCCATAATCTTTATGTTGATATTTTCTTCTTTTGACGGTTTTCAGGATGATGCTAACAATGTGACCCGCTTTCTGATACTCGCGAGAGAGCCTATGATTCCAAGAACAGATCGACCATATAAGGTGATCTCATATTTATATACTAATTAAATCGGCAAAAACTTAAAAGTTCCCAGTAGTAATGCTCTTTTGTTTCTCTCAGACAAGTATCGTGTTCTCTTTAGAAGAAGGTCCTGGTGTGCTGTTCAAGGCTTTGGCTGTTTTTGCTTTAAGAAGCATTAATTTATCTAAGGTAAGCTCCAATGAAAAGTTGGACACTAGAATCAGTAACTTATTCAGAATACAGGAATATATGACGTAGTTGTTGCTCTCTTTAAGATAGAAAGTCGTCCGCAGAGAAGAAGACCGTTAAGAGTAGTTGATGGTTCTAACAATGGAAGCGCTAAGTAAGTAGCTTTCTAACACACAAACATTCACACATACTTTTTGAGAAGTAGTTGAGTAATTGTTTTGTGATGATGACAGGTACTTTGATTACTTATTCTATATTGATTTTGAAGCTTCCATGGCTGAAACACGTGCTCAGCACGCTCTTGGCCATCTACAGGTCCCAGTCCTCGAAACCCCATTTGCTTTTATAGCTGGTCTTAAAGCTCACCAGTTCTAAAGATCTTACCTTTTGGTTTTGCAGGAATTCGCAAGTTTCATCCGTATCCTCGGGTGTTATCCAATGGATCTAGTCAGATAACCAAGCAAATCTCCAATTGATTTCATGTTACCGTTCTTTGCAGAACCATGTGAATATACCCAAACAGAAGAACAAGGTTCGTGGCTTTGGTATACCGCAAGACTCTTCTTTCTCCATTTTCTCATCTTAGAAGTTTAGCTTCAAACTCTTCATTGCTGAGACAGAAACAGTTGATCTAGCTTTTGTTAAGAACATGTTTTGTACATTAAAGAGGTTTTCTCCGTTAATATTAGTGAATAACTTGGTTGTCAACCCTCTGATACCATAATATCTCTGGTTCTTAACGATCATCTTGGTTTGTGATTAGTTTGCTAATCTTAATTACAAAAGGTGGGACAGTGTTAAACAATAAGACTGATCGTTCAGTTCCAATCAGGAAACAAGGACATCCCCAAACCAAAAAATACAAAACTAAAACCAAAATACTGATTATCATCAGTTTGAAAGGGATAAACCCTACGCACAGATTTTGGAGATTCCCTAAAGTTTTTAACCTAGTAATAAAAACTTCCACTAGAGAAAAGGAACTTCGAGCTCGGTATAGTCTGAACTCATTTTGGTGAAAGAGTTACAAGCAGACCGAAATGATCGCTAGGCAACACCGGAAGCTCTAACTCCTTGATGTCACCCCTCACTTTCTTCTCTTTCACATATGATAAACCAGGAATAGCCTCTTTCCCAACCATCTCGATTCCACCAAGCTTGTAATCATCCAGACGACAGAAAATCCGGTCCAACCGTTTCTGTAATGCTCTATTTCCGGACAACATTGGGTTTGCTTTTGTGTCGTATGTAAAACCCAAATCACCTGGTTTCAAAACCTCCCAAACATCGACCCATTTGTCTGCCAAAGGAAATTTACCATCTAGCTTGTCGTCCCAGTTCATGTCTCCCCCGAATACCACATTGGTATTAGCACTGAGAATCTCGATTGCCTCGTTGGCTTGTTCAACACGTTCTCGACTGAACATTTGGTCCCATTTTGGAGGACCTGGACATGGACTCTCGAGATGGCTAGTTGCAAAAACAAGTGGCTTTCTCCCTGGAACTTCAACTTCTGCGATAGATAGTCCTCTTCCCATCATCGAGTTCCCAAAGCTTTTGCTGCTGAATGATTTTACCCCTAACTTGCTCAACTGCAAGTAACTCATAAGGGTCAGTTACAAAATCACAGGAATTATCCAAATTTAGACGCTAAGAACCTAATACAATCGTGCAGAGTCTTTACCAGCATGCAGTAGTAGCCTCTCGAATCTGCCACATCAACTGAGACAGAACAAGAATACTCTTTCCACCAGTTCGACTTGCGGAAAATATTATATATCTCAGGAGTTACTTCCTAGAAGATATCACAAAAAACCGTGTGTCAGAAAAAACTAAACTGCTTCTAAATTTTGCAGAAGACATCACTCTGTGGTAAATGTAAATAATGACCTGAAAACATATGAGATGAGGAGAATGAAGCTGAATAAGGTGACCGATAGCTCTCATTCTTGGTTTCAACTCAAGGTCTTCACGGAACCAAACATTGTAGGTTAAGATCTTCAAACAAGATAGAGATGTTCCTGAATCAGAAGCTACCCCTAGGTCCCCCCCTACAATGAAAAATTGACAAAAAAAAGTAAAGACTTCTACACTGAGGAACAATAGAAAGCAACCATTAACATTTATATATCATCAAGCTGAACGAGTAGAAACCTAAAACCTCACACAAGTTAGTAGCAAACAAAAACCAATATGAAGCCAAGTTTTGATGAAACACAACATCACACAGTAACTGATAATCTAAATTAAGAGCTATCAACTAATCCGGGAATACCAAAAGATCTAAAACCTTAGGGAGTAGTAAAAAACTGACCTTTGCTTTCAATTTCTTTGTTTTTCTTCATAATACCAGGAACAACAGAACCACTACCAATCTCAACGACGTCATCATCCATAGCCTTACGCTTGTTGTTACACCGCCGAAGAGGGAAAAAAACAGAGCCGACGGAGGAATCAGGGTTATTACTATCGAGACCCGAATCAGTCAGTTCGTCGAAGCCCAGTAGAGAAGACGTGGGGGATCGCGTTCCACAGACGTCGCAGATTGAGTTCTTGTACGTGTTCAGAAAAGTACAGGCCTTGCAAGCCCACTTTGCTTCATCGTTCGTGGAGACAGAGAGAGAAGGAGACGGAGAAGGGATAGAAGCGGGAGTCAAACAGATCACGCAATTGAGTTTCTGAGATGGCGAATTGAGGAAAGTACATTTGTTGCAGGACCAAGATGACGAGGGAGACGATGACGACATTGCAAGAGTTGTGAGGATTCTGAAAATTTGGGTTTTTAACATTTACCCTAATTCCACATTTCCGATTACGCTTTTTGTCGCTTAGGTTCCATTTAACGGCTACAAGCAAATGATTCTCAAATTCAAAGTTTAAAAGGTGAACCGTAATTAAACCGAAACTAACCGAATCGAGCCGTAATTTGAAAGGGGAAGACACAGCATGTAACAATGTCAATAACATTCAAGGAAGACAGGTTTTATACAAAAATTTTATTCCCACAAACAAGAATACAAGAGACTAAAATGGTCTAACAAATAAAACAACAAATTACAAAATTACAATATAATAGAGTGTTTTAAGTCCTAAAATTGTAACTCTGCCGACACCTTCATAGGCCAGTGGTGTTGCCACTGTGACCTGGTTTGGTAGTATGGCAATGGAGTTCTCTGAGTGACTCAAACTGAGTCCATTTCCCGTCATGGGATTAAAGTGGGGGATTCATCAGAGTTAAAGACTTGTCACTCACCGTGGAAAAATGATAAATCACCAGAAGGGAAACAAAATAGAAGATGTTACAAGAATCATGATACTGACGTAGAAGCCTCTTGAGAGACTCCTTGAGGTGGTTTCACCTGCGGCCACTTGAGTTGAATTCACCACTGTCTGTGTCCTATTTCCGACTTTCTTGCTGCAAAATATCTCATTGATTAACGGAAGCTTTATAAATGTATCACGTATAGTAGAAGTATAGATAATGTGTTTTCAAAGGGAGTTGTTATACACACAAAAAACACTTTCATACCTTCCCGGGAAAATGCAGCTTCCATGACCTGAAAACATATGCAGCTTTCTGATTTAGAACCTTTTATAGTGAAAGACGTGATAGAGGAGACAGACTTTAAATCTAGTTAATAACATTTACAATTTTACACAACAAGGATATGATCTTGACAAAAAAAACTGTTATAGCCTGCTTATGAACCAAATGATAAACATAAAGTTGATAAGAGTTGAATAGGGATGAGAAGGTACAAGAAGGCATAGGCGTTTTCTAAGACCGTATGGTTGTAGTAGATATCTTGAGATTTCCAAGAAAAAGAACACGCTTTTACTGAAGGTGATTTCCAAACAAATTTAGAGAATCAAGAGCACAAGAACCTTTCTTTGAGGACTAGCTTCTATGTATGGATGCAAAGTTTGGTTAACACTGGTCTAGGACATGTTATATGCATACAGTGATTAGGAACCAAACCGAGGAAGGAAAAGCTTCAAAGTCACACAGGTTTTAGCATATGAGAAATTACTAAGACTCTATTCTGGCACAAGACCAGCTCCTACAGACTTTTCCAACTTAGGATCTAAACTCTCACCAACTCAGATGGGGTTTCTTGATTGTCGTAAGTCTATTATTATAAGATCTCCAAACACTGAAAAGAAGAAGGAATAAGCTTACTTGGGTCTGTAGTAGTGATCATTGCCACACCTTTGAAGTCACATGAACCAGAAGCTCTTCCTTCCTTCTGGTAATAACTATTAAAGGCAAATGAAGCATGGCCCTTCACGTTATTCGGCTGATAACAACTCTCTCCAGGTTGAATCTCACTACAATTAGATCTCCCGGGTCCACAAGCCCAATCCAATGCAGCTTGAAGGGTCTTAGCATCCACACCATCCATAGCAATGCAGTAAGTCTGGTTTGTTGTATCATTTGCTAAGAATGTTCCACTTCCAGATACATGAAGCAAATAAACCGGTGTAGAGTTCCCGTAGAATAATCCCCAGCTAGCTTCACTAACAGGAGGAGACCTCAAATCCTCGTTAAACAGCTCATAAATGTAGACACTTGGGGTCATCTCAGGATGCATAGGAGTCCCGGTTCTATCGAATATATGCTTGATCAAATTGGAGTTGTATGTATCAGCATTATCGATAGTAGCATATGGCTCTTTCGAATCACCTTCTGAAGGCCAACCGCTCTCGGTCACAAGCACAACTACATCAGACACATTCAAGTTTTTCATGGAGACATAAGCAGCATCCACCATAGCATCAAGCACATTAGTGTAATGCAACAAAGTATTGGGATCAACCATTTCTTTAGACGGTGTCAAGGGCTCGAACAAACAGTTATCAAGCGGAACCACGCCTTTGTTCTGCATATAGACATAGTAAGGATACAGATTCATCATCAAAGGAGAACCCGTTTTCGACAAGAACTGAAGCAATGGAACCATAATCGAATGCCAAGTCTGGTTAAAGTAAGCTTGAGAAGGCGGGAAAGTATCGAGCATGATGGAAGCTGCGTGAGGCGTAGAGACCTTGATTTGAGTGTGGAGATTGGAAGCAACAAGAGCATTGTATAAAGACTCAATTGCAGGTAACAACAAAGGAGCCGAAGAAGGCACAGTAGTTAAAACCTCATCTCCAACAGAAATGGATGTGATTAAGGTCTCAGGGTAATAAGCAACCACATTCCGACCAATCCACGAAGCAGCAGTACTGTTGGAGGATCCAATTGCGAGAAGCTGATTGTTTGGTACACTGATTATGACCCGTATCTTGGTTTTAGCAAAAGCTTTGAGCAATTCCGGATCAGCATCGTATAAACGGACGTGATTCACTTTCTGAGTTTGTAAGAATTTGACCAGTTCCGTCGGCGAGAGCATATTAGAGACATCTGTGCCGATGTTGAATCCAACAAATGGATCTTTGTCTTGTTCCTGAACCTTAATATCGTGAGATAAAGACGACGAACTCGCTGCATATAGAAAAGCAAGAAGCTAGTTAAAAATCGAAACTTGGCAATGATTTCTAGCTAAAAACTTAGAAATCAGTTAAAAAAAGTGTTTTGTCTAGATTTGGATTCGAAAGAAAGAAAAAAAGCAATCTTTAGCCAAGTGTTAACTCAATAGAAAGCAGAAAAAAAAAACATTCTTTATTTTAAAAGTACATAAAGTTCGTCAATTTGGGGGAATTAGAACTGCAATGTGTGAGTTTTAGGAAACTTACAAGAAATCAAAAGAAGAGTGAAGAGGAGAAAGAAGAGAACAGGAACGGTGGAAACCATGTTAGTGACAGCCATTGAAGAGGAGCTTGAAGTTATTGCGCAACAACTCTTCCCCTTCAGATTCAGAGTCAGCTAAAGGTTCTTGCATTATCTTCCTAGAGATTTATTGATGTACGGTTGAGATAATAACCTAAAGAGAAACGGAGAAGAAGAAGAAGAAGAAGAGAGATTAGACAACATATTAAGGGGTTTTAGGGACGAAAGAAAGATTTATGTCTCTGAGCTTCCACGTGAACCGACTCTGCTCGCTCCTCCCCACACAACTGGTTTTTTGCCTCAGACCAAATATGAAATTACTGTAATACCCTTGAGTTCTGATAAAGCACCACCAGCTAGACATCACTTATGTAATCTTTTAAAGATTTTGGTCCATTTTAATACTTAAAATATATATATATATATATATATATATAGGCATATAGCTCCCACAAATTTTGTAAAAAGCAAGATGAATTGTTTGTTTATTGTTTGTAGTTGTATGTACACAATACCTCTCAAACTTTTATAATCATAAAAAGGTTAATTTTCATTCGTCATTATTAACTATTTTGGTTTTAGTATTGGCTTGAAATGTTGGTGTTGACCTCATGTGGTAAGTGAAAGAAAATAACAATGCCCTTTAGTATATATTATATAAGTGATGTTTAGGAGTTTTCTCTATGTAATTATTTGTTTGGTCATTGAGATATATCCATCAAAAACATTGAATTACAAGTTAAGACAACATTGGAATACAGTACAAGATGACAACCCATGCTTTGGTTGAATAGCTTAGAAGACGGTGGTCCATTTTATTTATTTGTTGATGACACATTTTTCTCATCTCAGCAAATTAAATAACTAAATAGATGTTTCAAGAAGAAATATTGAATGAACGTGGAAAAAAACTTTAAATTAGATGTGAGAATGAAAATAATATTATGACTTCATAAGATCATGAGTTATATACTTATCAAGTATATGCTAATCAAGTAATCATCTCACTCTCAACTAGTTTACATGCGTCAATATTCAACTGTTTTATATGAAAAGTTATCAAAAAGTATGAAGCCCTCAGAATTGTATAAAAAGATTAATCAATCGTGTTAGGCTAAATCTTTTAGCATCAACTAAAATATGTTAAACTAAAAGATAAATCATGTAGACAAAATGAATACATTTGTCTCTTTTTTTTATATAACACTTTTATAGAGTTTTCTGGTCGAGCAATGAAAACGACGAAGAAAGAAAAATAAGCACCCGACAAAAACATATTTGTTCATACAAACATCTATCTGCGCAGAAATCCGTATGCAACTTTTTTTTTTTTTGATAAACAAACAAAAACTCAGAGAAAGAGGAAAGATTTATGGAGAGTTTAAAAGTGTAAGATTCCCTCGTTATAACTTTTAGGCCTTAAATTACATATTTCAATTTCCTTGAATCATGAAAATTATAATAATCTTTCAATAATGTGACTGGAGACAATATGAAAAGAAACGAAGACGACTATACTATTAACAGATTCTGAATTTTTGAAAATAAAAAAAAGTAAAAAATCAATGAACCGTGACACTTTTTTGGCTGTGTCTAGCAATGATTAATTCTACAGTTATATTTTTTTTAAAAATAGAAAAGACATCAAATTTATTAAAATTCAATTGTATAAGAATAACGTGGCTTTCTAACTCGATAGGGTAACTAAGTTTTGCGTGTGTGTTGCCTTGCTCTCGTAGCTCGTGTGGCCAGCGACGGTACCAAAGATGCAACGCTTGACATGTTCGATGCTCGAGCAAGGCAGACAGAGAGAGAGAGACAAAACAAAAGATAAAATTAAAACAAAACAAAGCTTGCTTTGACAACATATGAGGTATTCTAAAATATCTCTTTTTTTTTTTCTTTTTTTTTGCGTGGCTCTTGGCAAAAATGCCTTTCAAAGATCACATGAAACACGATTCTACTTGAACTTGATTCCATCTCTATGCTGAGTCTGTGGTGTCATCAACACTGTCTAGTGGACTAGTAGTAACAGAGCAACGTTTTAAAAACACCTGTTTCACGAGGCCACGCGTCGTGCTATAACAGGGCTGTTAGATTTTAACCATAACGGTCGCTCACGATCTTTTCACAATAATGCATTCATCCATCGGTTGTAATGCGTCCGTGATCATCGCACTATATCACAGGCAGTAGCAGAAACATTATCAGCAACCTGCTATTAAACTCTATTTTATTTCTCTCTGCTGTGTTGTGTCATCAGTCATCACCTTCAAACTCTATTTAAAGTGACGATCTTTGCCTAAACATTTCAGTGAATCGAGTGGTTTAGTTTTTTCGTTCCGTACATCTTCTTCGCAGGTGAGGTGAGATTCTTGTTTTTGTTGTTTGCAGATGATGATCTAACATTTCGATAATCATGTCCTCTCCTCTAATCGCGTTCAAAAGTTTTGTGATTTTGAAATCTGTTTCTTCGATTCCATTGATCCATTTCGTTCTATCAATCCGGTGTTATCCGGATCTGATTTTGAGTAGGATTCGTGAATCAAAGTGTTGTTTTTGATTGATTTTTGTGTTACGATGATCATTGAGAAATAAAAAAATAGTGTGATTCGTGTTAGTCGATTCTTGCTCACATTTCAATGGGTGCTATAGAGTAGTTATAATATGCATGTTTTGGTGAATCATGTGGTGTTGAGATTAATGATATTGGGGTTTATGTAAATTTGAGACCTTTTTGGGTTGCAAATGCATATGGTGTTGAGATTAGTGATTTGTTTTATAGGATTTAACGGTGTTCGTTCACTAAATTTATATCAGGAGAGAGCATTAGGGAAAAATGAATGAGATTCCTTGCGCCTCCATGTTGAGGCTGTGTCACTGTTTTATCTCGATTTGTAGTGTTCACTTTGTTTCCATGATAGCAGCTGAATCAAGTTTTGTTTTTAGAAACATGGCTGAGGCTTCTGACTTGTTGGATTGGCCTAAGAAGGACAACCGTCGTTTTCTCCATGCTGTCTACCGCGTTGGTGATCTTGATCGCACCATCCAGTATGTCTCTATCCCCTTCCACCCTGATACCCTTGTGATCTTCATTTTGATGTGACAGGATTTGATGATGTTCTTTATTTCTCACCAGGTTTTACACTGACTGCTTTGGTATGAAGCTGTTGAGGAAAAGAGATATCCCTGAGGAGAAGTATTCTAATGCTTTTATGGGATTCGGACCCGAAACATCTAACTTTGTTGTGGAGCTGACATATAGTATGGCCTCTTTCACTCTCTGTTCCCTGTTAGCATTGATTCATATTTATAGCTTTCAAATATCAACTTATGTGCTTTTTTCATTGATTCATATTCATTTCTTTGTTTTGCAGATTATGGAGTTAGCTCATATGATATTGGAACTGGATTTGGGCATTTTGCCATTTCAACTCAAGATGTAAGTCGTCCTACTTTGTGTTTGGATATCACGAATCAACATATGCGTGTGAAGCCCTGAACTGAGACATGGAATAACCCTCTTTTCTTTAGGTTTCCAAAATTGTTGAGAACGTCCGTGCCAAGGGTGGAAATGTCACTAGGGAACCTGGTCCAGTCAAAGGTGGAAACAGCATCATTGCGTTTGTGAAGGACCCTGATGGTTACACTTTTGAGCTCATCCAGAGAGGTCCAACTCCTGAACCACTCTGTCAAGTCATGCTTCGTGTTGGTGATCTTGACCGTGCCATCAAATTCTATGAAAAGGTAATGAGTGAAAAGGTTGTCTTAATGTTTGAATATTCATTAGTAGTGTTAAACTTCACTTCTAATTCCCTGCAGGCCCTTGGGATGAGACTCTTGAGAAAGATTGAGAGACCTGAATACAAGGTGAAGTAACCAGTGATGCAATGTAGACAAATACTTTACCTTTTTCAGCTACTTTTGGATTTATCTGAGTGTTTTATATTTGTTGGATGAAACAGTACACCATAGGTATGATGGGATATGCTGAAGAATACGAATCCATAGTTTTGGAGCTGACATACAACTACGATGTGACTGAGTACACAAAGGGCAATGCGTATGCACAGGTATGGGCTCTAGACATGCCTCTGTTGCTTTAGGTTGTCTTTAAAACCGGTTCGTGTTCATTCATTTGATAATTAAATGATTTAATGTGATAAACAGATTGCAATAGGTACTGATGATGTGTACAAGAGCGGTGAAGTTGTGAAGATAGCCAACCAAGAGCTAGGAGGAAAGATCACTAGAGAAGCCGGACCCCTTCCTGGAATCGGCACCAAGATTGTCTCATTCCTCGATCCAGATGGCTGGAAAACGGTTAGTAATCTATAAAAATGTTTGGCAGATTTAGCAATTTTGGTATATAAGATTCCACTTCTGACAATGAAACCTTGGAATTTTTTGATTAAGTGTTTGAAAGGTTTGGTTGTTAAAATGACAGGTACTGGTAGACAACAAAGATTTTCTCAAGGAGCTGGAATGAGGAGAGCTATGATGGTCGAGATCACGAAACCATTCTCAGAAAAAATGTGATCGTAAAAATAAAGGAAGCTTCTAGTATTTGATCTAAAATAAGAGGAATGTGGTTTTAGTTTTGTGTCGTGCTTTGTGTGCTTGTTCCTTTTGTCTTTGAGACTTTGAGCTAAACTCTCTACTATGAACTTGAATAATAATATTTCCACCACCTTGAGGCTTTGGTGTGCTCTTTTCGGTTATGGACGGTTTAGTAGATAATCGGTTTACTGGATAATTTTACGTACAAAATCGGTTTACGGGATATGGCACGTCAATGTCCGTGATCTCTCTATAAGGTGCAACAGAGAGCGATAAGGGAAAAATAAAATTTCATTAAAATTCAACTCTAGTGTACAAAGAGTTGTGTGTTTATATACATTGATAGAACTTAAACAACCTTCTTAGCCAATAACACCCAAACATGGAGTAAAAAATCATAGTTTGGATACAATATATATGCCTTAAGTATTCATGATTCAACGTAACTAAAATATATATGTTCAATATATGCAGTCACATGAAAACACGGCCACTACCGCAAAAAATAAGAAGATCTCAGATTAGTTGGCTATATTAATGGAGTTTGGATCTACCTACTTTATACTACAACTATTATTCGAATTTTGAAAGCCATTTATATATAAAACATTCCATACTCACTACGTAACCGGTCGGTTCAAAGTATTTCTAACCCTATTATAGTATCTTTCTTCTCTCTCAATACACTTATACACATATATGCATGAGCATGCTGATGCTTGCAGAAGTTCGATCAATTATAGGAATAAGCCGGTTAGAAGAGAACCAATTAAACTTAAACGTCAACCGGTTAAGTTAGGTTAGAGCGGATGTGATCTCCATAGGTGTCTCAAGGATCATGTGTGTGTATGTAAATTTGATTTTGGATTTGGGACCAAAAGTAGCATAGTGGTATGTTTCTTTTGGCCTCCCAATTAATTTTATCCATAGAAAAACGGTTGGGTTGTTGTGGGTCTTTTCATGTTCGTATCTATAACCTAACCATCACGGCATCTAAATTTACACATTTTTAAGATCTATATATATGTTTATAATTAAGCTTCGATATTTGCATCTTGCTAGAAAAAATATGAAAAGTGATGATGACAACAATAAGATGAAATCACTGGACTAGAAAACCAAATAAAGTGTTTTAAGAATGTTCGTTTTGTTTATATACAAGAGATGATGATCACATCCATATTTTTTAAGATATGTTAATAATGTAAGAATTGCTCACGTACGTTAGATAAAGTTGTCGTTTCCATGCATTACGGTTTATGACGATTTACTTTACAAGATTCTAGAAACTAAAATTGATGCTAATTAGTTTAACCTTTTTGTATAGATATACATTTCGTTGGACATGTGTAGTAGTAGGCATGTCAATCGGGCTAGCCCGGCTCGGCCCGACCCGAAACCCGTAAAGCCTTCATATATGTGAGCCCGGTCCGGTTCGGCCCAAAAAATTTCCGAGCCTATATTTCAAAGCCCGGCCCGGCCCTAACAGGGCTACAGAGCTTTTCGGGCTTTTTTGGGCTTTATTTACCGATAAAAAATCAATTTCTAAGTTCATAATAATTTTTAAAAACTATATTTAAAGGTCTACTATAAAAATAATGCATCAAATTTTAAACAACTTATCAATATGCAATAAAACTAACTTAATTTAAGAGAAAAAAATAAAATCCAAATAAATTATTTACACTTTAACCCAATAAAACATGGAACTAAAATACTTTAAAGTATAAGATAGAGTCAAAATTTAATAGATATTTTGATGATTTCAAAATCATGATACTTATATATATTTAGTTTTAGCTTTGTATAAAGATTTTAAAAGTAATAAGTAAGACTAGTAAGTAAATTTGAAAACTATAACATTAATCAAATCTTTTAATCAAACTAAAATATTCAAAAAATTCACAATATATTTGTATAAGGGCTTTTCGGACCGGCCCGAGCCCGACCGGGCTAAGCCCAAAAATTCCTTTAGCCCGAATGGGCTTAGCCCAAAAGGCCCGGTTTTTTCTGGACATATATATTTAAGACCGAGCCCGATGTTTTTCAGGATCGGGCCAAACTAGCCCGCGGGCTTTATCCCTAATTGACATGCCTATGTAGTAGACTAATTTATATAGTGTATAAGCTACATTGTAATTCTACTCATACAAGATCGTCATAGATCCGTATTCAATTGCATTTATTGCACACAAACATTACATATGTGTGTGTGTATACATAACTGCCTATATATGGTCTTGTAACACAACTCAGTAGTTCAACATAAACAAAAAGAATTTGAACTAACAAAGCCCAAAACATGAAAACCACCTTTACTAACTTTCTTGTGCTTCTCCTCATTGCACTTGTTTGTGCCAATGTTGGTGCTAGGAAACTTATGTCCGGAGGTACCCAATTCAAGGATGAAAAATCTTTCCTCGGAGGCGGCGGTAACGGTGGTGGCCTAGGGATTGGCCTTGGTGGAGGAGCTGGTCTTGGTGGGCTGGGAATTGGAGCCGGAGCTGGACTAGGGTTAGGTGGAGGTGGAGGCGGCGGTGGTGGATTTGGTGGGGGTGGTGGACTCCTCGGTGGAGGTGGCTTCGGCGGAGGAGCAGGTGGCGGACTCGGTGGTGTTGGTGGCCTTCCTTGAACGCATTGTCAAATGTCAAGTGTGTGTGTGAGAGATCATTCTCAGCTTATTCTACTAATTAAAAGTCACTTTCATATTGTCTTAATAAATTACCTTCAATCTTTGGATTTCAGCTTTTATTTAAACTTCAATATTTGAATCAAGAAACGTCTTAGCTACTAGAGTTACGTAACTAGAGGTAATGCTCGTAATCGTATTATGTGTAACGCTGGTTCAGATATGATAAGTGCAAGAGTGCAACGTTACTTTTTATACACTGGCATTACATTTTTTTTCTTTCTTAAGTACAGCTAAATAAATAAAAAGAGATTAGCTAAATAAAAATAAAAACAAAAAAACAAAAAAAAATCCCATAATTTCATCGAGAACTACATTATCACACTAACTACAGCAAGGGGCGGATCTAGAAAATTTGTTCAATGGGGGCAAAAATATAGTAAAAAAACTATCAAATACTAAATTATAAAAGACATAAAATTGTCATGTAAAAACTTTAAAATATCTTAGAAAACCACTCAGACGCTCATTTAACAATTGAAACCTTTTTACCACATTTTCATTTGTGACAGATTCAAATAATTAAAAACAAAAAAACATGTTATTAATTAAAAATTTTGAAAATTTTGAATTTATAGTATTTTAAAATTTATTAATTTTAAAATTTTGAATTATGTAACAAACTTTCATAAAAGCTTAACCATAGAATAAACATATAAACAATTATCACTCCAAAAACTAATATAGTCATGTATAACATAAAAACCTATATAATGTTTTCCAAGAAACATAGTTATAAGCTTGAACTGATTAAATAAAGAGAATTTTTGAGAAATACCCCTTTTGGTGTACCCCTTTTTAAAAATACCCCCTTTATCTATCCATTTTCAAAAATGCACCTTTTTAAATATAAAAAATTATAAAGTTTTATATAGTTTATAAGGTACTTCTATATAATAACTACTACTGGGAGATTCGATACAAATATTTTAAAATGTTTTAAATAGTTTTAAATCATTTTTATAAGTTTTATAAGGTTTTTAAAAGGTTTTTAAAAGGGTTTATAAGGTTTTTATAAGGTTTTTATAATTTATTTTTACGCTATTTATGAAAAGTGTATAAAGTTTTCGACACATATAAAGGTAATTTGTGTATATATTTATAAGCTTACACACATATTTGGATAAATTTCAACATTTTTAATGGGGTTTTTGATAAAGTTTGAAAAGGGGGTATTTTTAAAAAGAGGTATATGAAAAGGGGTATTTTTGAAATTCCCTCTTAAATTAAACTAACTGACAAAAAATAATGCTTATATAATAGAAACGATTGTAAAAAAGCCGAAAAATAAACTCACAAATTGATAGTTGTTGATTTGTTGTCACACAAAGAAACCAAATGACTAAAAAAGAAGAAAATAACAAAAAATTAGGTATAGATTAGTAAGTCTTTAATTTATATATTAATATATATTTTTTTGGTACATGGATTAATGGGCTTTACAAAAAAAGGCTGAAAAGTAGTTTTTTTGGTGGGAACAGATTTTGTTTTTAATAATATTTAATAATAATTTTTTTTTTTTTTTTTGCTGGTGGCAGCTGCCCCTACCACCTTATATGTGGGTCCGCCCCTGACTACAGCAACTATAAAATTTGATTGGAGTATTGGACACAAGGTTAGACAATATGACCAACTAAAGGTTGCAAGAACCAAATCAAACTAAAGAAAACTGTCAAACTTTATTAGCTCCCAATTCATTTATAATTGCAGATGTGAGATTCTTACCAAAAACCGTATATAACCCAAAGAAAAGTGTTCGAAATGCCGATGATGACATGAGATTGATGGTTGCAGCCTTGCAGGGAACACAAGATTTGCAATGAACATAATGCTAAGTAACATATAAGCAAACAACAAGTATAAAAGCAGCTTTTGATTGTATCACATCTCCATAGTAGTTGAAATGTGTCTTGAATACATGATAACTGAATCAATCCATGACCAAAAGAAGTGTTATTTTGAATCCAACCATATTCATATTAAAACAAGGTCCTCAATTCCTTCTGCAATAACATGGATACATAAAAAAACGTCTACAACTCCAAAATTCTGATAAGAAAATACTAACAAGATCAGGCATGTTCCTTTGTGTGTTTTAATTTTCTTTTCATATGCAATACTTTTATGTTAATCTTTTTGCTATTTAATAATTTAGAAAACTAAGAAGATAAAGATTGAAGAATACGCTTCAGTGGCAAAGTCTCAATCTTTGTAAGATTTCTACGCTACCCATTTCAGTTTCTTATGTTTCTTTCCACAGAATCGTTTATAGTAGTGTATCAGGAATCTGGAAAACGCTCCAGTGGCAAAGTGTCAATCTTTGAGTTCGATCTCATTGCGATTATTATGTTCCCAGATTGTTTCAGATGTTATATAATGAATCTGAATCTCATAGTTGATGATTTATGGATTGAAAAATGTTATCTTTTATTGTTGTCTAGAGATTGTATTGCTTTGATATGAATCTCCTTTCTTCTTCCATGGGTTAAGAGTTTATCAATGTCAATTCACTGAATCCAGTTGAATTTGAAAAATGTATTTGTGGTATTTGATTTTGAGTATTCTTGGATCAAAATCTTATGTAGCTTAAGGAGAAGATGAGAGGTGGTAGTCTATGGCAGCTAGGGCAATCCATAACACGTCGTCTTGCTCAATCTGACAAGAAGGTTGTGTCACGCCGTTACTTCGCGTCTGAAGCCGACCTGAAAAAGACCGCTCTTTACGACTTCCATGTCGCCCATGGCGGAAAGATGGTTCCTTTTGCTGGTTGGAGTATGCCAATTCAGTACAAAGATTCTATCATGGACTCAACGGTTAACTGTAGGCAGAATGGGAGTTTGTTTGATGTTGCTCATATGTGTGGTTTGAGCCTTAAGGGCAAAGACTGCGTTTCTTTTCTTGAGACACTTGTGGTTGCTGATGTGGCTGGTTTGGCTCCTGGAACCGGGAGCTTGACTGTGTTCACAAATGAGAAAGGCGGTGCAATTGATGACTCGGTGATTACCAAAGTGACAGATGAACATATCTATTTGGTAGTGAATGCTGGTTGTAGGGATAAGGATTTGGCTCACATTGAAGAACACATGAAAGCTTTCAAATCCAAAGGAGGTGATGTCTCGTGGCATATCCATGACGAGAGATCTCTTCTCGCCCTTCAGGTTTGGCTATTACTTTTGAACCAAAAGATTGTTCCATTTGCTGTTCTGTTATTGCTGTATACTCATAGATACAGTACATTGCAATCTTATACCTTGTGATGTAGGGTCCTTTGGCTGCTCCGGTGCTTCAACATCTGACTAAGGAAGACTTGAGCAAGCTTTACTTTGGGCAGTTCCAGATTCTGGACATTAATGGTTCTACATGTTTCCTTACTAGGACCGGGTATAATGTCATGTTTCATTATCGTTTTGAGTCAGATGCTATAACACATATCTGTTTTTTGGTTCAAGTAGACAGTAGCTCAATAGAAAGAGTTCTGAAGATCACGTAGGTAATGATTGTGTCTGTTTGTGGATTTCAGGTATACCGGGGAAGATGGGTTTGAGATTTCAGTTCCATCTGAGCATGCAGTGGATCTAGCGAAAGCAATCTTGGAGAAATCCGAGGGTAAGGTAAGGCTTACAGGTCTAGGAGCAAGAGACAGTCTCAGGTTAGAAGCAGGACTTTGTCTATATGGAAACGACATGGAGCAACACATTTCTCCTGTTGAAGCTGGGCTCACATGGGCAATAGGGAAGCGTAGAAGAGCCGAAGGTGGATTTCTTGGCGCGGATGTGATTCTCCAACAGCTTAAAGACGGACCTACAATCAGAAGGGTCGGTTTTTTCTCCTCAGGACCACCTGCAAGGTCGCATAGCGAGGTTCATGATGAGAGTGGGAACAAGATTGGAGAGATCACAAGTGGAGGGTTCAGCCCGAACCTGAAGAAGAACATAGCCATGGGGTATGTGAAGTCAGGCCAGCACAAGAACGGGACTAAAATGAAGATCTTGGTACGTGGGAAACCATATGAAGGCAACATCACAAAGATGCCGTTCGTGGCCACCAAATACTACAAGCCAACATGATATGTGTGTCTTCTTCATCCATGACTTTCTCTTGCTTTTGTTAAATGACTTATGTTTTTCCTTTGTTCTGATTTGGCATGAAAATGTACGATATATTGCCTCAAGGGCCGCATTACCTATTTCATTTTTATCGAAATAAACTTAACACATGTAAGACCAAGTTATGAATGTGTTCACAGATTTGAACATCTTCAAGTTCTTAGTTGATCATGGAAGGATTCAGGTTTAAACAAATGATCCAACAAAAACTTCCTAAACGGTGCGTTTTGCGTAGAAAATACTGTACTAAGGAAACAGTAGTACGAATCAATAAGCAACACGTGTCAAGTCAAACAGGGTAACCAGTTGACCTTCGTTTAGCCTATTAACACAGAACAGTTGCCCAAAACATCTCCGTTGACACGTCACCCCGCCGCCGTGCCATCACCGTGAAATTTGTTTTTCACTGTACTGTTTCGAATTTTACTCACAGATCAAAACGACAGCGTTTCAATTGTAATCCGCGAAGATAATAAATTTGGGAACTTGGGACCTTCTTTGTCAGCAGAGAACCTCCGGCGATGGGTTTACACAAATTGAGACTCGCCGCAGCGGTTCCGATAACCTTCTCCACATTCTCTTCTCGCCTCTTCCTCAAGCCATTTCCCAATACTCTTACCCTAGGTTTGTTTTCCCGCCATCTTCAACCCCGTAAGCCTCTCTTGGTCAGAGCTTTCTCAGCTTCCGCCGCCGTTCAAAATATTCCGGCCAGACAGACCTCTGATTCATCTGGTATTCCAGTTTCACTCTCTGACCTCGTCAAAATTCGTCATTGCTTTTGAATGTATCTGATTCGTTCTGAGTTTGCGAGTTTTAGTTGCAAAGCCTCAGTGGAAGGCGTCGATTGATTTCAAATGGATAAGAGATAATAAGGAAGCAGTTGAAATCAACATCAAGAACAGGAATTCGAATGCTAGTTTGGATGCTGTGCTTGAGCTTTACGAGAACATGGTCAATGTCCAAAAGGTTATCTAATCTTCTACTCTGCCGTGTTAGAAATTAGCTCAATTCGAATTTTGGATTCTTAGTACTGGAAACATGTGAAGTCTGCTACTTTGAGGAAAAATATTTACGAAACTCCAAAGAAACATGTTAAAGTAGCTAAAGCTTGTTGTTTTGTTAGTTTCTGGATAGGTTAATTATGGAGTCTTGGTGACAAACACTAGTTTTAGTCTCTGGCTAGATTTGAGGGATTGCATTGGATTTTTGTTTTTCATTCTCTCGGTTCAGCTAATGAACGATTGGAGATAGCAGGAAGTTGAGAGGCTTCGCGAGGAAAGAAACAACGTTGCAAAGAAGAGGAAAGGGAAGCTGGAGCCATCTGAACGTAAGAGACTCGTAGAAGAAGGTAAATGAAGAATCCCTTTTGTTTGTCAGTCTGTCTTCTTTACTGAAATATAATAGAGCATTTTCGCCTTCAGGTAAAAATCTTAAGGGAAGTCTTGTAACTCTGGAAGAACTCCTCGTGAAGCTTAAAGATGAGCTGCAACATGTAGCACAGTCTATACCGAATATGACTCACCCTGATGTTCCTATTGGAGGAGAGGATTCGTCAGCAATTAGAAAAGAGGTAGTTAGTGTGGTCATAACTCCCTGAATTTTTCCGTTGGCTATGGCATTTTGCTGTCGAAGGGCTTTCCAGAAACATTTTTATAATGTTTTTGTAGGTTGGTAGTCCACGTGAGTTTAGTTTTCCAATCAAGGATCATCTTCAGCTTGGGAAGGATCTTGATCTCATTGATTTTGACTCTGCTGCTGAGGTATACCCTTCCTTAATCATTAGGTACCAAAGCGCATTTATGGGTTTTCAGATCACCGTTACCATGTGCTTAGCTGCTGGTTTTCTTTTTATATGTGCGGGGGATATTTAGACAGAAGTTTTTATTAGTTCATGTTATGGAGTTCACTTGAGTGGGTGAATGATCACCTCCTTCTATAAAGCATTATATTGATGTCTAATTTATTTGGTCTTCCTGTACATTTAATCAAGGAGATGAGGTGAAGTAACTTCTTTTTTATTTAACTCGTGCAGGTAAGTGGTTCAAAGTTTTTCTATTTGAAGAATGAGGCAGTTCTATTGGAGATGGCCCTTCTTAATTGGACATTATCGCAAGTCATGAAGAAGGGTTATACTCCCCTAACGACCCCTGAAATTGTGAGATCTTCTATTGTTGAGAAATGCGGTTTCCAACCTCGTGGAGATAATACTCAGGTTTTTGCAATACTAGTGTGTTTGCTCTGTTTAATTAGTCAACGTTTTTTGTTTGTTGCCCATCATGCTTCCATTCTTCTGAATAGGTCTATTTGATAGATGGAACTGACCAATGTCTCATTGGTACCGCTGAAATTCCCGTAGGAGGAATACACATGGATTCTATTCTTCTTGAATCAGTATTACCTTTGAAATATATAGCATTCTCTCATTGCTTCCGTACTGAAGCGGGTGCTGCTGGTGCCGCCACAAAGTAAGTTAGACAAAAGGGTTTAGTCCTTGTAGCATCCGCGTGTTCTTGACTTCTTCAACACACAGGTTTTACTAAAACATCCTACTTTCTCGATTTCGAGCAGAGGTCTTTACCGAGTTCATCAGTTCAGCAAAGCAGAGATGTTCGTCATATGCAAACCTGAAGATAGTGAATTTTTCCACCAAGAACTCATTCAGATCGAAGAAGATTTGTTCACTTCTCTAGGATTACACTTCAAGTAAGAAACTTTTAGACTTGATTTCTTCTTACCAGATATTATTTCTTCCTAAATCTAAACTTTTTCTTTGCAGAACATTGGATATGGCCACAGCGGATTTAGGCGCACCAGCTTATCGCAAGTTTGACATTGAGGCATGGATGCCCGGTTTAGGACGATTTGGCGAGGTAACAAACTGTTATTCATTTTTGTCGGACCACTAGAATGGAATTTTAGTTTCTACTTTGAGCATGCTGTTTGAACTTCTGAATCAGATATCAAGTGCATCAAACTGCACGGATTACCAAAGTCGGAGGCTGGGAATTCGTTACCGACCATCTGAACCGCCTCAAACGGGTGCTAAGAAAGGCAAAACGAATCTTCCGGCTACTAAGTTTGTGCACACTTTAAACGCAACAGCATGTGCAGTCCCGAGGATGATGGTGTGTTTGCTAGAGAATTACCAGCAAGAAGACGGATCCGTGGTGATACCTGAACCACTTAGGCCTTTCATGGGAGGCATTGAACTCATCAAACCCAAGCTGAAGTAGTTTTTATGGTTAAACTCTTGCTGTTATTCCTCTTGTATTTGAAATTTGTGCATTATATACAGTTCACAGGCGCTGAATTTTGTCGTTTCTTTTTCATTTTATATTATCATAGATACAATCCTTGATCTTTTTTTAATTCAATTATATTGAAAAGGAAATATACACTTAACAGTTTCTGCAATTCATACATATGTTTGCTTTTTCTTAGATCGTTGTATTCTTCTTTGGCTTGGGAAGTGTTATGAATTCTAGTTTGATTATAAACGAATTAGAATGCTTGTTTAATCAAATTAGAATTCATAACAATTGAATTATAAGTTATAACTTATCTTTCATAAACAAAAAAATATTGAACTAAGATATTGTAGGGCTTTACCCCGAAGGGAGCCCTTCCAGAAATTCTCGAAGGCCCAAGACAAGCTTAGGCCTAGGAGGGGGTTTGGAAATAGTTTTCAACCAGCAATAGACGCGCCTCGGTTAAGACCTCATTAGCTGCGTCATTGCCCCAAGCGCAAAGATGCTTTTCTACAACGCAAAGCCTCTTTGTTTTATAATCACACAATATCGATCAACTTGATAACCCTTCCGATGTGGGACTCTGTTCTATAACAACAAAACTGATATATTCGTCCACGAAATTTCAGTTGTGCTGACAAAGAATTTAATCATTTTTTTTTTTCGAAAAAGTTAATACTTCTAATCTCCTTAAAAAATGATGAAGATTTAAGACTAAAATGGTAGGGGCTGCGCGAACGCAAACCCCCTCTGCCACAAATAATGACGTAGGCTCTTCCTCATGGGAAGACCTTAAGCTAAGCACCCCTCCGTAATGTGCAATGGAGGTCACTAGCCTAGGCCACTCGTCTTCTTGATCACGAGTTGACCCCGTCCAGGTAAGTAATTTGCTAGTTCCAGGCATATCTCTCTTTATACACTTGCAATCCCAGTCATTGTTTCTTGTCCAACCGATGTGGGATGTTATTACTTACACACACCGCGCCGTTTGAAGCCTCTCGTTTACGACGACGTGCTGGTCTCTCACAAGCTTAAAACGGTATGAGTTTTTTTTTTTTTGTCTTAAACACACATCTACTATGACAGTGGACACTCTAGGCCTAATAGGCTGTTTTTTTTTCTTTTTTACTTTGGCCCAATAGGCTGTTATAAACAAGAATCTTTGAGCATTTTGAAATCAAAGAATCAAAATATGAGTGTATTTCATGGGTCAAACAAGTTTTTACAGCAGTCGCCTCAATGGCAATTCTTTTACAAAACAGCCAAAAGAACATATCAATGTCTTGCCAAATGAGATCACAATGAGCACTGAGCACAGCAAAAAATTAATACTAATTGGCTAAAATCCTGCAGAAACAACAAAACCGGTTGGTTCTCTACATGTACATGACTTGAGATGAAGCCGGTAATTTTTTCGTTGGGAAAGTTAAACCCACATATCGTTACTCTGATAAAACACCAAACTGCTGACAAAACCATGAATTCAAGTGAAGGGATAGAAATTTGAGAAGAGCAAGGTACCAAGAAGGATATAGGCTGCACAATATGACCGTATCAAGTATCCCCATTTATTATGTTTTGGAGATGCAATCAGATTCGATGCAAACCAGTAAAGAGGTGGGCTTGCTGACAAGAACCGTGTTGCAACCTGTAATAACCACAACACACACGTGAGGCCAGTCTCAGTGAAACCTTAATCTCATCTAAAATTCTGTTTATGCCACTGAGGATTGTAACCTGAACATGCATGATGAAGAAAGCAGTGGTTGTCATTAAACCCAAGTGTACGATAAACGGGAAAACATCAGCTGAAAAGTATCCTGATTTTTCTGGAGAGCTGGATTCTGAAGCCGCTTTGGTCACAGTGACATCCTTCTTACTAGGTTTCCGCTGCCTAATGTCACGATTTCCTACTCACGGAAATAGAGAGGATCCATCAACGTTTTAAGTTTGGAATTATTATACAACATAACGAAGAAAATGATACCTTCATTTGTTGAAGATAACGAAGAAAATTATACCTTCATTTGTTGAAGATTTAACACTTGTTTCAACTGCATCATTCAGAGAATAAAGCCTTGCAGCAGATCTCTTTTCTTTCTCGGTAGCTTGAAACCCCAGTGAAATGAAAAGTTCAGGCCGAGACTTCATGTAACTCATAATTGAACACACAGCTAAAGAGAGAATTGGGGATGCAAGCAGAAAGTTTGGGAGCTGTTTAAACTGAAAGTATTTAAGGAAACCTACTCCCCTGTCAGGAAAAAGGAGATAACTGCTCAAAATCAAATATAAGAAAGAAAACTTGCATATGTCTTTGTTGAGAGTACTTACCAATAATGACTTTGAATGAAGTTGTATAGCAAAGGTATCCTTCCTTTGCACCAAGGCCTCATTTCATCAAGCGTATGTCCATGACAAATGTTATAGTATCCATATGCTTGAAACGCGACAAAAGGAAGACAAATGCAAACGCATCTAAGAAATCCAGCAACCAAAACCTGTATAGCCAACTGGGTAGCGAGACAAATCATTCAGAGATTACATGATTAACCAAGCAGCTGCTCTTTAAGAGATACTAAATCAAGAAAATTTTCCATTGCAGCCTTAAACTAAAGAGGATATCAATAGAACAGTAAAGTCAGAATCCATATCAATAGAACAGTAAAGTCAGAATCCATTAAAAATGTATGAATAACCTAAAAAGATTGTTCTAGTTTATCTTTTTCTATCTGGAAGGATCTAAAATGTAAGAAACAGAATGATCCAGACAAAGCATGCTACCAACAAAGTCCGATGTCGTAATATCTGAAAGCTGAATGAAATATGTATAACTTACATAAATGCGCCTTTTCTGATATAAAGCTTCATATGCTTGATGCATCGTCTGGAAACAGATATAACCAGCATTAAGAACTCCATTGGACCTTGCACAGCCAGAGAGTGCAAACCAGAGAACGGCTACATTGCTGGTACCAGATAACAAGTGATACACGCCTCCAATAGAAAAAAGAGCATACAGACTTTCTGTATATCTGGAAGTCACAAAGCAACAGTTTGGTCTTTAGTTACCAATTATTATTCTGATAAGACTGAACATTCTCACTTTCAGGAATCGAACTTAAGAGATCATTGCTTAAATACATTACATTGCCGAATAAAATATGGACGCTGGGTTGAAACAGAAGATAATTGAAGCTCTGAATGATGCCTCAGTGTCCTTCAAGATAATAACTGAAACCCTGTTAGCAACGACTGGTGTAAGATATTTCTAAATCGAGGATAGCAAAGACAAGTACTTACCAATAAGACTAAGAGAAACTCGGACACCAATTACAAAAAGTACAGTTGATTGCCTCTTATACACAAAATGTTAAGCTTGTAGAGCTCAAAGGACTCATGACTCAGACTCATTTCCAGACACAATAATCGATTTTGGATGAATGTCAAAGAAGTACCTAAATAGATAGATAGCAGCAAATACGAAGGCCAAGTTGCTGACAATGTAACCAGACAGCACCATCACAGCTCGAAGACCAATCAATGGAACCAAAGGCGCAAAAACTGAATCCAAAAAGAATCAGAAACTATGGTAAAAAATACAAGAAAAAAACAGGGAATCAAGTGGGTAGATCTAAATTCCAAAACCTGTTCGAGAGAGAATCGAGATGAAGAAAGGGAGCAGAGGCAAAAAGGCGTAAGTCTGCTCATACTCATACCCACACTCCGTGATTCGGAGAAAATACACGCTGTCCCAAACAATGCTGTTTTCAAGGGATCTCGAAGCTGCATTGGCTACTAGAAGGGGAGGAGGATCTTCTTTGTGATACAAGCATGGAGGATTGAGTGCAGCAGATGTATCGTACGGCTGGAGTAAGCTCCGCCATAAAAGAGTTAAGAGCAGAACCAGGAGCCGTGAGAAGATGGCGTATTTGATCAAAATGCTTTCTTTCCTTGATTTTGATTCCATGGTATTCACCATTGATTACGAGCTCTTCTCCGAGGATAAAAGGGCTCGTCTTTGCTAAACACGAGCTGAAATTGAAGACGAATCAATCTGAATAAACAAATTTAAAATTACGATTTCTCATCCAAGGAAGAAACTAGAGGCATAGATATGCTTCTCGATGGCACAATCCAGTGACAAAACAGCTGATGATTTGTGTTGTTGAGCTGAGCAGAGAAGAGAAGGAAACTGAAGAAGTGAGGGAAGGCTCGTCGGAGAAGGAGGTCGGATTTGATCAAAATTCGAACCTTCTAACTCATGTAGAGAGTTTTGATTAGTCAGAGCCCAGAGGGGCAAGTCGCCAGTTTCAAAACGCCAAACGTGAGAGGAGACCAAACGCGCCGCGTCATCAGGACATGTCAACAAAACGCGTCACGAGGCCAATCACGTGCGGCCGGGTAACGCAGAACATAGATCGTCATAAATGGTAAATTCGAAAGACAAAAAAAATAGAATAATAATAATAAATAATTGATCCCATTGATAAACCCTTTAATTAAAAATTTTACTTCTTCTTTCCTTCGATCATCGTCTTCCTCTGGTTCTCAGATCTTTCAATAGAGAAGAACCAATTTGAATGCTCGTAACAGGTTCGTTCAATCCATGTTCAATTGTAATCCTCCGTTGTATATGTATATAGTATGGAGAATTTTTGTTTCAATTTTGCTATTTTATGAGATTTGCTTCCGTTTGGGATCGAAGCTATAGGACGTTCTGAAGATTTTACCTGGGTGTATAGCTCTTGGATCAATTTCGTTTGCAATCTGTAAACGATTTTGTTCTGAGATCTTCGATGTCTCTTTCGAATTTAATCTTCGATTTATAATTTGTCAAACATAGATTCGAATGTGGAAACATAGGAAATTTTGTGATGGAATTTTGAATTTGATTTTCACTGAAACTTGATGTGTTTGTTTGGAATTGGATAAGATGATATAATATCTTTGTGGTGAATTGTCACATTGTGAAATTTGTAAGCTTTTGAATTTTGTTGTATTACTCAAGTTTGAGTTTCTTTGAGGTTGACGTTCTCTGCTGGAATTCTCATCTCACGTTTGACTAGTTCAATATCTGATTTTCAAATAAAGATAAGCTAGTTTGAACACTCGTTGTTGAAAAAAATCAAGATTTTTCTATCTTCTGTGCTGTTGTGTGTGTTTACAGACCCAAAGTCTTAGGCATCTGTGGTTAAGTTACCTGCCTTACATCTCCAGTGTTAATAATAATGATTGGTCTTTTGTTTCTAGTGAGTTGCAGGATTCTTATTCTTGTTTTGGAATTTGTGACTATTGCAGTGGATTTACTATAGGAAAAGGAGCAAAGCAAAGATGGTGAAAATGACTTTGATAGCTCGTGTTACTGATGGGTTGCCTCTAGCAGAGGGACTCGATGATGGACGCGACTTACCAGATTCAGATATGTATAAGCAACAGGTCAAGGCTCTGTTTAAGAATCTTTCCAGAGGTCATAATGAGGCTTCCAGAATGTCCGTTGAAACTGGCCCCTATGTTTTCCAGTATCCTTAACATCTGCTTTTTTCCTCATTCCTTATTAGTTCATTTTCTGCTTGCAAAAGTTTGTTGATTGGTAGATATATTCCCCCTGTAAAGAAACTTGGTAGGTTATTTACATCATTAGAAAGTTTACTTAGATTTTGCCTGCATATAATTTTGCAAAGTTTTTCATTCACACTTATGACAGCCTTGTACATCAGGTTCTGTCTTATGACACGTTTTAATCCTCTTGCATCATGTTTACATCTTCTTTTTTTATATTTGTATGCTTTTACTTTAGAACTAAGGTGAAAGAGAGAACCAATTATGTATGCTTCCTTAACCAGAATACTTTAGTTACATCATAGAAGGACGTGTTTGCTACTTGACAATGTGTGACCGCTCTTACCCAAAGAAGCTTGCTTTCCAGTACTTGGAAGATCTCAAGAATGAATTTGAACGTGTCAATGGGCCTAACATTGAAACAGCTGCTCGGCCTTATGCCTTTATTAAATTTGGTATGTGCAGTGTAGATTTTCTTCTGTATTCATTCAGTATATTGGAAACATACCTTCCTGAATTCACTCTTTCTCCCCTTTACTTTTTTTTTTTTTGTAGATACATTCATACAGAAAACCAAGAAACTGTACCAAGACACCCGCACACAACGAAATATCTCTAAGTTGAATGATGAGCTCTATGAGGTTCATCAAATAATGTCGCGGAATGTGCAAGAAGTCTTAGGTGTTGGTGAAAAGCTAGACCGTAAGTCCCATCCATTACTTTTCCTATGATCATCAATTAAGCTTTTAGAATAAGGAGAAATGGAACGATAGTTTTGCGTTCATTATAATCAGCTGAGCAATATTCTTATCATATACCATCTCATCTTCTTTTCTTTCTTAATACAGAGGTCAGCGAGATGTCGAGCAGGTTAACATCTGAATCTCGTATATATGCGGATAAGGCTAAAGATTTGAACCGTCAGGTGAGTTTGCTTGTGTATACCTTTTATTACACAATGCAACATTGATCACACGGTTATGAGATGCTCTCATTTCTTGTGATCATGATATATTATAGCTCAAATAGTTTGCATTTAACTCTAAAACATTGGATTTGGTTAACCAGGCTTTGATCCGGAAATGGGCACCAGTAGCAATTGTGTTTGGTGTAGTTTTCCTTCTTTTCTGGGTCAAGACCAAGCTATGGTAAAAAGGAGGAAACAAAGGCTATTTTCGTAATTTAGCAGACTTCTCCAGACATATATCGACCTCCCAACCGCGGACTCAAATCTCAGATGCCAGCACCAAAATATCTTTTTCTTTCAAAGAGAAACTTTGACACATTTTGTACTTTTGTAGTATGCAGACTTTATGAGACTGGTCTTATTTCCATCAATTATACTCTTCAAACCTTCATTGTCAGTTTCTCAGGCTTCTATAAATTGAATTAGATCCATAACTAAACTATAACAAATTGTGTTTGATTTCATAAATATTTCTAACACAATCTAAACAGTTTAAACAGGCTATATTTTAGTGTTTGTGTGACCGCAAGTGTCTCTTGAAATCTAGTGGACCTGCCAAATCTGATGAAGAAGTGTTCTTCAACTCATCTGAAAGCTGCAACGCCCTCTGAAAATCTCCTGACTTCTTCAGACAATCAATTAGTGCTCGGTAGACATAAACTGATGCTCGAATTTGTCTTTGTTTCATCTCATCGAAAAGCCTCAACGATTCCTTTATGTTCCCAGACCGACCCAAACTGTCTATCACCGCAGTATAGCTAAGCAAATCAGGCTTTATACCAAACTGAACCATTTCGTTGTATATCACCAAACACATATCAAATCTACACGCTTTCCTCATCCCGTTCAGTACCGTGTTGTATGTAATGATGTCTACGGATACATTGCAATCTTCCTTCATGGATGACAATACACCCAGCATCTCATTCACTAGTCCAGCTCGTCCCAAGATATCCAAAACCGAGTTGTATGTGATCACATCTGGTTTACATTCCCACTCTTTCATCTGCTGAAGTATCATAAGAACCTTATCGATCTGTCTAGATTCAGCAAGTGCAAGAATAATTCTGTTCAGTACTATCAGCCTACATGGGAGAGAAGACTCGGATATTTCTTTGAGAAGAGTCATCAAATGCATGCAATCATCCGTGTTAATGAATGCTCTAGCGAGGTTGAGATAACAATCTGAACTCACTGGTTCCTTACCTGGCGAGACCAGTAGCTCTCTGAAAATTCTACAAGAAAGCCTGATATCGTTCTGCTCACCTGATGCTGCAAGAAGGTTCTTGAAAACCGAAATAGGCAAGCATATGTTCTTGTCTCGTAAGGACTGCAATAAGTCATATGCAGCAGAGACATTTCCATCTCTTGTATACTTCTCAACAAGATCCATATAATCGATTTTGCTGATGATCTTCGAACCACTTTCACTATGGCCAACCATCTTCTTCAAGAGTTCTTGTTCATCTTCTTCTCCTGTGTTTACCGAGGAGTGCATACCGGAGAGCGAGCAGCTCCTGCTCAAATCAACTGGAGCTAACACCATATGTTTCTGCAATGCCAAAACACAAAGAATCAAAAATTGCAATAACAGAAACATCTGGTCTTTTAATCATCACCAACTTCCATATACAGCTATGAACAATGTGAATCGAATTCATCCACTGAATGATGATATATGACTTGGAAAAAGAAATGACTTTCTAAGTTCCACAGATGACAACGAAAACTAACTTCGTAATCTAACACAAGCTAAAGCGTGGAAGCTCCAAAACTACAAAACGATCAGACTCGGAAGAACAGCAGTGATTCACAATTTCATATCTTTATCGAATCAAACCAAACGTTCGTAGAGCTTTAACAATCAACAGAGTGAATCATCGAAATATCGAATCGAACAAAATATGAATTACGAAAAGGGTTGGGGAATATTTGGTATCCATACCATAGAAGTAAATGAGCCTCCATAGATGGGGATTCTCTTAACAATCGACCACTTCATCATCTTCTTCCGTATCATTCTCCAGAGAGCTTGCAACACTTTCAGGTTTTGATTTTTTTAATCGAATTGTTTGGGTTAAGATTACTCATTAATAAATATCGAGCTATTTTGTAAATAAGCTTAAACTTACGGGGCTAATGAGAGAAATCAGCAAATTTTCAAAAGCAAAATGTAATTTGACAGCTTATTTCCTCGCAACTTCAACTTTCCTTCTTCGTATTTTCCGACGAGAAAATTTCTCAAAATCCCTGGTTGGAATTTTTATTTCTCGGAGAGATTTTCAAAACCCTAGACGCTCACATTCGCTACGAGATCAACCACGATGCAGCAATTACTCTTCGCTGTTGTGCTCTTCGAGGTTGTTGTGATAATGGCGCTTTCGTTCAAGACGCCGATTCGGAAGCTGCTGATCATGAGCTTAGATCGTGCCAAGCGTGGCCGTGGACCTGTGGTGATTCAGACTGTTTCGGCGACGGTTATCGTACTTCTGGTGGCGAGCGTGTACAATATGATGGGGATCCAGAAGCGTTGGATCGAGGACGGTGCGGTGAATCCTACAGATGAGGTTATAATGGCTAAGCATCTCCTTGAATCGACTCTCATGGGTATGCTCTTTCGTTTCTTTTCTTAGATCCGGTTCCCTCTAAGAAGTCTGAACCAAAATTACTGTATCTAGTACTGAATTGGAGATCCATATATTGTTTTAGAAACTCTTCAATGTTTTTGATCATTGTGCTGGATCTTCTTACTCGTGTCGCTTGATACTTGTACCAGGAGTTGCTAAATTTGTTGGTTTAGCTATTGATATTTCGATTAGATTGATACTCAGTATCTGGAGTTGCTAGAGTGTGGTTTAACTCTTGAATTTTCGATTAGATTGATGATACTCATATCTGGAGTTGGTTGAGTGTCGGTTGGTTTATCAAATTGGCTTGAGAGGGATCCATATAGTCGCAGAAGCTTTTATTATTGAAATTCAGCTTTTCGGGTTTCAATTCGAGCCTTGGAACTATGTGTCTTTTGCTTTGCTGGTAAACTTTGGTTGCTAGTGTGATTGTTTATCTCTTTCTACTCCTTTGATTCAACCTTGTACATTCAAATTTGCTCTGAAGGGATCGATATAGTCCCATAAGGTTTCGATATATGGATTTTGGCTTTTCCAATTTCAGTTTGGTTTCTTATGTGCATTGGAAGTTTCTCTTCTGCTTTTGGTAAACCTCAGTTGGTGTTTTCTTCCAGGTGGTTTGCTATTCCTTGGACTAATGATAGACAGGCTACATCATTACATGAGAGAACTACGCATAAGAAGGAAGACTATGGAAGTTATAAAGAAGGAAGGAGCGTTATTGGAAGGTGTAAAGGCCAGAGGTTTAGATGAAATTAAAACCTTGAAAGAAGAAATAATGTCGCTTCGGAAGAGGCAAGAGCAGCTGGACTCTGAGCTGGAAGCAAAGTCTAAAGAAATCCGTACAGAGAAAACCAGTGCAGTTGCTCTCCAAAAGCAATCTGAAGGGTTTCTTATTGAGTTTAACCGGTTGCTTGAGGAAAACCAGGATCTTCGAGAGCAATTGCACACTGTGGATTCAAAACTTTCGCGTTCAAGCAGCAAAAAGAATACTTAAGAGACTCTACTGCAACATTTTAGAATCTGTGTGATGCTGCCAGTTGAATATATTTGTTGAGTTTGATATCGGAAGCTTGGGGTTTGGTGTTATTGCATCTTGTTAACATGGAAAGATGATGGGGAAAGATCAGAAAATACAAAACAATGATAGGTTTGCTTCTTATTTGAGTGTTAGTCAAAGTAGAAATGATCAATTCTTCTACACTAGGAAAATGTAACTGGTTCGTTTTACAACAAAAACTATTCGAATTGGTTTTTATTTCCTACCATATAGATAGATAGGTATACAGTCGCTGCAAAGTAAATTTTTATACAAATTCTCTCAAGTTCAATGACTTATTCATTCAGACATTTGTCTTGATTCCGAGATTTCCCGAGATTGCAAGCTTCTTATCTGTGGATTTAGGGTCATCACTATAAAGACAGAACATTTCTCATTTTACGACACACCAATTCTCATTCTCAATTGTTCATATGCTATTACGTTTTAAGTTTTTTTTCGAAAATACAAATGAGATATACCAAATCATTTAATTACGTATGATAATATTACGAGGCATAAACAAAGGAGGCAGGCTTTTTATTAAAGTTTTCACCATCGAACTTACTTAGCAGAAGGTATTTACAAAGCCAATGCCTTCAAAACTACAAAGGCCTTTTTTCGTTAGGAAAGCATTAAAGATAAAGGACCTGCGCCACCATTTCTTCTACTACGACTCAAAGTCTTCAACTCCAGAAAACATACAAACAACACTTGAGACACAGATTGTTCATACTAAAACGATACCCGAAACCAACCCGACCGTGTTTAGACTGCCTCTGCAAATCCGACCTGTTCGTTACCGAAGTCAAAAACAGTGTGGTATTTGCCCATGAACACATCTCCCAAGATCCTGTCACATTTTTATTGCCGTCCACTAGGTTAGAAAAAAGAAAGAAAGAAACAACAAATTGTACAGCGTGTAATAAAGCAAGGGGTTTACCAGAGAGGTCCGCGAGGTGGAGCAACGTCAAGTGCAATAAATCCACTGATGCACTGTGCAGCCGGTCCCTCGCCAACTTTCAGAACATACTGCTCACACAATACCAACCAGTACCAACAGATTAGTAGATGGGGATTATGTTCACTACATAAATGAATAATTTCCAAAACTGTTCAACATCATACCTCCTCTGGAGAAAGATCAAAGACTTTGCCTCCTATGGTTAGTGAAACAGTAGGCATTGTTGAGAGTTGTGCACAATCCACTGCAGACTCTCCCATTGGGCTGGGAAGGCGTTCACATAGCTGTTAAGAATACGCAAAGATTAGATTAATCAGTAATCAACACGATAGTAACTATTGTTTGACAGAAGTATTGAAATGGACATTTAATGGTTTACCTCATTGATGTAGTTCAATATGCGCTCTTGAGTCATGTTCTGCCTCAACTGGCTCTGTATCCACACAACTGCCATCTCACAAGCAGAACATGCAGCATCTCCAACACCATTAGACAATTTGGCGTTTTCTTTGTCCACCACAGACTCAATGCCCATACTAAACAATTTAAAGGTCATACCAAATATCAGCAGATCACAAGGGGAAAAAATCATTCCAGGATGAAGATATTGACTTAATTGCAATGTCTACATATTAGAACTCTCTATAACATTAATGAGACCATCGGAACTTTACCTGACACCACGGGTACCATCGAAAGTACACAAACCAATCTGTGAGCAGATTTTCTTCGGCTGGGTCTGCAACGTGCAAGGAGATTGAATGGTAAACGAAATGATTTGTGCAAATTTTGATTTGTCACACAGATTTTGTTAGCTAGTCCAATATTAAGCACACTGACCTCAGACAAAAGTAAATCCAAAATGGTCTCCCCGTATTGATCTACAACAGTCTTGCACTGCTGGCTAACAACTCCAGCAGCTCCAATAGCATGGTTTATCATGGTGATAATAGGCTACACAGAGAAAAACAAAAACAGAAGTATTACTACAAATACTATTTGACGAACCATAATTATAAGGCTAAAGCCACTTCATTCTTTCTTACCGTTGGACCTGCAAGCAAAGATGTACCAGAATCTGCTATCGCTGAACAGCCATTTTCACAGAACCCTGTATAACAACAGTAACTCAAAGTTTAGAGCCAGCTGACACCAGCAAACATAAATAGCAAAACTTTCTGAATATGTTAAGAAAAGCTATATATAGTATAAAGGATGAGGCATGAATGTTACACATACCAGTGGGTGCGCTGCCAATGAGAACATCACCCATGTCAAACTATAACAAAATATATATATATATATATATATATATATATATATATATATGTATTGCTTGAGTTAGAACAACACTGGAAAACTTCAAAGAAAACCAAGTCAAGAAAGTGATGTATAACAAACCTGCCAGTAACCCTTTTGTGTCACAGGAACATATGTATGCTTGCCCTTGAAATGATTTGGATCAACGCCTCCAAATACAAGTTCACCACCTTCTTCATCATCAGCATTACGGTTAAGCCAAAATGAAAAAACTGGCTCCTTGATAAGGCCTTGTTTAAGCATGTTGTACCTGTAAAAGTAAACAAGGCATCTTGGCATTAGATTAATACTACAGGAGTGTAAGAAACTCAACTTAATCTAAAGAAGAAAATGTTGGCATACCAAACAGGAGCAGCATTTCCAACAGAGATCTCTCGGAATCCAAGACCAAGGATACCATCAAATTTAGCTAAAACAAATGTTATACCAGGCTCCTTAGTTGCCTCGATAAACTCCTGATATGAGATAGACAAATGTTAAGAAGGAAGGTCAACCATATAGAATAAATGTGAGGTAAGAGTGCTGAGTAAGGTAAGATAGATAGTTTACCTGATCCTTGACAACTAAATCGCCAACTGTGACAGCATCGTTACTAAAAAAACCAGAAATGGCACCAGTGCCATAATGAATTGCGGCAGATTTTCCTGCAACAAATACCAGCGAGTTAGTTATAACTTCACAGCATAGATCAGCAGTGCTGTTGCATCTTTTAACAATGGTGGCAAAGATTCCCTGCAAATTAACATGAATTCTAGAGGATACATTAAGTGCAGAGAGTTTCAAATAAAGAGAGAACATACCATTCTTCTCATATGTGCTTGAGCGTGACGACTTGTATTTGGGATGCAAGAGACAAGCAATCTACACAAGGGACACATAACATTTAGTTTTCGTCTAAAAAGTATCTCAACCACAGCTACCAATTAAAGACCAAATGTTGCTTACTGAAAAATAGCATTTTGATGATGGCACCCAGAGGTTAGAGCTTCCAGTGTCGAAAACCACAGTGAACTTCTGAGGTGGAGTACCAATAGCGATCTCACCGTAGTACTGAGCATCTAAGTAATTCTTCAGCGCAACAACATCAGCATCTCCAGAATCTCCGCTGTAACCTCTCAGGGGCTTATCTTGCTTTGAACCAACACGTGCTGCAAGACGGTTTTTGGAATCCAACTTAAGCTTTTTCAGGCCAACTCTGACGGTACCGTCACTGCGCTCGGAAAAGGCAGAGAAAAACAGCAGGAATGACACAACGAGCAAAACAGCAACCGTTGTAGAGTATATCTTCATTTTACCTATTCATTGACACCAAGGATCAACAACATATTAGAATCAAGCTGAAAAGCAGAGTAGCTTCAATACCCACACAAATCAACTATAACTGTCCATTTTGGAGCTGAAACATAAACTAAAATGTAAAAAGTCTAAGTGACTAAAAATAGGTTTACTCAATCCTCCTACAACAGACAACGAAGGACAATGATACACGCAGAAAAAATTGTACAAATCATTTAATTTACTTGGTCTCCCACAATTAGCCAAGAAGCGACAATGTTACACGCAATAAAACTTGTACAAATTATTAAATTTATTTTGGTCTCCCTTAATGAGCCACGAAGCACTAGCGTGGAAGAAAAAAAAAAAAGTTTATACCCTGATTACAACAAAACCTCTAGAAACTTACATCCCCAAAAACCTTAAACCATTTCAACCAGCATCACATGCAGAGCACTGAAGTATCAAACGAAAAAAAATAGCATACAACTTCTCTTCTTAAACAGTGAAACACCATCAAGACTAGAATCGAGAATACTTCAATTAAAACAAACAGTCTGATTACATAATCAAACTAACCTAAAAGACCAAACATATTCAAACCAACGATGAAATGACTAGTGAAACCAAAATTAGCCACAAAAAATACAAGAATCACCGAGAAAAGTCAAATTTAAGCGAATCAACGACACAGATCGTCCAAAAATAGAACTATTGGGATTCGGTGCAACAAAAACCTCATCTAACTGTTCAGAGAACGATAAATGAACAAGATCAACAAAAGAGACTAAAAAGGTATAAAAAGAATCTACGACAAGCAATTGAAGGAGCGATGAGTTTTAACAAAAGAAGAGAGCTCACCAAAGCTAAGCACCAGATTCTCAGAGAAATGAGGGAGAGAGGTGGATTGTTGAAGAAAACGAGAAAGAGAGATGGTTAAATTTATGGTGGTGACTGTGAGGAAGAGGAGGATGCTAAACTAACAGCGCTGTCTCCCATAAATGACAATTACAGGTGGGTCCCACTGTATAATCCCGTCAAAAGAAAAAGAGATATATTTCGTGTGGGCTAATCTTTCGTTTTTAACCGTTGGATTTTACTATAATGAACGGTTTACATGTTGCGTTGACGAATGGATAGGAAGGCCGAACGTATCATGTTTTATATTTAGTGAACAATCACGTGTTTACGAAGTTAGAGTGGATTACGTGCTCTTTTGAGATATTAACCGTTGGATGAAGATGACTTAAATTGCACGGTGTCGATTTGAAGAGTTTAGTTTCCTACCACATTGGTCTTGGATCATGATCATCAATGTACTGCTTATATTGGGCCTATTCGAAGCCCACTTAAATATGAAAATGAAAAAAAACCAAAGCTTAGTAGATAGAGCAAGAGGAGTGTTCTTGACTTCTTGGACATGTTTCGAAAGAAGAATCAAGAAACTACCACACCGTTGCAATAGTAGATACAGAATCTATTTTCATATAATATAGTTTTAAAAGAAAATATTTGGATACCTTGGAAGATCTCAAGCTATATATATATACTCGCCTGCTCCTTCGCGAGTGTAATTACAACAAACATGCTTCACGTACATATCTCTATACTAATATTCGTCATTACTCTCTCCGATCCTCAAAGAATTGATCATTCAACATTGGTTAATCACGATGGATTTGCTCGAAAAAAAAACAAAAAAAGAAGAGACTATTTGGACTTCTTAGCCTCTATTGCCTGATAATATATTCAAAAATGCTCAAATCCACTAATGTCTTTCCGACAACAAGATGATAACAAAAAATAATAAAGGTCAACTATACGTACAACCAATACAGTAACAGATACATTAACTAGCTAGTTTAGTGTCTGCGCAATATGATAACCTTTTTATATAATTCGAATTGCATCTCAAGTAAAATGTTATTTCTCTTCGTTAGTGTAAGCACTTCTTCACTAAGCTTCTGATTCTCCACTTGTAATGTAGCCAACTGCAAAAAAAAAAAATTAAAAATTAAAAAAAAAAAACGAAATAGTTACGTATTATCATGAAACTTAAATTCGCCAATATAGCAACAGTAAATATATTAGTTAATATAGTTAGCCTAATGATCTAACTCTTCCTGCGACTGATGATTACTGTTACCTGTAATTCGGCGTTAATCGCAAGTGAAGTTTGATTCTTTCGGGTTAGTGTAAGCATTTCGTTAAGAAGCTTCTCATTCTCCAATGTTAAAAACTTTAAATCCGCCATCTGAAAAATAAAAACACAATAGTACTATATAATATTGAAAAGAGTTACGAATCAATAGATATTTAGGATCAAGAAAATTTTGTTCTAAGTGAAATTACCTTCTTGGCTTCCATCTTGGAGTTGTGGTATGATCACGGCTGGATCACTATTCCTAGTGTCATCAAGTTTTTTATATTCAAAAAAATCTCTTTATATATAATATTGACATGGAGAAATTTAGTAAACCCTAAAAAAAAGTTAAATTAGTAAAACAATTAATGGATAATAAATTCTCTTCGATTGCTTTCTATCACTAAATCTCATTAAGTTTATTTCTCATAATATCTTAGCCATTTTTTTTAGAAAATAATAAATATAAAATCTGTTGTTGTTGATTTTTGTATAGAATTTGGTTTCTAGCTAAGTTTTACCTTTAAAATAAAAGCAAGTGAAATTACTCTGTATATTTGAGGTTCTGGTACGAAATAGTTTTTTAAATGGTTTTCACTTTTGTATGGATAAGTTTTCAGATAACATGTTATAAAACAATTTTTAATTTATTTATTTTTGACAAAATTGTATCATACGTACAGATCAAGAAAAAAAGGAAAGTTGTATGTAAATATTTCAAAGACTCTGAAAATAGTCATAAAATACAAAATTACAACACATGAAGATAGCCAACAACGTTGGCTTTTTTATTCACTTCGATTACAAAGTTCACAAACTCATATCAGGAAGACAAAAGCTTTGAACCAAGAAAGTAGTCAAATCCTAATTGGACTGAACCGGTTTAGGTTCTTTGGGGCCGTTATTCTCGAACCTCCATGTCCATATATCGTGACGCTCGACTTCACGTCCCACTGAACCGGCAAAACCGGTGAACAATTTATTATGAAGTACCGTAGAGAGATCGATTTGGGTTTCCATCAACGGCTTCTTCGGTTTGCTAAGATAAGCCGGTGCAATCGTCACGATGATCGATTTTTTTACAAGATAAAATTTGTTCTTTATGTTATAGTTGCAATATTAATAACCGTTTTAAAAACAAAACCACGATTCCTCTTGAATATACTTTATACTAAAAAGAAAGAAGACATATGTATTTATTTTCTTTAAACAGAAACCTAAAGTAACTATGTTAACAAAGCACATGACGAGATTGATTCTTAAACTCCTTAACAAGACATTCTAAGCTTACTCAACACTTCACACCAACAAATTATAATGTCATAACTAAGACATGCCCAAAATAATCAACTCAAAACTCCTAATTTTGGACTATGTCTCCACTTCACTCTTACTCGTTCTTCTTCTTCCTTCTCATGGCCATCCTTCTTCAATCAACAACAACATCATCCCAATCAAGTCTCTGCAGATCTTCTTGCGGCAACATTCCGATAAATTACCCTTTTTCCATCGACGACGGCTGTGGTAGCCCTTATTACAGACACATGCTCATTTGCTCCGACAACAACACCAAGCTCGAACTTAGAACACCATCTGGTAAATACCCTGTTAAGTCCATAAGCTACTCTGATCCTCATCTTCTTGTCTCCGATCCCTTCATGTGGAACTGTCAAGACCGAGACAATTTTCGTCCCACTAGATCGTTCAGCATCGATTCAAGCACACACTTCACTGTCTCCCCTCAAAACGACTACTTGTTCTTCAACTGTAACGCCGAGAAAGTGATCGTCGAGCCGAAACCGCTCTTCTGCGAAAGGTTTCCCGATAGATGTGACTCGTCTTGCGATAGTTCAAGCTATCTATGCAGGCACTTGCCCGAGTGCGGCTCTGCTTTGGGATCTAGGGTTTCTTGTTGTTCGTATTACCCGAAAGCCACTCAGTCTCTTAGGCTAATGCTGGATAACTGCGCAACATATACAAGCGTGTATTGGAGGAGTACGGGCGTGGAGAATGCACCGTATGATCAGTTTCCAGAGTACGGGATTAGGGTTGATTTCGAATTTCCAGTGACTATGAAGTGCCTTCTTTGTCAAGAAACGACTAAAGGTGGTGGAGTTTGTGGGTTTAATACGAGGACTCAAGATTTCTTGTGTCTTTGCAAACAAGGCAACGCCACTACTTATTGCAAAGGTATAATGCTTCTTTTCTTATATTTTTGCGTTATAAGTTATAACTATAATTAATCTGTTAACGAATAATGATATTAATGAAAAATATGGAATTACCAACTATTACGTACTATTAGACATTATTATGAGTTCTTTAGATTATAAAAAGAATGTGATTTGAATTAGACACTACTAATTAATAATTATACGTATATTCAATCATTTTGATATATTTTGCAGATCCAAGCCTTGTAAAGCATAAACACGTTGGAGCTATCGCAGGTAACTAAGCAAGTTTTTACTATATGGAATTTTTTGGTCATCTTATTAACATATGACTCTATTATAATACTTGTAAGTTGTGATCACCTGATTTGAACCGGAAATTTGTGTCGCTAACAGGAACAGTGACGGCGGTTTCAGCGGCTGGAGCAATTGGCGTTGCCGGTGGAGTGTACTGGTACGTGAGGAAAGTGAGAGCCAAAGCTCCAGTCACTTGTGGAGTTCAAAGCAATGAGAACAGAATGTTCTAAAAGTACTAATGAAATCATAGTTATACAAAGACAAAAGCATTGTCTCCCTCTTCTTTCTTCTGTTTTGTTCTCTTTTTCTTTTCCTTTTTGTCTTTGATTTTGTGTATACTACAAGTTCGGGATAAATATTTTTGTATATCTTACATATATACTAGTTACTTTTTCGTTTTGGTCGATATGTGAACTGTCAATATAGAAATCTTTTGGTAGGCACCAAGCTAAATTTTTGCAATCATATGAATTTCATATCAAAATACTATACTCTTCACATAGTCGCAACTTCAAATGTTTTAAATTTTATACAAGTCTTTATAAAAAAAAATCTTGAAAGAAAACAAAAAAATATAAATCCTTCAAGATATATAGTAATATGAATTCCGTCCCGGGTACTGAAGAATTCACAAAACGCACCTCAGATACGGGAACTCCGCCTCGTCGTTTCAAAGGAATGAAAAGAAAAATTAACAAAACGTTACATATAAAACATTATATATACTCACATATGTGTATATATAAAAGTGGTTAGCAAATCCTTCCAGAGTAGCAACGGAGAGGACCGGCGGAAGAAGTAAGAGATGGGACTAGAGAGCCGTGGGACACCGGAAACCACTCCGCTCTTTTGTACAACGGCGTGACGGTTCCGTATCCAGACGGCACGAAGTAAGCTCCGTTCTTGAAAACGTCTTTGGACGTTCTCCATTTCCATCTCCTCCAATCATATCCACTATCTATTCTCTTTGTCACCTATATACATATACAAAGAATATTGTAATGATTTTTAATAATGTATTCAACAAAATGTTTAATAACAATATTATAGTTTTCAATGAAGATACCTGTTTTTTGCTAGAGTCATCAGGAGCAACGAAGTAATTGCCTTCACTAAAGATGGTTGGATCAGCACTTCCTCCGATCGCATACATTTGCCATTTTTCGTACCTATTGTTAGCTACGTGCGCATACCCTCTCCTCACCCTGCCACGTCATCAAGACATCAACCGTACATATCCATGTCAACATATTTTTTCCAACTTTGGTTCAAATAAACTAAGTAACAAAGTATATATACTTACCTTGGCATCCTCTCAATGAGACCTGGACCAAAATGGTTGAATGCAATTGTAACTCTCATGATCTTATCCTCCACATTATTGTCATTATGTCCGAGTAACATCACCTTCATAATAACATACCAAATTATCATCAAGTATATTATTAAAACGTTACAATTATGTATATATAAAAACTTACTTTATCATGCTGCGTGAAGTAGTTATTAGAAATAGTGACGGCCGTAGAAGCATGAAGCACATCGATCAAACCATCTTGACACCGAGAAAAGTGACAATGATCAATCCAAATATGTGAAGAATCAAAAATGGCTATTGCGTCACCATCCGATCCTTTCCGGTTGCCAATATGAGTGGGGCTGCTCCGCACCCGACCCGACTTACCCGGTTTACAATCATGGATACTTATCCCATGTATAATGACATGACTTACATGCTGGATCGTTATGCATGGCCCATAAGCAATTTCCACTTTTGCTCCTCTTCCATCAATCGTCTTGTAGCTGTTCATGATGAGTTCGTTTTGCAATACTATGACCATGTCACGTGCGAACGTGATCCATAGTGGTTTGGCTTGGATCACCGCGTGTCTAAGAGTTCCGGGTCTGGGGTTTTCAGGGTCGTCTGTTGGGTTTGTAACCACGTAAACCGACCCGTATTTCCCCCCGACCGCAGCTTTCCCAAACCCTACCGCGCAATCCGCAAGGGCTCGACGGTTATACGCCCAACCAGGGTTTCTACGCCAGCAAGAATCGATGGGATTTAGTGATAGTTTGGGAATGGTGTAAGTGTAACCATTACTGTAGGCAGCCTCTACAAGAGAAGAAGAGAAAGCTGCCAATAGAAGTGAAACTGTTAAGAAAAGAGAAGCCATTTGCTTGAAGATGAAAGGCTTGAATTTCGAACTATGTGTGTGAAAAAAAAAATATATATATATATATATATACACGAGAATACATAGCATTTATCTATTATAAATTTGAATTAAGTATCCAATTTATGTATATATGTGAAAGATGAGAAGGTGGGACACACGGATGGTGCTGACTAATGATATGAAACTATATTAACAATGCTCTTTGTTATAGATAGACGTGGTTGCACGAGCTTAAGATGACGATGGATTGGTTTGACTTTGAGTTTTTATTTTGTATTTGTTTAGTAATCTCACAAGTTTCGGATCTATATTATAAGTTTAATTATATGTTAAACATAAAGTTTAGAGAAGAACTAGTGATTACTAGTCCTATAATATTGAACATAAGTTAGTCGGTAGTCTATGATTCGTGAAAGTTTGGTATACAAAGACACTGCATTTTGACATGCATGGTATCGGCCGACGCCTATATATACAACATGGTGCCAATTATAAGATTTAATTTAATGGTTAATACTTCAACTTGTTTAATATAATGACGCTTTTATTTTAAGACGACGACTGAGAACGAGTAATAATATTTAAGAATACTATATAGTTTACCATTTGAGACGGCAATTAAAAAATCGCATATCAACATTTTTCGAATTGGTACTAAAGTCAACTTCTGTCAAATCCGTACATTTGATATATCACGTTTGACGTTTCTATTGGTATTACAAGTAGAGATGGATGTGATTAGGGTAATTTTAGATTTAAAGGGGAAAAATATGATTAGTAGGACTATAAAATTGATCTTAAGTAGTCAGTGTTAGGTAGAAATACGAGTCTTATAAAGTGTTTCGTGTTAACGACTTGCGACTAAACTTTCTAATTAATTTGTATTACTTAAAAAATGTAAATGTAATAATAAATTCAAATTTTATTCAATAATAATACATTGGATTGTTACATGTATGAGCCATGAGACATGGGCATAAAAATAAAATTAACAGTATAATATTGATGACAAACTTTTACAATACTTTCTATCTTTAATAGCAAGTACTCGACCGTTATTTAATCTAGCTATATAATCTTTGAATTTTGATCTGTATGTATAACATGAATGTAATCCAATTTATAAACCAACAAATTAAAATTCTTTTTTGTAATGACCTTTATACCACAATGTTTCTTTATGCATAGCTGCACATGCCATAGGCACACGATCTCCCTTTCTTGCACTTCTTAAAGCAACCTCCACAGTGTCTCCTATCGAACATCGGGTTTACACAATATCCATTGCAGCAAACCTCAGAGTACTGACAGCTTTTTCCACATCTCCCGCAGTTCAGTTTGTTGGTTCTCAGGTCGACGCACTTCTTACGACAACAATCACGACCTGGACTGCCTTTGAGACGACAGACTTTGGAGCTTTTGTCACATGTCAGTGCTGCACCTATACGTTTCCTACCCTTGTTGCTTGCATTAGCGGCTATCACCCGACCATAGTTGCCATGATGTTTCGCCTCGACCTTTAGCGGTTCGCTAAATGTTATAGCAATGGCTAAGACCATTATGAGTACCATAATGAAATATGATATCCTGAACGTATTCATGATTCTTGTTTGGTGTGGTGTCTTCTTTTAAGTAATTAAAGAAGAGAAATTGCAAACAAAATCTTTAGAATGAGATGTATTTGCGTGTGTTTGTATGTGTATGAATGTTTTTAGGTGAAGAGTAAGGAACGGCGTGAATGGGTATTTATAGACGAGAGAATGATGCATAGGTCAAAGAAAAAGTTTGTTAAAAAATTAGGTGTCTTAAGAAAACTATTTGACTTTTTAAGACTCTTTTTAGTGGAGTGGTCAATTAAATTCGAAGAGTTTATATTTCATAAGTATAAACGAGTTAGGCTCGCGTTGAAGGAACAAACAAACTGTATAATTTTCTAAAATTAGGCAGAACATAAGTCGAACATATGAAATTCATTTTCGCATTTGGGAATTGTATAGTTTAAATAATTATATCATTTACATATCTCCAAAATATATGTTATCATCTTTTTAATATCAACGATATTTTGGAGCCAATAATTTCAAGAGACAAGCTAGGGATTAAATATTTATTTAATAAAAATGAGGAAATATCTAGATATTTTATTGAAAGGATCAAACCATGAGATATATATATATCCAAGTGTTTATTATTATTATCTAGAGATAAAATAAAGAAATAATAATTTTAGCTAAAAGTTTAATCCAACTATTATTGTAACGTCTCGATCGAGCTCCGTTAGTGAATTTGATAACTTCCTGATCCTGACAACTCGATCAGTTCGTTTCAAAAGCTCAAAGGACTTATCTTTATCTACTAATTTTTTTTATAGAAAACCAATAACTATTTTGTTAATTAATTCAATTACAAACTATAATGTTTTCTGTTTTCATATAGAGAAATATCTAATATAGATAGAAAAAAACATATTAGATAAACATAGAAGTATGTAAATGTAGATATTTAGTAAGATATGTTTTCTAAAGTGCATATGGAACTCCACTATCCAAGTCATTCGTCTTTTTGTTGTACACACTTTCGCCTTTAGGTGCCATGTTTACGAAACTTCCTGTCTATTTTTTTTTCTCTCTCATTTTCTTGTCAAAAGGTTGAAACATTAACATAAACTACATCAATCATAAATATAATATGAAGCAAATAAATAGATTTAGAAGTAAACGAATACGGTGGGAAAATGGTATGCGTGGAATACAAGATTTGCGTAATATACGCTACATGAATCAACTTGTTCAAAGTTGAACAAAATCGGTTATGAGAGCACTCGAGAGTAGGCGTTGACACTTTAGACACTTGGTGTTATAATATAATTTCGATGAATAATATATATTCGTATCTAAGACAAGTACAAATGAGTCCCATTCAAGGACATTACTGCAATAGAAAGTTCGGACTGTGACATTGTAGCACAACTAAGTTAACCTAGAAATACATGAAAAAAGACAATGCATGGTTGAATTTTAGTGGTACATGTGTGACCCTTATCGTTCTTATCGAACCACTTTGTTTCATTTGCTCTCTATGTGATTGTAGTTTCTGTCTCAAAATATCTCATGACACTTATCTACAAATATTTACTGTTGTATCTAATAATAGCTGTAATACACGAAACGTAAGTCTCTTTATTCAAATTAAAGCCGTTATAAGAGCACTCGAGTACCAAGGGATTGACTCTTGGTCAGTTGCTCTTCCATGGATTAACTAGTTAAATTCAGTAACATATTTTAATTATAATTTTTTCTAATGAATTTTGTGAATGAATGTATATATATACGCGACCGAAGCTTAGAAATTTTAGCCACAGAAAAAATAATATTTAATATCCAAAATAATAATAATAAGAGTACCACAAAGAAAATGATACTATATGTTTGTAATATTTCAAAAACTCACAGAATTTATATATGTTAAACACCATTACGGCACATCAAGATAGTTTACATCGATGATTGTAATAGTAATTAATGTAACTAATATATACAAACTATAACATGAATCACAAAACGTTTGTTTTATTAGAAACTTCTCATGGTATATGTTATTTGGTTCCACATAGTGATGAAGTCTTCATTAAGATATTTAATAATAATTTCAGTATTGTATTCAAGATAACCATAATTGATTTTCTCTAAAATCTTTTTGAAAATGGGAAGTAATTTTTTTTGTTCTTACCATCATTTAATCAAAAGCTACAATAGTTTACATCAAAAACAATTTCAAAAAAATGCTTAAATAGTGAATGGAATGTACCGCCACAATAATACGCTAATAAATACAATGACCAAAAAATGTAAAATAGAAAATTAGGCACCTAGTGATCAGAAAAAAAATCTCTCTCATACAAAAGTAAACTTGAAAAAGGCCTTTCTCACATCTTCAGAGCCTCATGTGATCTACAACAATAACAAAAATTGATTAATAAAAAAATCCACTTTAAGAATTTGAAGAATTAACTAAAATTCTAACATGCATAATTTTGGCATGCTTAATTCGGGATAGTGAGATGTTGACATCCAATGTTTTCTTCATATGATCCAGAACGCCATCTTCAAAAATATCCCTATTCAGTCTTATAAGGTAACTCTTTTCAGGTCTTTCACACAGATACAATCACGCCATATTTGCAATAATTTCAATAGTGGAAGACTCTCCATAATTCATACTATAGTATAAATACTATTTTTATTTTTTGTACATTAAATCCAAACATGCATGTTAACATCATTTGAGTTTTAATTGAAATACAAATCGGCATGCGCTAAGATTATCTTCAATGGTGTTCCAGTTCCATTCAAATACATAAATTTCATTACATTCTAAGTAGCATTTGTGAATTTCATATTTATTTTTATTTGAACATTAATTTCATTTTATTCTACATACAATAATATTATATATATATATATACAGTATATTTTATAACTGATCAAATGTATTCGCTAATAATACTTAATAGTTTTAAATTTTCAACTATGTTAAATTAAATTTACTTAAATAATACATACCACCTACAATAAAAATATCACCAATCAATAATTCTAGTAAAATTAGGAAATCATATTTGTACAACTATTCTATACATCAAATTGCTATTTGTACCACAATTAGATCAAAATATAATATTTACTGCAAGTCAAGTTCAATAACTCGCATGTTATCAATCTGAGCCTTGATATTTCTCGTCAAAGACCACTTAACAAGATGTTATATCAAAACAAAATTCAGATTGTCAAAATTTTAATTGTGGCATAATGGTTAAGTTTTTCCTTCGAAATAATGATGTCCCGTGTTCGAACCCAGCTGTCCCCTTTTATTTCCTTTTTATCGATGAAGGATCTAGAACGACAAAGGGAAGCCCAACAACGAAGCGAACGTGGAATCTGCTATGTCGGCGGCGGCGATTGATGGCGTGTCGGCTTTGAGATCGGTGTTTCAGCGGGTAAACCAGGCGGCGGAGAAAGCGGGTCGTGGATCAGATGGGATACGGGTCGTAGCGGTGAGCAAGACGAAACCTGTTTCTGTGATTCGCCAAGTCTACGACGCTGGTCATAGATCTTTTGGAGAGAACTATGTGCAAGAGATCATTGAGAAGGCACCTCAGGTTCTCTGCTTGCGAAATTTCTACTAATCCTTGAAAAATTTGAACTTTTTTTTATTTGGTACTTATTGGATTGAAAGAGTCTGAATTTGATTTGAAATTGCAGCTTCCAGAAGATATAGAGTGGCATTTCATTGGGAATTTGCAGAGCAACAAAGTGAAGCCTTTGCTATGTAATTGATTTTGCCATTTCAAAGTTCTTTCATGCATCACTCTTTTTTCTATCCGACTTGACTTTTATATTGAGTTTCTTAATTGGGTGCAAAACTCCACACTTGAGTTCTGCAATTCGCTGATACTTAATCTCTGTTGAGTGTGATTCCGAGTTTTTATTTGAGTCTTTGGTATGTTCTGTTCTTAATTCTTTGATTTGGTTGCATGATTGATCAGCTGGAGTGCCTAACCTTGTGATGGTGGAAAGTGTTGATGATGAAAAGGTAAAAAATTATCTTTTCGTATATTGAAAAAGAAGAGGTTTGGTTTTGTAAATGTTCTATAGCTCTTTCGAGGTGTTGGATAACAAAAACATCAGGATCTTTGGGTAATAATACTGCAGACTGTGAAGTCTACCAAATATTTGTTGAACTTTTGTTGGTATTGAACTGTAAATGCTGATGTAATGACAAGTAAAGATGCATGGAGAGTTTGATTAGATCAAACACATAGTAATTTGAGGAATATGCTTGAGACAATACTGCTTTTCTCTAATTACATTGGCTTCATAGATTGCAAATATGCTTGATCGTGTGGTTGGAAACATCGGTAGAAAGCCCTTGAAGGTTTTGATCCAAGTGAATACCAGCGGTGAAGAGTGTAAGAACCTGAAAATCTGGATTTTTTTTCTTTAACATCCATCTCAAATGTTTTCCCACTTTCACCTTTCTTAATGATATCTTACATGATCATCTTAACTGAAACTTCCAGCTAAATTCGGCGTGGAACCCTCAGGATGCATAGGACTGGCGAAACACGTGAAGGAAGCTTGCTCGAATCTCGAGTTTTCTGGGTTAATGACAATAGGGATGGCCGATTACACGTCAACCCCAGAGAATTTCAAGGTTATATAATATGGTTTGGACCTAAAATGTTGTTTGGCAATATGATGGGACACTAGAAGGATCTCACTTTCGTTTCTTATTATATGTGTAGTTGCTTGCAAAATGCAGAAGTGAAGTGTGTAAGGAGCTCGGAATACCGGAGGAGCAGTGTGAGCTATCAATGGGGATGTCTGGTGACTTTGAGTTAGCCGTAAGTTGTTGTGATTGTTGATTCAAGATTTCAAGTGACAAAATTCTGAGATCAGCTCAAAATGATAAAGAGTTTTGGCTATGGTTTTGGGAGTTGCAGATTGAACTGGGAAGCACAAATGTGAGAATAGGGTCTACAATTTTTGGGGCGAGAGAGTATCCTTTGAAGAAATGAAGTAAACAACTGGGTGATGAGATCGATTTGAAGTTGTAACATCAAAACCAGTTTCGAGGAAGAACAAGAGCTGTGGGTTTTAAATTAAGGGTGGAATGATTTGTATACGCATTGTATTTGCTCTGCTTTTGCTTGTAACTACATTTCATAGATATAATAATAAAGACGTAAAGTAAACAACATCTTGTCCTTGCACGGATGAATAAAGTAAACATGCTACGATATTAGTGAGAAGTTGTTAGAAGGTTGTCACAAGATCGCATCGTAAACCAAAAGAAGTCACATTACTAATTAAGCTTTGAGAGCTCTGCTAACTACGATCGCAATATGTACTTCTTAGTATACCTAGGAAGGGGCAACACATAATCATTTTATCAGCTCAAAATGATAAAGAGATTTAGCTATGGTTATGGGAACTTTCAGATTGCTACCTTTTCTACCTTTCAGGCATATATACATATGAAACTTTAACACCCAAACAAGATTCCAAAGTAAGAAAATTCATGAAGAAGGATCTTAGTTTGTACTGAGCGTCATATATAAAATCAATTAAGTAATACTCATGAGAGATTTCTGTAATGTATCAATGCTATTCCCTACTTTATGTATACTCTCTGTTGCTTTACCTACATGATAGGTTTCCTTTCTCAGTTTGTACCCTAAAAATTTGCTTACACTGTTGCTGTGTTATAATAAGGTTCTGTTGGTTGATGATCCTACTAATCCTTCGCTCACAATGCGCATAGCAGCTTCATTCGTGAACTTCCTTGCAAAAAGAAAGCACGGGACTGGTTTTGAATCCGCCTTGCACCATTCAGTTCGAGATTCAGACTCGTAATAGACATGGTCTATTTTCTGTTCAAGAAAAGAACAAGAACGACAAATTACTCAAAAGATCCATTAGGTTGTGACTATGATCACCGGTAAAGAACAATTATATAGTACCTTTACTTCTTTAATTTCCTCAGGCCCAGAATTTTCAACTGTGAAAGTGACGGGATGCCAAGATTTGGCTTCATATTTTGTAGCCGAAACGTTCCATACAGTATATGTCACCGTTCTACGTTCCATTTCACTCTCTAGTCCTCGCATCTGAAAAGATCAGTTTCGAATACATTACCAACATGGAAATTTTTAGATGGAAACAAAATTGGGAGAGATTTTGATCAGATAGGATTACCGTAAGCAATGTTTGCACATAGTGTTCATCGGGGATGCAGTTGCGCCGGTTCTGTTTCTGAGTTCACATCAAACGTAAAAAAAATTCCACCATTTGATTAAGAAAGAAAGAGGTAAATCAATGAAGAGAAGTGTTCATAGACTACAGAATAGACAGTGCTGAGATTGTTTTGAAACCAACACTATGAATCAACATAATCGATTCAGGCTGCTATAAAATGAAAAATCCCAACTTCCAAGTATAACTTACAAGAAACAACCATGCCTCATTGGTACCTAAAGGTGGACATCTCTGCAATTAAAAGAGAATCATCATATAAATATCCTTGTTTCTTCAGCAAAAATAATAATCAAGATTGACATTATGACAACAAGAACTGAGGTTTTCCTTAATGGTGGAACTGGTTTCTACAAATTTACCTTGCAGAATTCCTTGAAAACCGGGAATACGATATCATCATTTACAATGACCTCTGCATGACTTCTGATCAAAGCTATCCACTGCAATAGATCAAACTAGGATGCAATTAAAAACTTTATGAACTTCAAAGAAACCTCTTGTCCCTCTGAACCTGATGCTTAAATATCCAGAAGACACTCAGGTTTCAAAATTGTTGGTAAGCAATCAAATTCAGGAATGTTGGTTTCATAAGCAAGGGCATTGAAGATACCTGGGATCCTTTCCGCCATTTCTCTTCAGGTATGACAGGAGACATTTTCACACTGTACCGTGTCTCTTTAGTATGAAGAAAACTGCAAATAGAAAGCAATAATTTTTGTATCATCATCATCATCATCTAAATAACTCCTCTTATACTAGACCAGTTATCAATCAGGCCATCATAAATTCAGACTTGCAATCTACCTATCCACAAAACTCCTCGGCGAAGAGATAAGATATCTGTATATATAGCCAAAGTCATATAATGGAGCACATCTGCAAAACAGAAAGAAGATCATTGGAAAGGGATATCAAATCAAGGAAATGTATGCAAAAAATGCAAAATTCAGCAAGCCATGAGTAATGCTGAAAGAAGCACCACACCTGTCAGAGAGAAGAACAAATCTTTGATTGGACTGATCCTCTAAAGCAGATGCAAGCAACAATCTTTCTGCTGCAATCATGCTTGATTCTCCCCATACTACCTATACCCACAAACACTCATCCTAAGTTGTAATTCATCCACTATATAATCCCTTAGGGAACAGTCCAAAACGAACACTCACCTTAATGCTATTGTTCAATTGGCGATTATAGAAATACTGAGATCGCGTAGTGTCTTCATTGAACACGAAACCAGGTAATGAATGTACATAAATTGAAAAATTCGCATGATCCACACCCTACACCAGAATCAGCAATTTTTATTCCAAATTTGAAAAAAATAAAATAAAGAGCTTAATTTTAAAAGAGTTGGGTTTGACCTTGAAGAATCTATCCCACATAAAATCAAGTGGGAGATCACGGCGAGCTAAGAAAAGGAAAGCGAGCTTGGGACGACGATCGCCGGAGTATTCACGGAGCAGAGTGTGAGATCTCGCAACGGAGAGCGGCGACGGCAATGTCGCGACGGAATGGTACTGTAGTTGAATCCTGAGGAGAGCGAGAAGACAAAGCGCGGCGGAGAAAGCGATAACGAGCTTCCATCCAAGCCAAACGAAGCCGCGACGTGACAATGGGGGCTGAATCTGCGGCTGCGGTTTCCTCGTCATTGTGATACCTCGGAGAAATCGCGATCAAACATTCGAGTCTCAAAAAAAGCTTCTTTAGGATTTTGTGAAGTCAACAGAAAAGTTGAGAAGAAAAGGAAACTTAATAACTGGAATTAAAACATTTTTGGATTTGAGAGAAGAGAAGAACTGAAGAAAGAAAGGTAGACGAAGATGGTAGTTAGACTTCTTCAAACGACGTCGTAAGCCACCTACATGTTTAAGTTAGGTGGGGTCTACTTTCATACAAAAACAATAATTTGTTGTCCGAAATTTAAATTCAACTATGAATATGTTATAAAATGGTATGTTTTTTTTTTGACAATTTGACTAAGAATATTAATTATTCAAATGTAGTTAATTATTTTCTTTCTAAATAAATACAGTTTTTTACTTTTATTCCTTTATTACAAATTAAACAATGGTGTCATCACCAAGTTCTCACAAGTCAAACAGAGTCCTTAGAAAGAGTCTAGGCCTACACATTATAAGATTTACAATATATGTCAACCTTTTTTCATTTGCTCACCAAATGGTGCTAGATACAAAACAATGCAAAAGAAGATTACACATCAAATTCATTCATCTGCCAAAAAAAAGGAATTAATGGCCTCCTCCAATTTCAAAAAGTTACATTAAAATTCCCATTTTTGAAAAAAAGGAATCATTGTTTTCAAGAGACACATGTCTCTTTTTTTACATATATATATTACACAACAGCAAAAGCCAACTACAAATAGCCATTGGCTTTACATTCCTACAAAATCTGCTGTCACTCCTACAACAACAACAAGGCAATATAGAAGTTTTTAGCTGAGATCTGCCAATAATGTCTCCACTTCTTTCAGTGCTTGTTCCACTGCGTATATCACCATCTTCTTTATCTGTTTTCACATGGCAAAGATTAAACAAAAAAAACGAAAGTTAGCAAAGTATCACCTCACTTACAGATTAAACAACAATCCTAAGTTAGCAAAGGATCACCTCAAGTTTGTCTTCTCTAGCTTTGTGGTTCTTTGGGAGCTGTCGGAACTCATCAGTCAAACGGAGACACTCATCGATGTTCTCTGGGGAAACAAAATCAACAGCTACCTTTGTACACGACTGTTTCAAATCCACATTTAAAATCATTTTATATATGCTAAGGGCAATGAGAAGAAGTTATAATTTATAAGACAAAAATCATTCAAACAATAACCTTAAGATTCCGAACTTGATGAGGACAACCAGCGGGAATAAACACTGCTTCTCCTAGCTTTTGCACAAATGTCCATGGCTCAATCCCTTATATTCATATAACACAAAAACATATGAAACATATGAATATAATAATGTGGGAAGTCACAGTTATTACAGTTACCAGTAAACCATACCAAATTCCGCCTTGAGTTTTCTTTTATGCTCCACGGTCAAGAAACAAGATTGGTCATGTATCGGATGATACACCTAACAAAAGAATCCTATCAGCCAAAATAGCCTCGAGACTCATGTAATGAAAACGTTTTGCAGATGTTTCTTTTCTTACCTTTGTCACAGGAGAGCAAAAAGTATGTCTGAATTCTTTGCAATGCTTCCTTAGATACTCTTCAAGCTTAGGAACATCTTCTCTTCTAAATATGTCCCAGAGTGCACCACCCGTATCATCATGATACCCATTCTCATAACTCACAATCTCTTTTCCCTCTGAACCATTTTGCTCCTGAAGCTCTTTCTCATTCTGTAGCTTGTGTTTCTGTTTCAGAGCTTCGATTGCAACCCGTTGCTCCTCAGTTAAGGTTACTTCAGCCGTATGCATCAGGATGTTCACCTACAAACAAGACACCGTTATATACTTGACAAACTACATTTTGTATTCATTAGTATTGTGTAAGAATTCTGGAACTTACTGCATCTGACATATCACAATGAAGCTTAGTGACTGAATCGCCTCTACCAAGCTCATCTGAAGTCCCATATGCAATGTAGGTTTTTGGACCAAGATCTGGTTTAAGAAGTCCTTCAGGAAGTTTTGCAGCAATGTTGAGAATTCCGGATCTAGGATCACTATATTCTTGGAATGGTAATGCGGAAATAAACTCATCGCAGTGACGAGGTAAAAGGTTTTCAAACTTGTCTGAAGGAGGCCAATCCTTCAGCTTCAGCATCTCAGGCCAGAAGTTAGCATATCTTCTCCCTTTGCTGTATCCTTCAAAGAAACATCGAGTATTGATCTTCACCTGAAATCATAAGAAACAAGATGAGCTATAGAACCTCTATCCCACCTCTAAAAACGTTATAAGAAATGAGTTTCTACCTCACAATTAGCTAAACAATCGATAGCTTTGACATCAGCCATATCAGTGCTAGTTGGTGAATCAACATTCTCACATAAAGCCCGCCACATCACCATTGGCTCCCAGCTTAAACCAGCTGTGTTGTTAAGAGCGTTTCGAACAATCACTGGTTCACCTTTGGACCAATGCTCTTGGAAATGTAGAAGCTCTTCTTGCTTCAGGACATCAAAAGAATCAGGAGAGTAGAGGTAATTGTCACTGGATCCGTCCCTTGAAGCTGCCTTCCTCTTCATACTCGCCTCCAAATCAGAAGAACATCCACAATATGACAATGTTGGATTGATAACATAAGAGGCTAAGAATGTCTCTGCCTTATGCTCCAAATCTGATATCAAAGTCACCGGTAGGATTCGCTTAAGCTCCAACACAGATTCACCGCAACCGCCTAGCTCTTTTAGCGCACATGGTATGTTTCCATTTTCATCAGCATTCCACTTAATGTATGTAGTTTTAGTTTCATCCTCAGAAACAGAAGAAGAGCTCGGTTCTGCATCTTCGCCATGTATATATCGGGTCCCTTTATTCTCGAATTGTAGATTGAATTCCGGGCGTTCTGAAAGCCATCCTCCACGGATCTCTTGGCAACAATTCAGACAAAGCTCATAAGAGCACTTTGTACAGCTTCGATGCAGGTCGACAATTGAGGTTGCACAGTGGTTACTACAGCAAAAGATGATAAGTCAGTAATATATGAAATAGATACAATGTCAATGTAACTCTTCAAACCAATGCAAAATCGGGTGATACTTACCAGAAGACGCGCTCTTCATTTGAGCATAGAGACTCGGATATATCAACTTGAGAAGGCACTACTCCTATATAGAACAAATCAATTTCATTTATCTTGTAGCAAGAAAAAAACCTCGTGTTAATAGTAGAGAAGATTGCTTTATACCTTGAATTTTTCCCTCGGATTCGATTTCTTGATCTTGTGCTTCGCATAGCTTTTTCAGGAAAGGAAGCATTGACACAATCAAGTATCGAAGATGATAAAATCTTTCGTAATTACTGAGCTTTCTCTTTGATGTCTGCAAGACAAACAGATACATTATGGGGACACACTCATGATTGTTCTTCACATTACTTCAAAAAGCAATCATATTCATTCTCAACATGAATCTTTTGGCAAGAATACAATCATACCTCGATTAATCCACTCGAATGCAAACATGAGCAGCAATTGCAAGTTCCACGGCAAAAGGGACATTTGTCTATGACATCATCCTTGGTCATATGGGGATACCTGTGACAGACCACAAGATTAGTTAAGGATACTAAAACATATAGCCAAAAGAAAGTTAGTAAAGAAACTTCAGGACAAAGACTAACCATTTCTTTATACATGGAAGACAATACAACCTCTCTTCACAAAAGGTACAAATGAAGAGATATCTTCTTTCCCCTTTAGAGCATTGATGGCAAATTGCAAGATCTCCCAAATCAGCCTGTGGAGAGAAGCAAAAAGAAACATGATTTCAGAAAAAAGTATTTGAGTAAAGTTTCATCGCATCATGTGTTCTTGTTGTGTATAAGAACAATTGTTTACCTTTAAGTTCCTTGTCATGATTCTGCAGTCACTAAAATTCTCGCTTTTCAGATGAAAATCCGGGAGTTCAGACTCAGAACGTGAACTAGAAGCGCTAACATCAATATCGTTTCCAGGAAACCAAACATCCCCACTGTCTGAATTCTTGCTCCTGCTGCGAGATGTTGGCTTGGTGAAAGAAACGAGTTGGAGTTCTTGTTCCCAGTTCTTGTCATCATCAACAACTTCTTCTTCTTCTTTAGCTCTCCTTTTGACAGAGCTCCTCTGCTTCTTCTCTACTTCCTCACATTTGCTTTCAACACCACCAATCCCATCTCGCTTCTTCTTTCTTGAAGGTTTAGCTTTAATCTCATCAGCTTTAGAGCGTTTCCGTCTTTTATTAGAGACTCGCTTCACACATTCCACGCTACTCTCTTCTTCTATGTCTGATGAGCCACTGCTAAGACTCGTCGCCACAAGCAGTTTCTTCTTCTCCGGCCAACAAGTTCCTTTTGAACCCTCCTTCCCACCCTTATGTTTAAGATTCACTCCATTAGCAGTTACTACAACACCTTCCATATCCTCAACTTCACCTGCCAAAAAAAAAAAACAATGTCAATACTCAAATTTCGCCAATCCTTATCAAAGAGGCACATTGTTGATACAATTGAGTAATTCAAACTACGATTTTAAGCGTCTTCCTAGAAACTTCCGGAACCGGGGACAGAGGTATTTAGCATTGAAATCCACCGGAAAAGGATTCTACACCGGAGTCTATAGTAATCTTAGGTCTCTCACACATTACGAAATGGATTATCAAATGAGTACACAGTTTCAGAACCCTAACAGTCACAGAAACAAAACAAAATAGAGAGATTAAGCCGAGTTCAGAGAACAGTCTGAACAAGGATAATAGGAAAAAACAAAACAGAACTTGACGAATCCGAAACAATACATAACTGATTGAAGACGAAAAGAAATGAGAATTTCAGACGAGAGAAACCAACAAATATATAGAATATCGGAAACAGGGACAGAGAGTAGAGTAGCATCATCACCTTTTTAACTGTTACAAAGGCTTCAAAAACAAGAGTAGACGATATTTTCAGATTGCTTTCCCGGTGGAGGAGAACCACTCCTAGAGATTCATCTTCTCAATTCAGTTGACATAAACGAAAGGCGCTCAAATATCAAAATAATTTCATGAACACGAGAAGAAAGATATGTTCGAAAATGTTTATGAGTTATTAAAAAAAGAAAAAAACAAA